GTGTGATTGGCAAGTTGCAATGCCTCACTGCACAAGCTGTATTGCTGATCAGAGGGCTTAAAACAAATTGACAACTTTTTGTAAAAGTACATAAGCTATAACTATCATATTCTCATTCCAGAAAATGTTGTGTTTTCCTTTTTCCATCAGTCTATATAACATACTTTTAGTGGAGAATTGGTTTGTCTTTAATAACTTTTGATTTGATTCTGACTTCTAATTATCACAGACTCATTAAATCATAATTCATATTAGTAACAGGTTTCAAAATTTCTCTAACCATGGTATCTCTTCTTTAGGCACTGCAAGATATTCCCAGACCAAGCACTGACAGATTGTTCTGACATGACTGTGTTTCAAAGAAATGTATGCATTTCATTGCCCTCGTCCTAACCTCACCTGATGCAAAGGTCATAGCACAAATGTTGTGTTGGTTAACAACATTCAATCCCAAATTCGTGCAGAGCGTTATTATAAGAACAAGAATTGAAACCAGGAAACAGTAGAAAGGAGACAAATTGGTGGTGACCTGTCTAATTCATTTGGTGGTAATAGCTAATTGATTGGAGGAAAAAAAAATGCTGATTTGTTCAATTAACAATAAGTTAGTTAATTGCTCCTGCTCCTTTTAAAGAAAGACAGAGTAATTTTCTGGGATTTGTAGGCTGATTCCCACTGGCTGTATAGAAACCTTCTTTCACAAAAGGTCTCATCTCCTCTTTGTCTTGGAAGCATGTAATATTATTTCCACAATTTTCCACTGTTCATAGCCTTTGGTTTTGAAAATCTGTGGAAGTAACTGAGGAAACATTTTGTGATGAAATAATGTGAGAAAGAGAATTCCTTATACCTGTAGCTTAATGTTGAAAATAGAGTAGCAGACACAAACACTGCTTTGTGATTTTTGTGATTCTTGTGATTTTTTTGAGCTCACAGAAAAGGCATTTCATTGCCAGCAACTACTGCTGCACGCTGTATTGTTGTGCATTTGATAAATAAACTTTGATTTGATTTGTTCAAACCTGAATGGCATGTCATGACATCTGAGAGATCAGAGTTGCCTTGATAATACTGACATTTTATTTCAGATAATAATGCCAAGTACATTTCATATACATTGTTTTTTATGCTTTTTATTTCTTATTTGTACTTACAGTATTTTTTGAAATTTCGCATACATTCCTATCTTATTCAAATGATTACATAAATGTTTGTGTGGGTACTGTGAGTAAATATGTCAGTATAAAGTTCACAGGTATGACACCCCTGATACACCTCAATTCATTTAAGATACACCTCAAACCTGATTTCTTCTTTGCTACCTGTGTACAATGATAGAAAGCATCCAGAGGTTTAACAGACATCCTTTAGACCTGTGCTTCTGTTAAAATCAAAGCCCCAGAATGATGTCATTGTGGAAGACAGAAAAATGCCTTTTAAAATCAAAAGAAGTGTTGATTGTCTCAGAGGAAATAAAAATGCACAGTAAGAAACTCCCCTCACTCCCTTTTCCCCCCTAACACATGGACAGTTTAGGATTTTTCAGAGTCCCAGCTCTTTTTCAGTTCTGTCCCTCAGTTTATTCTTCTGTATCTGAAGAAAAGAAAAAATAGACATTTTTGTATTCATATATTGAATAATTTACAAAATCTATCAACAAAAAATATCCCACATAACTTTGTCTGAGGAGGACAGGGTCTATTCGAATTTGGGTCTAACCCAGAATTGGGACCACATGTGAAACATTCGACTTAATCTGCATTATGCTAAACCTTTAAGTTGTTATAATCTGTCCCATTTCAATTATTTCGTGCAGATGTGGTCCTCACTATGAGGAAAAAACCCTGAAGTTATTACACTGCTTCGATATGATCTCATTGAGATGGAGCTACAGCAAGACCTGAGGAGATTGTTGGGACAAGACTACTAGTGAGCAATGTGTGAAATGATCACTTCCTTATTTGTGACATTGAGTCTTCTGCTTTTATCTTCCCATAAAGGGTCATCTGTCATTTTAAGGAGTTTTATTAGGTTTAGCATCTGGGAAAGGGTTTTAAGTCATTAAAATGTGGTTTTAAGGTTGATTTAGAGATTGGTTTAGGAATGTGCTTGCTGGTTAAGTGCATGTATTTGCATGTGGGAGCAGCAAAAGATTCTGCTGCAGCTGTAGCTGATTATCAGTCTCTTTAAATACTGTAGGCTGAAGGAGGTTTACATGCACAGAAAGAGAGAAAACTTAGTTCATGGATAACATCAGTCTGCGAATGTTAGACAGGACAGACCTGAGATCATGGTTGGCCCTCTTGAGGGATATGTCTAACCTTCAAGTCTCTGAGGAGCGGGTTGGCTCCGTATGGTTATTGAAGGTTAGACTGGGAGGAGAGGAACATGGTTAGCTCTGCCCATTGGCTGAAACTCCAAAGGTCAGGAGTTTGGGTCTGGCCCAACAGTTAGAATGGAGGTGTGGCTTTCAGGTGGAAGCTGTGTCAGCAGCCATCAAGTTGGTAGGAAAGGTATAAGGTAAGGTGTCTGCAATCTGAGAAGACTATGTAAAGTAGCAGCATTTCTGACTGCTGATGTGTCGTTGATGCAGCTTTGGGTTATGTTTAAGAGTCCCTGGCCAAACAGGATCCGCCAGGTAGGTTAGGCTATTGCTGGTTAGGGTTAAACAACTGTTAACAGTTACTTTAGGTTTCTTATCAGGGTACGGAATGAGGGAAGAAGGGGTTTGAGTTCAATCTCCCTCATAGGGGTTTTGGTTATAAACCTCACATATTAAATGCAAAGACACCTGCCAAAAGACTGAAAGAGAAGACTTAAATTTGTATTTCAGTTCTTAAAATTAAGTTTTGTTCTTGGACTTCAGACCTAAGAAAGCTTCATGTGCTTAATGTTCAGAGCTCAATGCTGCATCATTCTTAAATGTAACAGTTTTACGTTCTTTGTTTCTTCATTTGTTCCTTTAGGCTCCTAACCATAACATCCTGTTACCTTGACAAGGTCAAGACAAATGGAATCATTTCAAACTTCTTACTTCTTACTTAACATTCCCTCACTTTAATAACATTACATGATTTCCTTTGATAACCAGTGACTAATCTGTACATAATCATAGTAAATTCATTCCATTTTTCCTAGTTATTTATTTCAAGTTTTCAAGCATTTCAGTCTGTAATTCAACTGACTAAATATACAAGACTGATTTCTAAAAGACCTTTTATAATAATTCAGAAATTTGCAGTGAATAGATTGCCATGTCTGAGTATAATCATTGGGAATCTTCACACCTTTTTATACTTTTTGTTAGACTTTGTCTCTAATGCATGATGTCGAGAGACATGGAAGTCACATAATGTACTGTGACAGTGAAACTGATCCTCCGGTGATCTAATTCACATGCTGAATTCTTAAAGACTGAAATGAATCACTGGGTGCCTACCTTTCCAGAAACAGTGAGGGGGTAGTCCTGCACAAAAATCACATATCGTGGTATCTTGAAATGTGATATCTGCAAAAATACAGAAATAAAATACAGGATAGGTATACATTATTTTAAATCTATTCATAATATTATTGAAGTACACCTCAGAAATGATCATTTGTTCTAGATGGCACAGTGGTTAGCACTGCTGCCTTGCAGCCCTGGGGACCCTGGGTTCAACTCTGGACTTGGTGTGATATCTGTATGGAGTTTGTTTCCATGGATTTCCTCCCGTTTCCTCCTATAGTCCAGAAATACTGGTAGGCTAATTGGCTTCTGGAAAAACTGGCCTTGGTGTGAGTGTGTGCCTGAGCATGCCCAGTGATGGACTGGCATCCCGTCCAGCCTGTATCCTGCCTTGTGCCTATTGCTTGGCTATTGCTTCCAGCTCCCCCGCAACCCAGAATGTAATGAAGGGGTAAGAAAACAGAAGGATATCTATGTTCTGTGTCAAACGTTAAGCGTGTATGTCTTATCAACCTTGTTAAGTTCTGATAAGATACAAAAGCTATTCGCTTACATGTATTGTATAAATATGTCCTTACTCTGCTCAAGGTCTGGGCTCTAGTTTTTTCTTGAGTTGACTCTTGGTTTATCAACAACTCTTGCCTCCTCTATTTTTTCAGCCTTGCTTCTCTCTAATTCCTTCTGCCTGCTAGTCTCCACGGCCTTGCCTCCCTTTAATTCCCTGCTGACTCAGTTGACCAACATCTTCTGTCCCAATTAAAGATTCTTTCCCTGACATTTTCTTTGTCCAACACTCTGTAGCTCACCAGGTGTGATGGGCAGTGATTTAAGGTAGGACTGGGAGCTGTAGACATTATTGTGTTTTTGTTACAATACTTTTATCATGTAGTTATAGGACATTCCTGAAAAGAAGTTATCCCTTGAAGAGTCCTTGAATCCTTGAAGTTGTCCCTGTGGTACTTCACTAATTACTTCATCTCAAGTGGAGGTCTCTTGACACATACATTGTTATTACTATTACACCTTGTGTAATCCCCTCAAAATCTGCTCTCTAAACACTGGAGAGACAGCTGAAAGAGCTTCTGCAATTACTGCTTTGACTACTAGTACACACTACAGGTAAGTATAAAGGGCATTCCTTAATTTACAAATGTAATCCATACCATGAAAATTGTCCCTAAGGAGAAAATTAATACATTAAAAATTAAGATTATATTGTATGTAAATCCCTCAGATTAGTTTCTGAATCCAAGAAACATCACAATAGATTTCAAACCTGTTTTTGTATATTAAAAAAAAACACTACAGTAACAACAGTATTACTTTTATGTTATGTTAATTACTGACTATTAAAGCCATATAACGTTCCATATGTTTACATTAGCCATGTACAGTAATGGTATTTACGGTAGTACACAAATCTTTCTAGACAAGCAATACATGAAAAAAGTTTTACTTAATAAAATTGTCATTATTAATGTAAAAATCAAAGAATTAAAATAATTAAATACATTGAATAAAATAAAGAAAAAATTAAGAGTGTATGTTACAGCTTTTTCAATTCCTACACTAAGCAATGACGTGTATCCCTCTGCCTAAAGAAGGATACTTATCAACAAAGGAATAGTGCTCATTACAGCAAAAACAGTTTTGTATTTTATAAAAATCTGTACAGTAACAATTTGCATGCTTTGTTGCAGCAAAATTTGTAATATGATCAAAAGTTCAAAATTAAAATTTGACTATGATGCTTGGACCTACACTAAGCACTGAAGTGTATTCTTTTGACTACAGCTGGATCCAAAGAAGGAATTTTGATAGTACTGTACGTCTACGTTTCCTATTATAAGTTGTAGTAATAATCATTCTATAAGTTTCGTTCTAACCTGTTTGTTATGCAGGAATTCCAATGAAATGCCACTAATCTGATATGAAACCAATTATATGTTATAACCTGAATGGAAGTTGTAGTGTATTGAACGCAATAGACTATTGAAACTTTGTCTATTGACAGGATAGACAAAGATGCAGTACAGCTGCTTAACTCTTTATCGAACAAAAACTGACGATATACAAGACATCACCAATCCTATCACTGTGCATCAACCCAAAAGTAGACATCAAAAGTAGAACTGGCATGCGCACTTAATGATATACAACAGAAGTATTATACAGCTGACATCAGGCCCTGCAGCCCTATGACTGGAGGGCACAAACCAGTTCTTGTCTGTAGGCGTCCTGTGCTTTTCTCACCTGGCCCTTACAGAACACCCTGATTTCCTCTGGTGTGCACTCCTGTCCTTCCTTTAGCTTGATACAAGCGCACACCTCCTCTCCCATCCTCTCGTCCTTCACACCAATCACCTGCAGGGGACAGGCAACACAACACAGTGTGAACAGCTGCTATTCACCAGTATCCAGTCAGTTTACTGTTTTAAGGTCGGGACGATGGTGGCCTAGTTAGTGCTAATGGGTCCTGGGCTCAGTTCATGTGGATTCTGCACTGATTAAGGACACAAGGAAGGACAAGGAAGGTAATGAAATGGACATTTCATTCAGCAGTTAGTACCAGTTTGACCTGAGGATCTCATTCAGCCCTTTCTTGAAAGAAGCCAGGGTATCTGCTTCACCAAGATGGCCGAACTACTTGTTCCATTCTTCCACAACCCTTGAGTAGAGAAATGCCTCCTCTTCTGAGTTTTGAATGCACTTCCCTATAGTTTTCACCTTTGTCATCTAGTTTGTGTTTCCCTGTTGATTCCGAAGAGGTCCAGTGGGATGAATTTGTCAGTGACTTTCAAGCATTCTCTGTCCAAAACTAAAATGCTCTCTTTCTTTAGCCTGTCAGTTTTTTCACCTTTTTACCCTTGTGTTTGTTTATGATATGACCAGTGCATGCTGGTTATGTGACTGAAACAGAAACAAATAAGTACAATGGGCCAAACAGCCCCCTTTCATCTAGAGCCATTGGGATTTTCAACTTTGTTTATTTCATTTGGATCTGCAAGGGCTGTGAATTGTCCTTCTCCCAGGCATTTGTACTGCTCTGCTTTTCAGGGGTAAGTTTGGCGTCCTGGACTGTGTTGACAATATCAGTCCACTTCCAATTTATTTTAAGTCATAGGGAGGTATTTGATTTGTGTTAAAAAAAAGATTCTAACTTTTATTGTCTTAAACTATCTCACTTTAATCCTGCACAGGAAACTGCAAAGTGTGAAGGATTTCCTATTCTTCATTGCAGACATTTTTGTGTAATTACAACATCAACTAAAAATCCTTGGTCTTACAACCAGCTACAGAAAAAGATTCAGATTACTGTGGCTTTATAAATTGGATCTTAGAATACTCCTTTTGTCACAAAGAAGATGAAAGGGCTCTATTACTATCTCTGATAAATAAATACAGCCAAATCACTATGTGTAAGAATGGATAGAACAGACCAAATGCCTCTGTAATCTCATAAGAACATAAGAAGATTACACATGAGAAAAGGTCATTTGACTTGTTTGGCTGGCAGGAGCATATCGATCCTCTGTGTTAAAAACTGCTTTCTCTTCCATGATCATAATCATTAATCATGTATTCCAGTATGTGGCCTCTGTGAGCCAGTCTAACCCAGCAAACAACGGGCTTAAGGAGAAATACACTGTAGGTGTGCCTGTGCCATCCAATGCAGGACACACATACAGAGCTAAGCGATACCAATTTACTGTGCCAATATAGTATATTTTAGAAATGTGGGAGAAGACCCAAGCACCTGTGAGGAGAACAAACACACTCCACACAAGGGGTGCTCTGGGGCGGAATCCAACTCTGTTCTCAATACACATCACTCTAATGACTAGTTCTGCCCTTGTGTTCTCTCTTCATTGCTGAGCAAAGGGGAATACATTGAGTTCACTTTGTCAATGGTCAGTTTTCTGAATACTCAATCAAGTCCCTCACAATCTGCTCTGCTGAACACTGGAGAGACTTATTTCCTTTAAGCTCTCATTGTATTAATTTTAAACCCTTGACATGAAATAAAGAATAAGAAGAACAGAACATCAGGCTCACCTGGGCCTCCATCACTTTGGGGTGGGTGTGGAGGAACTGCTCGATTTCTGCGGGGTAAATGTTCTCCCCTCCTCGGATGATCATGTCCTTCATGCGGCCTTCGATCCTGCAGTAGCCGTACTTATCTAACCTGGCGATGTCACTGCAGAAGGATGGTCACAGTCATATATAGTAACTTTGCATACTTACAGTAAATGTTCACTGTTTGTAACTGCAATGTCATCACTGTCTGTCATGTATTCTGAAGAGGAGGCAGTTATCAGTTCAGGGGTGGAGAGCAATTGGTAAAGAGGGAAGAATGTTAATGTTCTTCTCCACCCAGCCTTTCTCTATATAATATTTCAAGTCTTTTGAACATCATTTTCTGCAGATGTGGGAACAGAAGTATATAAATACAGTTTTTTGGCAGTGCACCTGTAATGTCCATAATTTGCTGTGGCAGAATAATGCCAACTGGCAAGTCCATCCCACTCACCCAGTCTTGTACCAGCCACTGCTGGTGATGCACTCCCTGGTCTTCTCCTGGTCGTTCCAATACCCCAGCATCACACAGTAGCCCCTGATCAACAGCTCTCCCAGGGTGTCCAGAGGCATGATCTTTCCAGTCTGGGGGTCTGCAATTTTGGCCTGGGGGATTACAGCCAAGGAGGAGACATTAAAGATTCTAAATGTCCCCAAAATGTGAAACTCATTCATAATGTTGCTAGGTTTAGGATGGTGTACCCTTCTGTGGTTTTTCACATGTTGAGGTTTTTGTCATTTTATCCCACTGACTCTGGCCTTACACCCTCTGAGATTAATGTGGCTAATGCCAAACTCCTCTTTCAATCACCTGATGACTGCTGAAACTGACTCACTACTGCATCCTCTGCAGCAGATGGGACAAGATGAGATCAGTCTGAATATGTCCTCTGAGGAGTGTGCATGGTCAGACTTTCTGTTCACCATGAAATGTGCACAAACGCGCAAATTGCATGATAATACACAACCAGGAAAGAAAATAATTAATGATCTTAATTACATTTCTAAATTTCCCACTGCAATATTATTTGCATATCCATTCTCTTATTTCCCATACAAGTTTAAAACATTTTCATCTTGGCCAGGAATATATACTGGGTACAATGGAGAATAATATTGCAAATATTTAGTCATGATTGGGAGCCCTGTTGTCTGAGGAGATATAGGCAATTGACATTTGTCTGGTAAGCACAAAAGTAAGATATAATACTTAGACATATTATTAAAGTAAAATAGAGTATTAGCTGATTAAAAGAGCAACTGACTGCAAGATGAAAAATCTTAAGATGGATTGTTTACGTACTCTTAAAGCACAAAACATCAGTACGTCAGACAGGTCTCACATGAAAGGATGAGAGGATTTTTTCTATCACTCTATACCTGTAGCATTTTCCATTGGTATAAAGAACCACCCCCCTAAATATGAAACCCATACGAATTCTAAATTATCCTCTCCTTGTGCATCTTTGCAATAACAATTACAAATCTCAACTTTTGCCTGTAAGCTGATGACTAACAGTAATACTGTAAATGTCCGTACTCTTTTTGTACATGTTAATGTTCCTGCTCTCCTGCTAGGTTAGGCGTACCTCAGTGTGATTTATGACGCATCCCACGGTCTCTGTCTTCCGAGTCGCGGTGTCTTTTGGGAAGTTTAAAAATGTCACAGGGCTGTTTTCCGTTGTGCCATAACCGATCTGAGAAACACAAGAGCAACACATCTGTGGACCATTTGCAGGGTGAGTCTAAGAGTACATAATCAACAGAAATGTAAAACAAGCGTGGGCCACCAGACACAGTCAACAGTGCTCTCCCATTACACATTACACAGAAAGAAAATGTTTTTTTTTTCCTTTAGGATTTCACTGAAGCCTAAACAGCGTAAGAAAATATTATGGCAAGATCAAGTTGATCTGCTCATTCATTTGCTACTTCCCTACACAATACAGCAGTTTGTTTTTCATTTCAACGTGGCAGTAGCACTCACTTAAATTAAATGACCTCATTATGGATTTACATTGGGAACACTAAGTATTGTAGCATTCCACACCCTGGGCATTCAACCATGCCATGACCACTTACTTTTCACTCTTGACCAGCCTCACCATCCTATTCTTCCTCCTATAAAACCAAGGGGAACTCCTTACTCTTTCTCCTGGGCCTTGTGTCCATACAGTAGATGCTCTACATCTCTCTCACTCATCCACTTTCCCTCCCTGTGACCAGCATGCCCCTCTGTCAACAACATGGCAATAAACCTTCTCCAGCCTGTCTTTCTACACTGCTGTCACTAATAAACACCAGAGCTCCCCAAAGTATTATTAAACCCAATGATTTAAGAGGAACACCTGATTCAAGGAATGGCCCCAACAAGCTTTCTCCAGACCTTAATAGAAGAGATGGATTTTTTCCAATTAATCCATCCATCAATCCATCTGTTCTCTAAACCACTTTATCCAGTACAGGGTCTTGGAGGACACTTGAGCCTAACCTGGCAAGAAATGGGAGAAAGGATAGATACCCCTGGATGGGAAGCCTGTCCATTTAAATGATTTAGTCTCATTAAGTGAGGGTTTGGGGGAGAACAGAAACTAAAAGACCCTTGCCATGATTGATTCACTGGACCTTACATTCCTCCACCCAAATCACTTCATGAGATATACTGTATGAATGGACTGATTGCAGATGGAAAGGAGAGTGCTTACATAGATCATTCTATTCAGGTGTTCACTAAGGAAATGAAAACAACATGCCAGATGTTTAAGAAATGCATTTCAGTCCAGAATGACCTTGGCAGAAATTACAGCCATACTGTACAGGGACTAGAAGCATTTAAAACAAACTAGTCACCTGGAGCCTGGAAGGGAGTTAAAGCACCAGTGGACAACAAGGGCTCGACTGGGGTCTGGAATGAGCACTGCTTTCTTGTTGAGTAACTCGAAAAAGGTTAAGTTCTGCAGATTGAAGCTTTCTCTTTAGTGCACTTTTTAAACTTTTTTCCAGAAATCAGTAAGTAATGCTTTCTTTTCAATCCTACTCTCTAGTATGATCTTGGTATTGACGTCATTCCTGTGTAATAATCTGTTAATTATCTCTTTGGTAATCATGAAGAAATACACTCATAAATAAGATAACCTTCCATTATGCCCTACAGCCTCACACACCAGATATATATATATAAGACAGAAGTGCAAACTATGTAAAATTAATGCATCATTATTTTTTACAGCTTTGATATATATGTAAAAATTTCTTAAATGTTGCTGACATTTTACATTCTTCAGTGGTACTGAAATTCACAGAGAGTAGTCAGTAAAGGAGAGCAAAAATAATAAAGTATATTACTGTAGTGAGATATGTGGTGGCTACCTGAGAAATCGCACAACTTATGGCAGCCTGCAGACTTCTGGCTGTGGGAACGGAGCTTGTCAGCAGGGAGAAAAACAGCAGCCTCAGATGCCTTCATCCGTGATCAGAGAATTTTGAATAATGTCTATCTCAAGTGTGTTGTCGAAAACAGGCCGGCAACAAATAAGCAATGGGAAGGAATTTTAAAAATTGAACTGGAGAAGCACTGAGTGACTGAATTCTTTCTGTACATCTCTGACTTCACAGTTTAAATACCCTTCTGTAGTCACAACCTATTATGTGACCAAAGGAATAACTAGCTTGAGAGAATTCAAATTCTCCTTTACACAAAGAGTTGTGGGCATCTAGAACAAGCTTTCTATGTTGACAGTTGAAGCTGAAACTCCTTCATGAAATGGCTGGATGAAAATTGCTGATGAATGGCCATTCAACAAAGATGAATGTACCATCTGGCTGAATATGAATGGAAGTTATAGAGTGACAAACTGGAAAAAATATGAGAATCATAGGTGCTGCCTTTTAACATGTTTCTACAGTTACAGAACTGTACTCAGGAAACTGCGAGCAAGCACATACTGTTTCTTAAAAAAGTATTCAGACCCTTCCTGTGTTTTCACATTTAGTGAAACTACAACATTATGCATATATTTTTAAACTTAACATATCATTCAAAACCTGTATACTCAAACTGAAGTCTTCTAAGGGTAAGACTAGATACAGTGAATATCAGAAAAACATAAACAGAAAAAAAATAAGTTGACTCTTTAAGTATTAAGACCTATGAACTCATTATCTGATGGAAGCACCTTTGGCTATGACTGAAGCTGAAAGTCAGTTTGGGTAAGTCTATACCAACTTTGCACAGCGTAAGCTGCAAAATCTGCAATTATGTCCATTCTTCTCGGCAGATTTGCTCAAGCTCTCTCAAATTATCTCAACACGATTCTAGACAGACTTTGACTTGACCACTCAAGGTCATTCAATTTATTATTCTTAAGCCACTCCACAGCAGCCTTAGCATTGTGCTTTGGATCATTGTCCCACTTTAAGGTGAAATTCTGTCCCTGTTAAAGGTGTGGAGCAGGTTTTTCTCTAAAATAAAATCTTTGCTCCATCTATGTTCCCATTAGTGTGGCAAGCCACACTAATAAGAAGCAGAACTATAACATTAAACTGCCATCATCATGCTTGACAGTTGAGATGGTGCTGACTGAGTGATCCACTATGTTGGCTCTGCATTACCACTGTCCTGGTGTTAAAATGATGATGATGATGACACATTTGCAGTTTCACTTTGGTTTTATTTTCCAAAATTCATGTGGGCTTTAAGATGTATTCAGTTTTATATATAGCACCTTTTGGAGTGAACAGGGTATTGTTTACCCATGGACATTTTATACCAGGTCAGCCACTGAACTCTGTAACTCCTTCAAAGTTGTTGTTGGCCTCAAGAGGTTCCTCTATACCCAGCTATTGAGTCTGGAGTGCCTTTTATTTCTTTGTGATCAACTTTCTGTGTTCAAGAGGGTCATGCAAATGCTTTACACCTTTCCCCTCCTACAAAAACCAACCAGTTTGTCACATTCGAGGTCCATTCAACAATTGTGAGATGAACTGGGACAACATGTGCCATCTAGGGGTCAGAGACCAGTGAACAGGCACATACTTATCCAGGCTCTTTGAGAAATATGGAACAGAATCCTTTAACTGAATCCCAACTTGTGCAAAGCATTATCAAAGATAAAGACCTAGCAAGACTTTTAATGTTGGCCACACACACACTACTAGCCAGTGACTTTCACAGTAGACATCAGTTGATCACTAATCCCGTCCATTGATGACATATGTAAATGCTAAATGTTGGTGCGCCTGCTACAAAAATGATTTTGTCCTTCTCCTGATAATGAACAAGTAATACTGTAGGTTCATTCCATGCTGAAAAGAGAAGAAAGAAAACACAACATTTCAACTGTGGAGCCTTCTTCAGGTGTAAGCATGGAATAAACCTATTACTTGTTCCTTTGCAGCCTACGCATCTTGACGCAGCTACCCCACCTGAACTACTTCTCCTGATAATGTTGTGAATTTGTTGCAGTTACAAATGATGTGTTTTCATGCTGACTGTTTTTCTGAATGATCTTTCCGTGTGTAATTTTCACCATTCCAACCCTTTCACAGCCCAGGTCATACCTTGGCTCTGGCAGAGGTCATGCGATGCAGTACAGAGGGTATATGATTTTAAAACCAGTGGACAAACAACACGCAGATGGCTGGAGCCAGTTTACCAAAGTACCTACATATTAAAGGAATTAAATAATATAACAGCTCTGAAAATGTCCACTTCCAGTGCCCTTTGGCATAAACAAAAGCCATGAATATTCTGATTTGCCAGATCTATGGTCAGAAGATGAACCATTACATTCCCATTAAAATGTTAAATTTGTTCAGTAAACACCAAATGCTCCCTATCCAGACTATGGTCATCAGATTCATAAACATATACATCTGAGGCCAAACCAACACAAGCTGGCCATGCCAGAGACCAAGGATAATTGCAGTTATAAACTTTATGTATTTTTTCAGACTAAAAATATCCTGTTGTAATTATTCTGCTGCAAAACAAAGATTTCATTTTAGAAGAATTCTTAGCTTTGTTATCTAATTCAGATGAAGGTTGTTCCTCTCTTGGAGAAGAAGGATAGGTGATTGTATTTCATTGAGTTGCAACCACAGTGCCCACTTACTTTAAATGTCTCTCACCTACAGCATATAATGTGTTATAAATTTGTGGTACATGAACCTTAATATGATAGCAGCCAGCTTTTAAAAAAAATATTCAGCCCTGTTTTTAAAGCTAGAGTTTTAAACCACATTTAAATCACAAAAAACAACATTGATGGAGAAAGAACAAATGCTGTTTTAGTTATCTGTCTGCTTCAGATCATTTGAGGGGGCTGAGCTTTTGAGCTTTGAGGGGGCTTATATGCACCTTCTGTTTCACGTCTGGTGTGGAACCATATCAACCTCATAAGAAATGCTTGGGAGGATTTGAAAAGCATTACAATCAATGCAAATTCAGTTAAAGCAAGATGTGACACAGTTGAACTCCTATTAGAGGAAATGGATTAATCAATCAGCATGTTATTCTTCACTGTAAAAATGACAGGAAACTCATTGGGCTATTTCTGTATTAATCTATTTGTTTTAGAAGCACAAGACATGTATTCAAAGATATTTGGTTAAGACTAAACATCAGAGGTTTCTTGCCTATGCCTCAGGCAGGCCACGGGCTGCTTTCTTCGTTCTGCATTCTTTCAGGTCCCCATTGCTTAATTTTACTGTCTCTGCTGGAATTTGTTTGCCTTTATATCGAGGTCTTTGATGGATGATGACTTTAAAGGCATTCTCACACACTACCCACAAAACAAAAGACAGCTGAGTGATACCATCATACATGACTCCAAGATGACTCCATACATATATGTTAGGATTCCATCTAGGAAACAGAATTTGATCCAATGGATCCATGTTCCATTGTTGATCTTAGTCCTCTATAGGAAATGGACAAAATGGCCATTTAAGTTCTTGAGGATCAGACTCTTAGATATTTTGGAGCTAAATCTCTGTAAGCAAGTATTCAAGGCATGGAAAATAGTTTATGGATTATGGGTGTGTAAATTGAACATTTTAGTCTCAAAGCAAAGGGTCTCCTCGTGCAAAATGCACGCATGATCATGGGTCATGACAACATGGAGTCAATGGAATCTGAATATTTTAGTTCATCATTGTTGTTAGTCAAAAATGAAGCTGACTGGACTCAACACAAAGATAATAAACCCAAACACGCTTCTGGGACTAATTGGCAGAGAAACACAGACAGAATATAATGACTTCCCCAGATTCCAGATATTAATATATATAATATAGAACGGATCTCATGTACACTGGGGCTTCATTCTTGTCAAGAGTACCATCTGTACAAAAGAAAGCCTGTGAAGCACATTTCAAAAACAAAAATGAAGTCAAATTACAGAGGATGCAGCTGTGTTTTTAGTTTGGGATTAGACTTATATCAAATGCTTTTGTTTAAACAGATTTTGCTCAAATGTGCCGCAATGAATAATTTCAGTGTGTGCAAAGCTCAATAAACAGCAATGCAAGGGTGGTCTAATATATTGAGATGCCCCATGATTGTTTTTTGTTTTTTAGCATTTTAAAAGAAAATAAAAACAGGTCCCACAACATACACACTTCTGGTCAGAAGTTGTGTAATGTAACATACTTCACTGATCAAGACCATGTTTCTCTTTAAAGGTTCTACTGCATTCTTAACTCTGTAAGAGGGACATCATTCAAAATATTAAATATTAGAAGTGAAGTGAATTAGAATACATAAAACATCTTAAGTATCAGCTATATACAGCTAGAGGGAGTTCCAGTGTTCGATAGTACTGCAAGTGTTAAAGCTGACAGAAACTCTGCTTACCCCTGCGGACCTTTCCACGTAACAAGTTGGCTGCCCTCTGAAAGTTTTTTTCAAAATAATGTTATAAATAGTGCTGTGTTCTGTTGACTGCAGTCTTTCAAGCTAAAGGGAATCTCTGCTCTGCCTCCTCTTGTCTCACTCACTCTCTCCCTCTCTCTCTTCGGCTCTGCCTTGTAGCAGCCCAGCAGTCCAGCAGACAGATCAGCCCCAGACATGCTGAGGATAAGCTTTCATGTTGTGTGCTTTCTGGCCCTGGTGGCCACAGCTGTATCTGCCCCTGGCCAGTGCCCCAGCTCCTGCCACTGCCACGGGGATCTGCAGCATGTCATCTGCGACAGCGCGGGGCTGAAAAAGGTCCCTCGCGTGTCCGACTCCACACGCCTCCTCAACCTGCAGCGCAACAGCTTTCCAGTTCTACCTGCTGGGTCCTTTAGCAACGCCAAGAATCTCATCTCTCTGCACCTGCAGAGCTGTCAGATCAAGGAGATTCCTGGGCAGGCCTTCAAAGGGCTGAAGAAGCTCATCTACCTCTACCTGTCCAACAACGAGATCAGTTCGATCAAGCCAGGGGCTTTCGAAGATCTGACCGAGCTGACCTACCTCTACCTGGACAGCAACAAGATCAGCGACTTGCCCAAGGGAGTCTTCTCGCCCATGATCAACCTGTTCATCCTCCAGCTCAATGACAACAAGGTCCGCGAGCTGCGAGCTGGCACCTTCACAGGTGCGAAGGACCTGCGCTGGCTGCACCTCAGCGGGAACGAGATGTCCTCCATCCAGCCTTCTGCCTTGGAAGATGTGGAGAATCTTGCCATCCTTCACCTGGACCGCAACCGCCTCAGCACCTATCCTACTGCTGCCCTGAGCAAACTGCGGGTGGTGGAGGAGCTCAACCTCTCCAGAAACCCCATGAAACTCATCCCCGATGATGCCTTCCTGTCCTTTGGCAAGTACGTGGAGAAAATGTATCTGGACAACATGGGTCTGGAAAGGGTAAGTCCTGTCTGGAGCAAGGTGTGTGGCTGTATGAGTGTGCTATGTGCTGCACATTGTATAAAAAAATGCATTTTAAAATTCACTTTTTAAAAGACAAGTGCAGGTGCAAATCTTTCAAGAATAAACCATGTATTCACTGCTAATCAGTTTTGTACAAAATAGTAAAATACAAGGTTTCAAGATTGTAAAAGAACTTTTCAATGAATAAAATACAAGAACTGATAGACCAGCCAGAGGCACATATCTGGTCATGCAACTTAGAACCTATTATCTTACAGCCACCAGATTTTTAAAATCTTTCACTCTGGGTCAAAATGATCAATTGAGATAATACTATGGATTTGGTTTTAAAGGTTAATAAGTAAGTAAGTGGCATTCATGAATATTGAATTACATATTTGTGTCTTAACAGCTGCAGTTTGCTTTTCACATCTAATTTTGGGAAGCATATGGCAAACACTTGGAGATGAAAGATCTCATATCCCTTTTTTCATAGTACTGAAAACAACATAAATTCTGAAATGAAAAGTATACTGTCTAGCCTGAGATTTAGCTTAGAAATATTCTGTGCTATTTTCTGACTTTCCCAGCTTCATTTATACTGCTATTTGACAGGTACTGTATTTACTAATGGAATTTCAAATATGAGTGTTACATAGTTTATTTTTTAAATATGAATCCCAGCTTTCATTATGAAAGCATAATCTGAAAGACAATGAAGCAGTGCAGTGAAAAAAAATCACTTATTATTGTATTTATTCATTGCAAAGAACTCCTGCAGATACTATGGGAAGCCACTGTATTAGGATATAAGTGCAAGACTAAATTGTTGTAAAGAAGGGTATATTATATATGCTGTTGTTATCTAAATAAATCTGATAGTTTGGAATAGTTCTGTTCAGCATTTCCCATAATCCAAAACATGTATCGTTGGGTTGTTCCACTGAGAAAAAGAAAACTTTATTTTAAACATAACTACATTGGGTTACTTATTTTCAGAGGAAATGAAATTGAGGATAATTTATTTTCCAACCATTCATAGCAAGGTTATTTTGTTACAGGAGAGGAAACTACAGTATGGTATGGTTCATTATTCATCTGGTGCTTTTCTAAAGTTAGAAAAAGCGGGAGACATCGGCATCACTTTGTAGCCTGACCTCAACAGAGCTCAAATGCTCAACAAGGCTGGACATGGTCAGCCCTGAGATGGGAGACCACTAAGGAAAACCTAGCTGCTACTGTTAGTGGTTAATGGTATTCTTTCTTCTGCACCAGAATTTCCACTGGGGGCGCTGTGCTGTAGGAGGTGCTATCAAAGGTTTCTTTAGGATGTTCAACCTATTAAAAGAGTCATTGCATGATGGATAGAGCCACTCTTGAAGAATCATTCATGGTGGTTTATTATTGTCATCAGCTCCATCACTATCTTTACTACTATACTAAAAGTAACCAATTTTTATTAAGGAAGGAAAGCACTTTTTTTTTATGTGGGGACTCCTTGGTATGCCATAATGCAATACATGCAAGCGTTGGTATGCCATTATGAAATCAAGGTTTCATTTTCTCTTATATCATGAATCAACATTGAAAGAGTCAAATCATTGTTGATAACAGTAATAAAAAGGCCTGTTGGTCTTATAGATGTTGGAGGTGATTATTTTGGGAATTTAGGTCGCTGTTCAGGTGCTGAAATACAGCTTCCTCCATCCAAAGAAGATGTTGAGTACTACATCTTGCATGTTTGCTTTATATTCTTATTACCAAAATAATTCTAATACTTTGAAATGAAATGGACAAGATCATTTCCATGATGTGTTAGTGTGGGAGATTCAAGTCACATAAGAATAATATTTTTAAAAATTAAGGTTTTATGATGTGAACAGGCCCTTAATTCCTTCAAGTTATATTTCTTGAATTTAATATTTCAGGAATCTCTGATTCTACTCATGCAATTTGCATGAAATTTCCTTGAGACAAGAAAATATCCTGATTATTCTTCTTTAGATGATCTCTGTGTAGTGTAATAACAGAAACTGAAAAGGCCTTATTAGTACACAGCACAACTTTAACATGATAGGTCTTGATTGAATTCTGCCACCCTCACTCTGTATCCCCTGAGTCTACTAGCCTTTTTCACTGTTTCCCAGCATTGCCTTAATGATGACACTAGTTATTTAACATGAACATCAAGACACAGACCCGCTTTTGCACTTTGCATTTCCTTATTTTGTATGATATGTAAGGCATTCATATTAGACATTATCGATATTTGCATGAAGCAAAATCAATTAATCTACGTTAAATCCAATCAGCCAAATGGTGACTACATCTCAGTCTAAATTCCCCTAATTTCCTAATTACGATAAATTACAGATCTTTGATAGTGGTTAAGAAGAACAGGGGACCTAATACTGTTCCTTGTAGTACTCCAAATATTACCAGAGTTTGAATTTTCACCCAAGTAGCTTCTGTGTTCTGCATGATTGTCTATTTTTATTTCTGTGTTGTACTCACAATACACATAGTGCCCATCAAAAAGGGATAGTATGAGGTAGAGAATGATTTTGTAAAGCTCATGCACAATTTGCTACTGATCACATTATCTTTATATTGCAGGTATTATCTTTATATTGTTCAGTCTTTATGAACTTGGAAACCTTCAACCTGAAACAGAACCTGTAATACTATTTCACCTGTCTGTGCAATGTAGGTGTAGGAAAGCCCAGTTGAAAATAGACACCTTTCAGTTAGAACATCATAATCTTCATGATAAATATAGTTTGAGTTCCAAGCTAATTGGAAATCAGAAACAAACTTGGTGCTTTATATACTTTGGATTTTAAACACAACAAAATCTGTTTCTTCAATACTAGTGAGGTAAGCATTGCAGGAAGCCAATGCAGTATTAATAAGTACAATTCTGCTCTTTGTGAGCTCTCATCTAAATAAAAAGAGCAGGTTTGTGCATTGCAACAGGAGGAGAAGATTCATGCACACACTAGGTGCTCTTTGTACTTCCTCAGCAGTGATGGGACTGAAGGCAAAATTGCACTTAACTTGATTTAAAAAATAACAAAGTTAAAACAAGTATTTGTTGGACGCTGCAGGAAACAGATGGCTGGGAAAAATACCAATGGAAAAATAGGGATGAATGTCAGTGATGTGAGAAGCAGGAGACCAATATGTTAACATGGCCAGAAGAAAAGGATAAATATAGTCCACAAAATTACTACACACCTTCATCTGTTTGCCATGTCTTGTAGAAGAACTGCTGCCCTTTGCTGTAGTGGAAAGGTGTCTTAGAAACAGTGGTATGAAAAGCTGAGAGATATGAAAAGGTCAGAACATGGGTCTGCCAATTAAATTAATCTCCTGCTGGCCCTGAGACATGGAAATCTGAGCACGCAAAGCTGGAAAATTACAACAGAGTGAATCACAATTTGAACCATGACTGACAGAGAGCCCTGTGTTGCACAGCCACAGTGCAGTTTGGGTCATTCCCCCTGATAATAATCTCATAATAACAATCCATTGTTTTACACTGGTTTCTGCTATCAGAAAGTTAATGATATGAAGTAGTAATATTAAACTTTATGTTAAATATACTAAATTTAAGAAGAAAATAATGGTTAAGTGAATTGTTAGTTCATTTTAAGACTTACAGTAAATGAAGTATCAGAGATCTTAGGTGGAAGGATGGCCCAACAACAATGTATTTATTTTTCCTCAATTTTGCTTTTTCTTTCCAACTCTTTGCCTGTGGAGTCCAGTGTATCCCACCAGAATTGTAAGCATAGGAAGTCCTGGTAACTGTTTCTGAATGGTACAACTTGAAAAACATATGAAGATATGAACCATATGATCATATCTAACATAGCCCACTAAATCCAGAGAAACAAGCTTAAATTGCAGGGCTCCCGCTGACCAAAGATTATGACCAATCTTTCTGCACTAACATTTCATAAAAGGGGATAAAAGTGGTGTTTTGAAAACTTAACTTGGAGTCCAACACAGTCACATAAAAACCTCAGCTTTTAATAAGACTTATGGGACAACAATCAAAGCATTTTTCTCCACAGATTTTACTCCAAAAGAACATATTTTCAATACCATATGAAATTATGTTAAAAATATTTTTCCACACCTATTTTTCCTCCAGCATTACTGGCATCTTCAAAGTTATTTTCAGTAAATTAAGAGGATTTTTTTTTTCAACAATGAAAGCTTTGAAAAATTCCCCTTTCACTAGGTGCACTAAAAGGTCTGAGGTAACCCTTTACAGGAGTGAGTCAACGTGCATTTTTTTCTATTACCAGTATTAGTTGATCATGTTGATAAATGTTTGCTAACATCCATTTTTGAAACATGGTGAATGTTATATAAACATCTCAGCTCCAGTTTCTCTTGAGATTTCCGCCACTGCCACTTTCACAACACCTTCATGCGTTTTTCGACAAATAATGTACCAGAAATATTTTAGAAAAGCAACTAAATCATTTTGCCAATGTGAATGTGTAGGAGAGAGTAAAGTCTGTGCAGTCATAACTTAGAAAATCACTTTCCAATCAAAACGGTATATTTTTAGGCCTTGTTTACTAGACAGAATCGAAGCTTGTCCAGCCTAATTATTACACAAGTGTTATTTTCAGATTTACATTTTTTTTCCCCCTGTAAACAGGTCAGCGAGGGTTATGAGATGGATAAATATAAGCATGGTGTTCTGGGCCCAATGAAGAGATGTATTTTTGGGTTGCCATTGCCCTGCTGAATAGACAATTGGGCTCTTTGCGAAGCTGCTGGCAGGAGAGAGGCTTGAAAGGAGATGAAGAGAGAAAAACAACCCTTAAAACTGGAAGCCATCCATCTTCCACTCCCTCAAATTACCAGACCTTCCACATCCATTACTTCTGCTCTCTCTCAGTGGAATTTTCCATAGGCCTGGTCAAACAAGTTAATGTCTTACAGTCTTACATAAGACTCCTTCCTTCTCTAAGGAGGAGACTTCACATCTTCAAGAGATCGATTCGTTTTGCACCTCGTTGAGAGTTTTAGCATTTTGCCTAAAAGGTTTGGAAGTCCAAGGGGACTACAGATGCCAGACTTATATAACAGTCACATAAGGGGGCCTTTCACACTTATTAAACTATAAATAACTTTTAAAATAACCCTATAAAAAGATCATACCTTTGCTTCTTATTTATCCTGTCCATTTAAACCACCATTCAACAACTACCGATCCTACATTCCAGAACAGTTTTCATCAGGAATCTGGATCTGTAACTTGAATTTGTTTTTAAGTTTCAGTGCCTGCTTGGCTGACTTCAGTGAGACTTTGAATTTCCTTCTGGAGAATACAAAGGCTTTTAGAAAAGGAAGGCCAAGCCTTTTAGGTGACAATCAGATTTCTTAAAGTCATGGAAGAAACAATAACATTTGTACACATTGTGTTAAATCAGATATATTTTCAGAAAAGTTTGATCAAGGTCCACATTAAACTAAAATATGAATCCAAGAATATCCAATTAAACGAATATGGTAGAGAGACTGGTTACTGGTTAGTGGAGTATTCTGACTGAGATACATACATAGAGGGATGATATAATTAGTGGCATACAGTACCTCAGGAATCAGCACTAGGCCCTTGCTTTATTTATGTTCCTTAAATCAAATGTTGGTTTCAGTCAAGCAGGTGGCACCTTACATATAAAGCGGCAAACCATCTTCAACTGAAAATTAAATGGTACTTACAACCAAAGAAAATACTGAATTATACTTGTATTAAACAGCCTAGAGGGGGAGTTCTCTAAGGTAAAACTAAGTTGCTGCTGTAATGGTGTTGTTTAATATAGTCATTCCCATAGAAGCATAGAGATCTAAAAGACAGGGATTCAACGAGCCCAGTCATAGACACTAAGTATCGAGCGAGAGGTACGAGACTACGAGAGCAGAGATATTGATAATCGAGCAGCAGTAATAATGCACGCAGCCAAGTTGGGCCTCTCGCGGCCAGTCTCATGTGGTCAATTTAGCATTTTTCAATTGACAATCATGTTTCTTTTATTATTATATATTTTTTAATTTAATTTTTTGTGAGCAGTTAAATTTCCTATGGGCACCTAAGCAGATGGTGCTCTTCCTTCAGGACCTGAATTATCGGTCATTAAGAATTTCATAAGGATAGGGTTGTTAACCCTGGTGTCCTTGCTAAGACCTACTATGGGCTTCCAAAACCTGGCCACCCATCTATTCCTCTTAAATTCATGGAAGATCTCACTTTTCTCCCTGATCTGCTGTGTAGTGGGGGTACTGGAGCAGAACGGGTGTTGTAGAGATCCAAACGGTTGTATCCAAGCGGGTGCCACACTTTTGTAGAAGGTGAAGTATGTCGCTTTCTGCAAAGCCCACTGGGATCCTTTCAGTTGAAACGCATGGTACAAATACAATTAAAAAAACAGAGTTTAGTTCCTCCATTTTTGAATGTTATCAGAATGCTGTCACAATGCTGTCAACATGCAGAGACCTGTGTCTGGCATTGAACCATTCCCATAACCTCCGAGGGGTTCTTGACCAGTTGTCTTGACCAGAGCCTTCTTGGTGGTCACCTTTTTGACTTGTGGACAGCTCACACCCCGCTACACAATTTCACTGATGCCAGCTGTGTTATCCAGATAAAGTACATAAAACCAAAGAACAGACTCTAAAACCAATGTTTTATGCAGTAATCATATTTGTTGTACCAATTTAAAAGAAAATAGTTACTAAACCCATTTTCTATTATGGATGTCACTGTGGTATGTCAGTTAGCACTTCTGCCTCACAATTTTTGGATCCTGGGATAGCTTTATAAACTGATCCTTGTGTGTGTGCACTGTATCCATGTGGTGTCACATCCTAGCAACCTTTAAATGCAGGATAGGCTCCCTTTCTGGGAATAAGCAGCTTAATGTTAATGTACAGTATAGGTATTACTGTATTATTATTATTATTATTATTATTATTATTAATAATAATAATATTGTTATTATCTTCATCAGTAGTGAATTAGGTATGTTTCTAAAAACAGAAATTAAAAGTAGGCAAATAAATTCAGATTTTCACCATTTGGACAACAATGAGGTACAGCCACATGGAACTAAATCAGAAGATTGTGATGAAATTACGTTTTATTTCACTGGAAACATTAAAAACTGGTTTGTGAAGCCTGCCAATGTTTTGTAATTGCACAGCTGCAATTTCATTTAGTCTTTTGGACAGAATACTGATCTATAAAAAGATTTCATATCCTACCATTACAGACTAAATATATGTTTATTGTTTTTAGCATAAATTACCAATTATAAATCTTAAAATTATAATCTAAACAAAAACACGGATGAGAATTTGGACACAGTGTCAGCAGTGTCATCTGGAAAATTCTTCCACGTTTTAGCTTCCAAAAAACACAGCCTATTCTAATGAAAGATACAGTATGTAACTCAAAATCTTTGTGATTAATTCTCTGGCCTACGTTCTCATTCTACACGTGTTCTTGTGAATTTTCTCAACATCAAAATAAACATACAGTATCACTCTACTGAAGTAGCTCTGGCTATTGCATAAGCACTAAAATATCTCTTTAGTGAGGGAAATTGATTAGGCATAGGTGATAGGATGATTTATCCTGTTTAATATCAATCCCAATGAACATAAAGAAAGGGAAACACAGAAAAGAATTTGTACCGCTTAAAATCACAACAAAACCTTTGTGCTGTAATTATATGGAGGACTAATTCTGCACGTTTTTCTAGCTTAGCAAACTACAGTCCAGCACTGCATCAGTGACAGGACAGGATCAAATCACCATGAATCAAGACACCTTGCCAAAATGAAAAGGGATGTCTTGCAGGTTCATCCTGACATGACCTCATACTCCTTGTGTAACAGTGGTTTCTAGCGAGGTAAATCGTTGCAGTTATGTCGTACCAATCCTACTTACTAAACCTGCGACTCTAGACCTTAAGCCCTTGTAGGATGAGTTAGGGCATTATGCTTGGGCGCAGTGATCACAACAAATACAGATGTTTGTTCTGACTCTATTAGGGGAACAATCTTGTGTAAAGCCATGTGTCAGTTGTGTACAGATTAACAATTTGTGCTGCTTCCAGAAGTGACCATACACACTATTACCTTGTGACTTTCATATTAATCAACTCTGTTAAATATTAATCGGCATAGTGAATTTGCTAATGCCTTGTCTATTCCATACAACATCTGTGCACCTGTTACAAAAATAACTGAATTTACTGCAGCTATAAATGATAATACGTGTATTTTGATACTAACATCTGTATTGGTACTTTAGGTGATAATTATAATAGATTGAAAGAAAATATTTACTTCTTTTAATTCTTTAAAGAAATTAAACTGAATATGGAGAAAGAACATACTGTAGATCAGTGTAGTTTTGGGCTGAGTCAAAGGATTAGTGCTTTAGTGCACCTAGTGTTGCTGTGTTATAGCTCCTGAGTCCAAAGTTCAGCTCTGGAATGGATACTGATCTGGAACGGAACTGTATTTTTCTATTTATTTTTATAAAGATTATTTTGGGTACATTCATAGATAAGGCAAACAGCTAGAGTGCATTTCCTCACTTTAATTTCACACTGGTTCTGCAACTTTTAAGGACGGTAAAAAGACATGTATTAAGATTCCCGGATCATGAATCTTATGAACCCAGACAGTAACGGCGACTCCCACAGACATGGACTGTTTATTGTCTTTTTTGTGAGGAAAGCTTTCTGTCAGTTCTCAGACGGAGCTTTCAACGGGGTCAGAGCTCTCAAATCCCTGCACATCGAGAACAACAGGTTGAAGACTCTGCCTGGAAGCCTGGAATTCACCACCATTCAGAACATGACGCTCTCCAGCAACCCCTGGAGCTGCACCTGTCAGCTCGCCCCCCTGCGCAGGTAATCCATCCGCAGTCAGTCATGGAGAGCAACGCCTCAAAGCACCGCAGGTTGGGCATACTAGAGCCAAGCACAGGTACTGAAGCTTCAGACGAACAGAGCTGCAGTGACAGGAGCGGAGTAGTAAACGCATGACAATTGTTTTCCTTGGCTGAAATTCCACCCTGTTAAAAGCAATACCATATCTACTGTGGAGCTGGCCTGAGTATGAATTTGCCTTTGGAAAAAAACCTGCAGTAAGTTCTGTTTGTAGTCCCGTGTAAGGTTTCAAGTATAGCACATCTTGAGAGATGCGGTTTTTAATAATCCTACTTTGTCAGTACTGCACTCTGCCAGTCCACTCAGTTCAGAAACACCTGACTCTCCTGTGTAAAGGTCAGAACAGCAATATCAGTCACGCTTATTATCATATTAATCATCCCAATTATTTTTACTTGCACGTATTAAAAGTGCAGAAGAGAAATTGCTTTAATTTTTAGGATCCTGCCCTCTAATTGCTTCATTCATGATGTCTGCAAATTACATTGTTATACTTATTGTTAGGAATGACTGTTGACTTACATTATCACTCTGTATTATCTTACTATTGATAAGAATTTATTGAGAGGTTCTAGAAAATGAAAGTAACACTTAAGAATGAAAATTAACTTTTTAATATTACGATCGTGTTGACTATTCAAAACAGAATGATTAAGTTAAACTGCTAGGATGATTACTTTACTCCTCTGACAGGTGGTAGTGTCCTTGAATGGTCTGACATTATAACAAATACCATGGTAGCTTAAGGTGCAACAGTTAATCTAAATGCTAATTCAAAAGAACAAATGTACTCTGTATTTGTGCTTTCTGCATCTGACAGAAATATAAATACTACTATTTTTTGGGCTGTTTTTCTAAAAATCAAAGGCAGAGACCATTTTTAATCTTTTTGCGGGTGCGCCATATGCCAGTCAAGGACTGACCGTAATTTATTAAAGCGCCATTACGTAAAGAGTGGTACCATGGCCAGCTGTGACCGTTTCCACACCAGGCAGATCTGACCTTGACCCTGTCCACTCTGTCTGCAGCTGGATGGACTCCAGCAGGGTGCGTCCAGATGCTGTCTGTGCATCTCCATCTCAGCACAGAGGCAAGCAGATCAGGGACAGCTCTGCCTTCAACAGCTGCAGACGGAAGACGAAGAGAGACAGAAAGGGCACCCGCCTTTAAAGAGGTAAAGGCCCATCAGTTTGGGTCCCCCTTGGGAGCAAATGCTTTATTAATATAAAAGTAATGATACTACAGCTCCTTCAGCTCCAGCTTCAGCTGGAATGAAGATCTGTACAACTGAAGGGGAAGTGTACTTTCTGTGCTGCTCGACAATTGTGTGATCCAATTTCCTTAAATATATCCTGCAATATTAATAATTTATTTGGCTAATGGTTTTATACCAAAGGAGTTGCATTTGTACCCACGTTTACAGCTGTTACTAAAGCAAAGTAATTGAAGTACAATGCTCAGAGGCATAATATTGGTGTACCATCTGGGGAGTGGAACCCATAAGAATTCAAGTTAAGAGTCCAGAGCCTTAACTACTGCTCCACATCACTGCCTGAAGGTTATTTACTTACATCAGTGTGTTTGTGTGAGTCACGCTGACCTGCACTACCACATCTACAGAAACTGGCGTCAATTCCTAACTCAAAAGAAACATTTTTTGAAAAGGAAAAAAACAATTTTTCCCTTGCCATAGGGCTGAATGTTTCATTGTTATTATGATCCTGGCCTAAAACAATATTAGAAACACAGCTTCTGTGAAAGTTCTGAAGCATTTTCACAGGCAAACAGCAAACAACAATAAATCATCTGTATGCTTAGGTATGTCAGCTCACCATATAAGATGTGCCTCAGCTGTGGTGTGCACATTTTCATTTTCTCAAAACTAGCAGGGGAAAATTAAAATTTAACATTAGGTGCCCAGTATTGGATTTTGTGCTAAAGTCATTGGCCTCAAAACTCAAAACATGTTTTCAACTGGTATTTCATAGCCAACGTCTTTTCCAGTGAAAATCGTGGCTCTAATACCCCCACTGACTGTTATAAAATCTTGCTGCTCAGAAAGACCCAATAAAGGGGCCTTTCATATTAACTGAGGATGGTGTGGCAACGAGGAGATTCCCAGGAGCTCACTCATGAGTCTGGGAATTGGTAGCTAAATGGTAGATCTGAAAGTGGACAAGCAGCATTATCTGTATTAAAAACAGCAAGATATTTATTCCAAACTTTTATTTCTGAGCTGTGTTATTAGGGCTTGAAAAAATAACCTCAAATTACCCATCTGGATTAGTAAAATGCTTAACTGCTGTCTACGTTTATGTAATACAGCTGTGTGCTCTTAGGGCCCAGCGGAAAACCTGCTGTTAAGACCTGTCTACAGTGATGTACTGTATACATGCAGGTTTTTACAGCCTACTGAAAGCAGTATAAAATATTGAGGTACATTTCAACTCACAGTCACAGCCTAATGATTACTCTGGGCTTACACTAGTCATTCATGCACCTACCAAAAAAAATGTTACAAATTATGGGGAGCAGGAAAGAAAATAAATCCAAGTGGTAAGTAACAATTTGAAGCATGTGAATTTTAGAATATCTTTATAAACACAAAATCATATCCCAAAACACTATGCAACACCCTGACAGGCCAACAAGAGGAACACACTGCATCCTAAATTAAATTAAAAGAGTATGACCCAAGACCTTTCTACAACACAGATGCCAGAAGCGAATGTGATTCTCTCTCTATTCTAAAATTGCATTACCAAATTAGTAGAGATGGTGTTTAAAATTAATAAGACAGCATGCTCTCTTCAACAGGGTTCAGATTACTTAGCCAAAACCTGGTCTCCAAGACTGATCAACACATGGTTCTCTCACATAGGACGGCTTAGGAAAAGAGAAGGTTGATTGTGTTTCTTCTTCTCTCTGTCACTGTTTCTCTCTCCCTTCTATCCCTGTGTTTCTGTATTGACAATTCAAATGATTTAGCAAGAATGTAATTAAGTAGAGTAAACCAGAAAATTCTCATGGATCATCTGTGTTCACCTGTCTCTCAGACTACTGTACCTCCAGCTAGGCACACACCTCAGATGAAACCCATTGTTTATAGGTTTTCTGAGATGTGAACAGCAAACATTAATACAGTAAATGCTATGACTCCATTATGTGTAACAATATATACCTGATCTTAATGTTCTATAACAGATAGCAGACATACCAATTCTACCGAAGTGTAACGGGGCACACAGATTTGGGAGGTGAAATCTCACAAGTTCCTCTCAAGTCTTTCTGAGAGTGAAACACAGTTTCTGTTTTTTTTTACAGTTTATGTTTTAATAACTATCTCTCTGAAATCTTAGTAACAGCCTGGGTCGTAACTGTGTCAGCAACTGGAAAAAAAAAGATGGTTATTTGGCGTACTGACCAAACAGGTTTAACCAAGTGAGGACATTTTCCACTGTTACTACTGGGTGAAAACAGGGACTGAAACATGCCTTCTTTGCAGCTCACATCAGGATGGTTAGGTAACATTACTCTGGGTGGTCTGGTTGCCATCCAGGCCCTGCTATGATCAGGGCAATTAATGTGCAGATCTCCCTGCTATGCTACCAGTCAGGGGGGACCTGTTACATCATGAAATATAATGAAATGTAACTGTTAATTAAAAAAAAAACAGGCAGAAAATGGAATCTTGGTTCATTTAGAAACAGAGCACACTGCCTCCTACACTTGCCCCATGACCTAGAGACTTGTTGTAGTTTAGATATAGAGAAATCCTGCGTAAAATCAGTGTTTTACAAGAGGATACTGTATGAAAACAGCAGTAAAAGTGGACAGAGTCAGGCTAGTCCTGTAAGTCATCAGAGGGGTGACATCTCAGAGATCTCTCTGGACAATGTCAATGCAAGACTTCTGTCTGGTCAAGATGAGTGTCTGTTGTTTTTCATTTTAGCCCAGAGCTCTGACACACAAATACTTCATTCTCCTTGCGCAGGCTCCGTAATGCTTGTTTGATTTGGCTTCTGGATTTCTGTCTTTCCACAGGAGACGCTGCGAAAGTCTGTCCAGGTGACCGGCTACTTGTGCAAAGAAAGGAGCAATGCCAACCGCTATTCCAACACCGTTCATCTGCCTTACCCCCTCCCCCTCCCCTCTCTCCCTCTTCACTGCTGAAGAATGTCTCAGACACTTACCAGTCTCCAGAAATTCCTTTTCCCCACAACAGTCGGCCCTCGCCAGGCTGCCCTATTTACTCTCTCTAGCATGTTATATAGCAATATATAAGAAGTTCTTTCTAAGGATGTGTAAATTAGGTGCATGGCAAACGGCCTGTACCATTAGCAAAGTGGGAATGTTTGGTTTTTTTTGGTCTTTTCAGACGTTTTGTGTCGAATTTGTACAATAATTTTGACTGGTCTGTCGACACCCTAAATGACATGAAAACCAAGCATCTAAGTGGACAGCAAAAACAAGTAAAATGTAATGTAAACCTCTTTTTTGTTACATTTTTATTTCCTACCCCGACTAAAGTGGGGCCTGAGCGTTTGCATGACAGATGCAAAGTGCCTCTTTCAGCCTTGGCACGGACACGTCCTGGTGCCTGATTGGGACTGTGTTCGGCTCAGTGCTATGACCGCTCCTCCAGCAGTGAATTGGGTTAATCAGACACTGCTGTATGTTGGGTTGGATTGAGAGACTGTTACCTGGCTTTATCACTTCAGAGCACTCAGGTACAGCGCCACTGCTTGTATCAGACAGCTTGGGTCTGAGCTGCTCAGACTGTCTTTTGTGGGAAATGTATACAGCAGCCATGCCAGAATCCCAAAGCCTCCTCTTCCTTCACACTCACTCTGCCAGTGCAGACTGATTCCCCTCTATCCGACTGATCCGGGTTCAGTTTGCAATGAAAGAATATAGCCAGCATCATGCAGAATAACATTTGCTTTTTATAAGTAAATATGAAACAATTTAAAGACTGGGAACATTTTCTTTGTTGCAGGATGACAGATTGTATTTACATCAGCTGTGTGATCACTGTATGAATGTGTGTGCTCATTCATGAAGGGAGTGCTCAGGGTCAACAGCATAAAGAATGATAGATATGACAGGAGTCATGGCTTCCTATTGGTCTTAAGGACTAAATAAAGGAAACAATCTGCAGGTTGCAGACTTTAATAACCCTGTTTTAAAACAGTGCAATGGATCTCAGCATTGCCTTTCCACCATGTGCTTTCAAGGCTTGGTTGGTGCTTGTTAAGTACAGTAGGTGAACATATTTTCCTTAGTCTGTCCATTAAAGCAAGAATGGATGTGCAAAGGTGTGTTCCCAAACTCACCTGTATCCAAAGCTGCCCAAAAGAGTTTTGAAAAAATAATGAGGAATTTCACTGGTAACTCTTCTAAAGCTTCTAGTAGTATCTCAATTTTCCACTATGCCACATGTTAAACAATCGAAAATAGAGGCCCAAGTCACTGCTGGGCTGTTTATTTAAACAACCCGGTTGGCACCTTCAGAAGAGAAAAAATAAGCAGTATATTAAGGCATTACAGTTAATTCTAAAATTAGAAGTGCAGTGGAAATCTTTGGACATGTATCTACTCCAATATATGATAGAGATTTTAATGAAACCCAAGTCCATTCCATTCTACGTTTCCTGCATTAAAAAATAAAACAATTTCCTTAGGGAGTATGGAGATAATCCTATCCGTGACTGACTGCATGTATAATACCAGCATGAGAATGTCATTCCTTTTGAATAAAGGCTCTTTGATTTATTCTTTAAGCTTTGCAACTGTTGGAATAATTTTAGTAATGTTTGAATTTGATCAGTCTGAGTAGGAACAAAACATGTTTTTTATAAATGAAATGATCTGTGCACAGTCAGAACAGCATGGAAGGTATAATAAGTCCTGGAACCTCGTAACTACAGTGATCTAAACTGTGTTCCAGCTGGGTTTCTCTCCCAGCTGGTGACATCAGTGAAGTGTGGTTGTATTAATCCCAGGCTGTGGTCTTGCTGTGGTGTTTGTCTACAGGCTCCAAAGAGAGCGCTGAAGAGTCTTTGTCAGTTTCAGACAGGGCCTTGCTCTCACAGTATACAGTATGTGTTCCCAGTCCAGAATAACGTTAAGGGAGAAATATCCCGGTAGCTAAGGATCTGCTCCTATGGCAGGAAGGTTGCCGGTTTGTATCCTGTGGCTGGAAGAGGAATCCTACTCCCTTGGGCCCCTGAACACGGCCCTTAACCCCAAGTATTCCAGTGGTGTCGTATTAATGGCTGACCCTGCGCTCTGACCCCAAGCTTCTCTCCACATCTGTGTGTCTCATGGAGAGCAAGTTGGGGTATGCGAATAGACAAATTCCTAATACAAGAAATTGTATATGGCCAATCAAGTGATTTTATCTTAATCCACTTGTGTGTGCCACACCTCAAACTGAAATGAGGAACTGTGACATTCTTATAAATACAACATTAAAAAACATGACTGTTGATTTTCCCATGGAAAGACAACCTACTGATACATCCAGAGCCTAGTTTCTCTATCAGCAGCTCGTGATGAGCTGTGAATTAACAGCAGCGGTTTGGATGAAGAGTGAGCCCTGCCTCAGACAGGGCTGTGGCCAGGTGCTATCTGTGAGGACTAGACTGTAGATTATGCAGGTCACTTTCCTACAGACCTCAGGAAAGGACTGGAGAGATTATCACCCAGGCTGCCAGACTTCAGGCACTGGGCCAATTCACAAACAACAGCAGTGTCTCTGAAAACATTCTCTTTGCTAATTACCTAATTAATCTGACATCTTAACATTTAATTACAAATAATACTGGTTTGTTGCATTCTCTTTTAAATAAAAGTTGTATGCTTTAATAATAAAAGGTTGAAGTTCTGTTCTTTCTAATTGTTGTTTAATAAATGCAAGGATCCTCATTCTCTGCACAAGTACCTGGAGATGCCATATTACACTTGGTTTCAGTACCACCTTGTGGCTGAAGTATAAACTGCAGACGTGGGTGCCATGAGCGTGTGGGAGTTGGTGCTGCTGTCTCACAGCTCCAGAGTCCTGTGTTTGATTATGGCCTGGCCTGTCTGTGTGTGTGGAGTTTGCATGGTTGTCCTGTTTTTCCCCAGGTGCTTTGGTTTCCTCATGCCTCCCATAGACATGCTGGTAAGGAATAGATAGTCTAGATAGTCTAGATTTCTACATATAGTTATCATCTAGAAACCCCTGTATAATGTGTTTTTGTGTATAAAGAGCTAAGATTGAGTAGCCCTAAAGAATCAGACTTGAAAAAGGCACAGAAGCAATGGTCAAACTCGTAACCCTCTGAATGTCTTGAACCAAGTGACAAGTGATTTTATGCTTTGATAACTATGATGTTTATTGTGAATCGGATTAGGGATTTTATTTATAATCTCTATGGAAATATTATTTATCATTTCCAAACAGCGCGATTTAAGTATCAGCCACCTTTGTAGTGTAACACAAAGCTTGCAGAATCCAATGGGTTCCAGAACAAGATGTTACTTAGGGTGATATTTTGATTGAGCCACAAAAATCTCAACAAAACAACAATAATTCCCATGATAGAAGAGGATATTAAACAGGATACTTGAGAAAGTGTAATTGTAAGAATTTTAATTAAAATGAATAACAATTGCTTGCATTTATGTAGTACTTTTCCACAAGCATATCAATGTGCTTTAACTTGAACTTGAACTTGAACTTTATTGCCATATGTAACCGGCACTGGTACAATGGAATTCTTACTTACAGAAAGTCTCTCGATTGTAAAACAAGTGTAAAAAACAAGACAAAGTGCAAACAGTGCATCAAGACAATGTACAAACAAACAATAGACAATGTGCAAGTAAACATGCAGACAGTTTGAATGTAAACAATACAGACGTGTAAACAATGACTGGAGATGTGCGATAGATAAGAAATCATAAAGAGGTAGATGGTGATGGTGTAGGTGTGGTCCGAGGGGGATGGCTAAATGTGTTCGCCAGTCTCACTGCTTTACATATAAGAGTGGACCCATTTCACTACTAAAGTGCAGCACCACCTGAATGACATGTAGCAGCCACACAACACAGTAAATCACCAAGAAAAGTGATAAATCGCCACTGATTGAATTAAGAGAAATCTTTCGGTAGACCAGATTGCACAATCACATAGTGGAATTTAGCCAGGACAACAGAGTTAATACCTCTACCCTTTTGAAAAGAGTCACGGGATTCTCATTGACCAAGCAGTCAGGACTTTTTTTTTAAACATGTCATCTGAAGAACTCATCTCATCTTATGAACATCTCTTCCTGTAGCACAATATTGCTGGTCACCAGATTGGAGCACTGGTTTAGAAATCCACATCCAGGGTGTACAGTGCCACCTACTGGCAACCCACTCCACCTACAGCTGCAACTTGGATTTTCTTAGAGGTTTCCCATCCCAGAACTGAGCCAAGAGTTCTGGGATGACAGTGGTGCTTCTACCTGCCTAAATCACAGCTGTATGTGATGCTTATAATAACTGCTTTATAATGTCTCAATAGTTCTAAAAAAAACAGGAAAATATTTATACAGTAATGTAAAACACATGTCCTTCATGTTTTAATAGAAGGCCTGCGTGCTCCTAAATATTGACAAGTTTGGTGACTTCCAATAATAGTTTTGGAGTAAAGAGGGTTTTCCTCCAGCTCATCTTGTTACTTTTGAAATGTTCTATTTAGAACATTTTTTGAACATTTGAACATGAATTAAATCATAATAACAGCAAAAAGTATTAGGCTCCAAAAATCCAATTAAGAAAAGTCCAGAAATGGTTGAGGTAAAAAAAATGAATTGCTACGCAAGTCAACTCACCACTGATATTCACTACCTTGCATATCAATACTTACTGTAGCTCTTAAAGCTATTCACAAAGCATCTGTACTCACCGATAAATCTTCTATGTTGAATACTGCCATGCATTTTTTTACAATCTCTGGAGGACAAAAAGACCCAGCCATGACTCCTACAACCAAACAAAGAAATTGATGTGATATCGCTGGAATCGCTGCAAATCCTGAGAAACAAACTACTGGCATTCAAATCTTGTAAAAGCATATCAAACACGTTAACTCCATTTTTAATAATTACATATTATTAATTTTACAAACTTCTATGCAATTGACAATTCAATTAAACAGTTTTACGGCTTGATTATCAGACATACATCGGTGCAGAATTTGTCAAATAGCAGCAGCAAAACTAGAAATTGTTTTGGTATCACTGCAGAACAATGAGGTTTCCTTTCTGCCCACCAGAGGAGAGAAGAATTTAAAAAATCAAGATAGTTATGTTTAAAAAGGAGTGAATATCAGCATCAAGAAACTGGTTAAAAACTGAAGTCTTGATCACTGAAGTGTTGCTGCTAAGTTTAGTGGACTCTTGAGCTTCAAAAGATCAAATTTAAAAGGTCAAAAGGTGAAAAGTCCTCATATACTGTATGTGCACTTCAGCCTTTCTTTCAGGGCAACAACGTTCTGTATTGAACCCAGTATGACCCCTTTCTCGCTTCCTTTCAGCACACAGACTCCAGTAATTATGGCAAGACAGAACAGATTTGAACAGTTCATCTTTTAGCTAACAATTAAAAAAGAAAATTAAAAACTGTAAATTATATTTTGTGTTATACCTACCCAATTGGAAATCACCAACTATGTATTTTCACTTTGGTGCATGGCTACAAATACTCTGACCTCTAACCTCTGAGCTACTTGGCTTTTATAAAATGTCAGGAAACAGCCCCATATTGGATGTTCATATCCAGCTGCATCCCTCACCAAGAGCATTGCTTGCCAGCTGACCTCACCCCTGGCACTTTGCTAGCTCTGTGTCACTGCTTCGGAACTCCTGGTTGCTGTCCCCTAGTGATATGACACAGGCTTGAACCTGCAATGCCTAGAATACAGAACTCAACCTAACTTTAGATGAACACCTTTACTGTTTTTACTGCCACTCAAGAGGTCCAACAAAAAACTTTTTAAAATGAAAGAGACACTGCAGTGAATATCCGAGAACTCGACAGTTAAACTGGAGTTATCTGCTAAAGCTTGTAACCTGATCATTTATTCATTCACAAATCAAAGCCACATAAAACAGGAAGAACAATGTGTCCAGGACACTGCCTAGAACCTCGGTTCAAAAATAAGAACCCCCAGTTATACTGTATTTCAAGAGGGTCATCAGCGACAATTAAGAATATTTATTTGACACAGGTGCTCCAAGTACTATGATCAGTAACAGAGCACAGGTATGCATGGAGGGAGGATAACCAGCACGATGAAGATTTCATTTTCTGTATTTTATCCTTCTCAACATAATGAGAAATGTAGTTCAGGTGGGTAGCTGCGTCAGCATGCGTAGGCTTTAAAGGAACAAGTAATAGGTTTATTCCATGCTGAAAAAAAGAAGAAAGAGAACACAACGTTTCGGCCTTGGAGCCTTCTTCAAGTGTCAGGTGTCAACACCTGAAGAAGGCTCTACGGCCGAAACGTGTTCTCTTTCTTCTTTTTTTCAGCATGGAATAAACCTATTACTTGTTCCATAATGAGAAATGTACTATGACCAAGTCCTTTTCTGTTGTTAAATTCATATTATTTATACTGTTTTACTATGATTCTTCCAGATTCTGTGATTCTGATATCTGTAACATTTCAGCTGTTGGTCATGCTGGACGTATTCTCTAATGCTAGCATGTCTGACCTTGTCAGAGAACCTTCCATCCCCACCACTCAAGGGCTTGGATCCAACCAGAACCCAATCCTTTCTTGTAACATCAACTGTTTTCTTCAATGCAAATAAAATGACTGCACACTTTACACTTAAAAATATAGTAAATGATAGATCTAACACCACAGTGGAGGCTCAGTTGTCTAGATGTCCCCCATTCAAGCCTTAGCTATAATCTATAATAATAATATTCTCATATAATACATAAGCCAGGATGTCCTTGGCTCACCATGCCACCAAGACTCCCGTTATCTGCAAGTTCATAGCGGCATCATGTGAGAGACACTGTGCTCCTGCAGTGGCTGCTGATTTTCCTAAAGGACACTGCGTGTCAGATGATCCGACACGTGGGAGACGGATGTGAGTGTGCACAGATTTCAGGAAGAAATTGGGCGATACTACAATTTGTAGGTATGAATGAGAAAAATTCCAAATTTAGAAAAAAATACGTAAATAAGGACATCACTATATTCCACAAAGTGTTCTAGGAGTATTCTTACTATACTGTACATAACCAGGCTGGATCAGAAGGCTGAATTTGGTCAGACTCTAAGTTTGAAGTAAATTCCTATATGACTAAGATCAATTGGTCACGGCTCAGTGTATGGGTACATGAAACACGTTTTCGCTGTGTCCCCTGGGTGTTCTTAGAATTCCAATGGCTAATGGCGATCTGTTACTTTACATGAGCCCTGTGTCATATTCTCATTCCTCACCTCCTTCCAGCGAAGACAAGTCAAAGCTGTTGGCTTCTGCCTGCTTCAGCATGTCGATGAACATTGTCGGGGTCCCGTAGATAAAAGTGCACCTAGCAGGGAGAGAGAGTGTCACAGCCTGGCAAAATTACAGTTTTACTGCTATGTGATAAAGAAAATAAAGTCAAATAAATAACTAACTAAAAACATTAGATCTGAATTATTTAGTGTCACTGTCCTTACATGCAATCAACTAAAGTGTTTGAAATCATTAACTTTATTTACTATTGACAGAATTTAGAATTCTATTTAGAATTCTAAGAAAACTAAGCACAGCTAGAAGTTTACAGAAGGCACATTATTGACGGAAAACAGTAGACATGTCTTTACACAAATGGTTGTGGGTGTCTATAACAAGCTATCCAGCACTAACCAAACAGATTCCCTGGGATCCTTAAGGAAGGCTTCACAATATGCTTTCATAGTACTAGTTGGCTATACAACTCGAGCAACCAAATAACTCTATAGGAACACCAGGGCCCTTCTCCCCCGGTTGACCAGGTTATATATAACAAATGCCTGAGAAGCATACAGGAAAACAAAAAGAATACATGGAGTGAAACCAAGATAAGGTTTTCTGAGCAAACAATCAGTCTATACATCCGTCATACCATTACATTCTCACATTAACTTCCTTTTTACATATTTTCTCTTTTGTCACTTTTAACTGAGAAAGGGTTGCATAACAAGAGCAGTGCAGCACTTCAGACAAGATCTACTTAAAAAAAACTCTGAGCTCTGTAAGTAGCCCACCTTAAAGACAAAATCTGCACACTTTCAGACGTGCATTGGAGAAATAGTCAAAGCCTGAAAAAAGGAAAGGCTCCTGCTAACTGGAGTATACTAAAGAACACATAGCTCCACCATGTTTCACAGGTTTGTGAAAAAATACCATAAATAGTTTCACTCCACATTATTAGCATGTGAAGGTGTTTTAAATCAGCCTGGAGCTACAGCAGTTCAGTGTACACTTCAGCCAAAGTTCTCAGGTTCTCCTGTGTGGCTCCACCAGTAAAGGCAGTGTAGGCTGAGCTCTCAGACTGTGGGGTTGGGTCTGGATCATGTAACCTGCCAGCTGTGACTACAATTCCCCAAGCAGTGGCTGAGCACCTGCAAGGGCAGGGTGAGCTCTCTCGGGCTCTCTTGGCAACTGTTGTCCAGGGCTCTCTCTCTCTCGACTCTCAGTGTTACAGTGCCACCTGAGGCTTCCCGGATGCTAACAGGCCTGAGGTGATCAGTGAGGGATGTGCCTCTCCTCCAGATGGTACTGAGGTGTGTTACACGACAAATTGCTCAAAGATGCGTGGGGCAGAGGATTTATTCGCCCCCATGTGCAGATGTGGGGTTCACTACAGCACCCCACTTGAAAAAAATACACAAGTGGCTATTCCAGCTGGCAGGCAGGAGCAAAGTAATTAGAGATTCTATTTAAAAACCTGTTTGCAAATGAGTTTTTCACTTAGGATACTATACCAGTCCCAAATTCCATATGAAGAGGGACACAAGGGAAAAAAAAGGCAAAGGTTTTTTATTTAGCAGCTGACAGATATAGATTGTGTCACTTCCTCTCCGCTGCAGGCTGGACAGGCTGTACCTCTCTTTCTGGATGGCTTCCAGACAAGCCTGCCCATCGAAGCCTGAGGAGGGGAACACGAGGGTGCTGCCGAAGATGGCAGTGGTCACTGAGCCGCCCACTGAGCCGAAGCAGTGGTACAGCGGCACAGGCAGACACACTCGCACATCCTGGGGAGAGACACAGAGGTGCCAAGGTCAGGGGGCAGGCCCACAGACACTGCTGCAATTTCACAAAATATTTCCTTCCCAAAGACATGTTCAGTTTGTTCTTCTAGTACATGTTCTGCAGCATTGTGTTACAGGTATTATTGCTTTTTAAGATACAAATCTAAATGCAAATCTAAATATTGGACACCCTATATCTTAAATGACAAACTTTACTGGGATCTTAACTACCTCTTGCTAGGCTACATCTGTGTAAACAGTACGCAGCACAAATTCAGTGATACGTTACACGGCTGTGTCATGAAGTGCTACATAAGGTGTTTTAATGCTAGCAGCTGCAGTAGGTTCCTCACCCTCCAATGATAGCCCATCCGTTTGCCAATGAAGTTGGCGTTGTTCACAATGTTGTGGTGTGTGAGTGTCGCAGCTTTCGGGCTCCCTGTTGTGCCCTGCAGAAAAAAAAAAGTTATATTAAACCAAAACATGCTGGTTATTCATTTGAAAACACACACTAAGATGGCAGCAGAAAGCTCCAAAACAAGGGCACTGCACTCTTGAGTTTCCATGGCGGCACAGACATTAAAACTCTCGGCTGGACTTTGCTTTCAATTTTCCGCAGTAAATAACATTCTGGAGAAACCTGAGTGTCAATGTCTAATGAGTACAGAAGAGACCTTTCTCTTCTGTTCTCTTCTGACAGAGCTTAGTCAGATGATTTGATCTGAGAGGAAACAGTACAGAATAAAAAATGAAATGGGAAATCACTATGTTCTGCAAAAGTGACTACTATTAAAATCTGCCTATTTATTGCATAAATAGGTGTGTCTTCACATTTTGGCCAGTATAAAAATAAAACACATACTTAATTATACAGGCCATATTTTCTCTGTAGATCTTAGGCCATGGCTTTGCAGCCCTGGTGCCCTGGGTTCAATTTCAGGGGTGCTGTCTGTGTGGAGGTTGTATGCTCTTTACTTGTTCTCATGGATTTCCTCCATTAGTTCTAGTTTTCTCCCGCATTCCAAAGGAAACCTAGTAGGTTATTTGGTTTCTGGGGAGAATTGGCCCCTGGTGCAGGTATAGTATACTGCCTGCCTGTGCTCTGCAATGGTCTGGTATACCATCCATTGCAAGGATCATAGTAAATGTTAAAACATTCATATGAGTTTACTAATTTAAATATTATTAAATATTAATATAAATGTTTTATTCTTCAAAATGTAAGCAGAGCTATCATTGACATTAAAAAAGTATCAATGGCACGTAAATCTGTATAAAAAGTGCATGACCTAACTCTTGAGTCTGAAGTCTTGAGACTTAAGTCTGACACCCCCAAGTTTAAAATATAAACCTGTCTTAGTCGAGAGAACCCTACCCTTCCAAGGACAGACAACCTTATCACCTACGGTACAGAAGTAACAATTCATTGAATATAATTAATGATCAGATCAAAGCAATGGTACTACTTGCCTTAACACTCATATGTCAATAAGGCAATGGCATTACCGAGGTATACTGGATGTTAATGGGGTCGTCGCAACACAGCTTCTTCTGAAGGGCTCGCAGCTCTTGCATGTTTGTGCTTGTGCCTGCCTGCCTCACATCCACCATGCTGAAAGCTCCAGGCAGCTTGTTATCCGACACGATGATAGTGTGAAGATCCGGAAGCCTGTTAAGGACACAAAAATCACTTTGGCTTTTCCTGACTGTGTGCTAAACTAAAACTGCAAGTATTTAAGCTTCAGTCATTTAAAAAGATTAAAAATATCCTCCATACATATAATAGTCTTGAACCCTGGAAAGCTGCTTGTGTTGATTTTCGATGAAGCTGTTTAAAAATGAACCCCAAGATTGTGTGCACTGAAATCGTTTACTCATGCACCCTGTTTTTTTTGCTCTGTGTATTTCTGAGCCCCTTTTTTGCTTATTTCATTGAGCCAGTATTTCTGTTCTTTCTACCCAAATGTTGTCCACATTTTTTTTTTTGCTCTAAAACTTTATTGCTGGCAATTTACAGTCTTATGTCTAGTTTTTTACTCATTCAGAAACATTTGACAGTATACTGCAGATTTACATTGAGTTTTACTCACATTTTTTAATACTTCTAACTGGAATTCAATCTACAGTGACAATTTAGAACACCTCAGCAATTAATCTAAGCAGCGTCTCTTAGGGAAGTGGAAGGAAACCAAAGCAACTGGAGAAATCCTGGGGGGTGCATGCAAACTCCACACAGAAGGCTCCCTGAATCGAACCCCTGCACTAGCACTAGGTTCCCTGACTACATGCTGCACTGGAAGATTCTACATGTAGAGAACTCATCTTCGAGTTTAAGACGTTTCAGTAGGTACTTGTGTCCGCATGCTTCACACACCGGAAGAAGGTTTTACAGCCAAAACAATGTGTCCCTTTTGTTTTCCTTTCGGCATGGAATAAACCTCTGCTTGCTCCTTATCTCCTAGTTTAGGTTTGTCACGCATTTTTCCCAAGTATAAAGAGGCTGACTTTTTTTCAGCCAGCCATTAACAATTTAAAAGGGCAGGGGCAGCCTGCAAGGCTTTGTGTAATTATTCGAATTCCATTCGCTTGTAAATACAGACCGCCTTTGTGGCTACTAATCAAATAATCCAGCCTACAAGGCTTCATAAACTGTTTGACTGTTCTGCTGATTGGTCTTTTCTTCATGTTTGTTTTTTCAATTCTCTTTGGTGGTGGAATAGGTTACCAGCAAACATCAAGGTGGCCTCACATCTTGATTCTGTTATTTCCACCTCAATTGTTCTTTCAGAACGCATTTCTAAATACTCAGATCTCTATCAATTGCTCCTTCAACTCCAAGAAGCCTGGCTTAGCTAAACATAGATCTTCTCTCAGATGTAATTCCTGTGTGCTGTACCTCTTGCTTTTCAGGTTGCCAGGAGTGGCATTCTCCAGCTCTGGACAGATCTTCTTCAGCATTTCATAATACTGCTGGGTTTTAAACTGGGTTGGGCAAACCACCGCTTGGCACTGCACCTGAAGGGAGATGGGAAGGAAGAGAGGCAGGTGAGAGAACCTCACTGGCTGAAAGCTTGGGATCGAGGAGTGCAGTTACAAAAACAATAAGGTGTAATCCAAATAAGATCATCACCAGCATTCTCTCAGCTGCCTAGATTCCTGCAGAAGCTAAATTAAAAACTAAATAAAAGACCCACCTTTCTCAAGGCAAACTCCACCTCATGCAGCTGGTATGCTGGATTAACGGAAACCTATAAAGGAACAAAACATTTTTAACAACAACGACAACAAAGAGAACAGAGAAATATTACGCAAGAAAGCTTAGAAACTTGATAGTCCCACCTATCCAGTTTGGTATTTAGTGCCTAAATTGTATCTCAGCCAGCATTTTCTTGAAAGACAACAGGATATCCAGCTTCCATAACATGTCCTGTTCTATATATCCATAACTTGAAAATAACTTTAATGTGATCAGGCTAGGGCAAAAATAATAAAAATAAAAAGTATTTTACTCTCTTCCAACTTACTTATTTGACTGCTCCCTCTTTTTTAAAATCACTCAGCAATTCCCTTGCAATAGAAAACAGCGGTAAATCATTACAGAAGATTTCGTAACATGCTTTGAGCTTGTAGAAGTCCCCATTAAAATCCACACAATAATCATTATTGTAATCTGGTCCCTGTAAGGAGACATACTTCAATATCTCGTTTTCATGTTAGTCTGGGAAAAAACAGTGCTGGTGTGAGTGTGTTTCCTGTTCAGGGTGTATCCTGCCTTGTTTACTGGGAAAAGCTCCAGCTCCTCTGCGACCCTAAATTGGATGAAGTGGTTAGAAAATGGACGGATGGAAGAACTTCTAGATGTTTGATAAGAGTAAAATTCAGCAGCAGGCCTGATATTTCCGACTAGCTCCTTTTTATGTTCAGATTATTATTAATTTCAACCTCAGTGAACACCTGCATAAAATATTCATACCCTATACATGCCCTTTTATTTCAGACTTCTAAAATGAATCCTTAATTAAAGTTCGGGCTTTTGGGGGGGGGGTTTATTCTCAGAGCTTTTCAAATACTCTATAGAAAAAGTACTTCTACCTAGTATTTTTTATCGATCCAACAATTAAGCCGTTTTTACCCAATCTTTTATTTGAGGCCTTTCAAGATCTATTTTCTCTGATTTTTGAACTGTAGGAAATTCTTTTCTTTCTTCATCTTGAAATTACAATTTGTAGTACTGTATATCCAAACATCCTTAATAAAGAACATGGAAATGTTCTTACCAGTATGATCCCTGCTTGTGCTGTTGCAAATTGGAATAGTATCCACTCATAACTGTTAGGTCCCCAGAAACCAAGCCTGTCTCCTCTCTTCAGTCCAAAAGCTAGGAGCCCAGCTGCCACCTGGTCGACCTGTCACACACGAGTCATTGGGTCAAAGGTTGTCTCTGCGTTACTGGGACTAAAACTGATACAATGGGGTTCAAGTCGTCAAAAACAAGTAACACACAGTGAACTCCAATTTTCAGAAGAGCTCACTCTTAATACGTCAGAAATAATACTTTCACTTCAACATTTCCAAAGACACTGCCTGGTTTGAAGACATCTGTTCATGGATATATTAACTCAGAAAACCAGATTCAGTACAGTTCTGAAGTCCAGCATTATAACTCCAAACAGGAGGCATAGTCTGTTGTTTATGATGAGTTCTGAATGCCCTCAGCAGCTGCCTGTCAGGTAGCCCTGCATTAACATTGAAACCTTATTAAAATGTTTGCAGACATCTCTGCTTTGGTTTTATAGCAAATTTGTCAAGCTACATCAAGCTACATATTAAATCACTGGGCATAAACATTGTGAAAGGAGGATGACGCACACTTGCCTCTGGTATCGTACCCTCTGGGTCCTGTCACTGTTCAAGCTTGAAAGCTTGAAGCCCCCAACAAGTTTGTGTTAGCACTGTCTGGAGGTATCATGCTGCTCTCAATGACAGGACTAGGAGCAGTATGATTTAAGACTTAAGTAGTTCAAGTAGGTGAGAAGAAAGGAAACACAACGTTTCGGCTGTGAAGCCTTCTTCGGGTGTGATTATTACAGGTAATTTAAGACTATGAAATGACAAAACTGTCAAAAAATGATATACTAATTATCATAATTAAGTCACTGCAGGTATCTCTTTGAAACAATGCAATTGGATGGATCAGTCATCTTTCTTTTTATCACACAGAAAAATGTTAGCCTTAATCAGGCACATCAGCAATGCCTCATGACCTGAAAAGAGGTTTATGTTACAAAATGTGTTTACAGGTATGATTTGTTATTACAGCCCTGTAGCGTGATTGCAGAGACATAAGAGTATAACAGAGAAATAATAGCAGTGGACATAAAAGAACATTTCCTTAATGCCTCATGCCATGGATACCATTTTGCCATGAGTCAAAGCAAGTTAAATTTAAATTTAAAGGAACTCAAAGAATATTTTATGTTAAACACGTAAAAGTCATATATAGAAAACGAAGCAATTCTGAAGTCTTCCCAGAAAGACTCTACCCACTTCTTTTAACAATGTGAGCAAGCTTTTGTGAGCAAGAACAATTTTTGAAAAAGAGCATTAGCTGTGTGGGGTGTTTTTTGCCACACAAGTAATAACTTGAAGCTCTGTTGTAGATTTCCGAGTGATAAACCCTGCTGAGTTTCAGGACAACTGGTGCAGTAGTTCCTCAGACACTGGCAATTTTGGGTTTCTAGAACAAAATAGTGGTTAGGGCCGTCATATTGGTTTCAGCAATAACGTCATTTCGACTTGTGAATTTGTATTGACATTAGAATGATACCCATCAAGGAATAAATACCAACAGAATAATATAAGTCTGGTGCCCATTATAAAAATCTTGTGGTTAAGTTTATATTCCATTAACACAATTGCACTCAGTTTCTACAGAATACCCCAGTTATACTGTAACTACACTGTCATTGGAATAAAACTTACTAGTTTATAATTAATTGGCCAACAGTCCTTGAACAGGAGCAGATTTCATATGAGGCTGTGTTTCACCATGAAGGCAGGGTGTGGGTAGGAAAATTATCACAGCAACACAGGCAGTCTAACCTATCAGAGCACAATGATAAATGGTGTCCATTTTGGTACAGTATACACAGATATTACAGTCTGTCGGAAGTTAATGGTATGCTTAACGAATTGTTAACAAAAGACAGTTATTATGCTTAGAGTTGATTAGCTAGACTGTTTTTGAACGTCACAATTTATTGTTACAGGAAGCACACTGACAATACCTAAAAGATTTTAAGGGGAAAAAAAAATTAAATAAAGTGTGTGAAGCAGTGCTGCTTATCTGCTCTCTTCTTTTGAGTGTCTTGTTTTAAATTTCTCTGGTCCTCACTCTACTATTATTGTTACTGTCTATAGAGCCCCCTAGCCTCATAATGCCTTTCTAGGTGAGTTTGCCAATTTACTTTCTTTTTTATGTCTCAAATTTAAGGGATGCTTATTCTTGGTGACAGTAATGTCCATATTGATTCATAGTCTTCCAATTTAGCTAAGTAATTTTTAGTGCTGTTGGAATGCTTTGATCTAACCCAGTACGTTCTTAGTGAAACACATAACAAAGGACACACTCTGGACTTAGTAATTACTTGCAAATTAATTGCAAATTACTGTTTTGTTTCTCTCTTCTCTTATTTTGAACTAGGCCTCTTTGAACAGTTAGCTATTATCGTCCATCTTGATTTTCCCATTTCACTCTTCCCCCCCACGTTCTATAGGTTTTCGCAGCTGGCGATCAGTTGACCAGACTAGGTTAATGAATTCTGTTCTGTCCTACTTATCTTGCATTTCTGACTCTGATTCCCTAGAGGACAAAATACTTTTGTTTGATAGCTCTCACTTGTCTACCCTTGACAACTTAGCAACTACATAAGCTCGAACCATTTTCTTTCTCTGCCCCATGGTCCACTGACCAGTTTCTTTCTATGAAGGCAGATTCCTGTAAACCTGAACATAGGTGGAATCTTTCTTACCTAAATGTTCATTTTCGTATTTGGAGGGAGCACTTGACCGAATACCAAGATGCAATAGTTTGCTAGATCCAGCTACTTCTCCCACATGTGTGAGAACAACTATAACACCCTAGACACCTATTCTCCACCATAAACAGTTTGCTGCCCCACCACATTACCTGCCTCATCCTAACTTTGCAACACATTCTTAGTTTTTTAGGTCCAAGATTGACCACATACAGCATTGACCACATCATGGACTCTCCACAATGCATGTTACCTCCTCCTCCCTGTGTGACTATCTTAACTGTATCTTTCACTCTACTTGACTCTGCATGCCTCAGTAAATTGGTTTGCATATGAAACCCACCACCTACCTTTTAGAACCCATTCCCACTGATTCGTTTCAATTCTGTGTCAGTACTCTCTGTCCCATTGTCCTTAATATAATAAATCAGTCCTTGAGCACTGGTGAGCTACCAACAGCCTTTAAAATTGCTGCTGTCACCCCTGTGCCAAAAAAAATGAATAGGTCTGGACAACCTACACAATTTTGCCCAATTTCCTACTTATCCTGTCTTGCTAAAATCTTAAAACATGCTATTACAATTCATTTACAATTCACGTAAATAACCATATCTGTGCAAGTAACCTCTTTCAAGGGTTTCTGACAACTTCACAGCACAGAAACCGTCCAGGTTAAAATCACTAACAATCTTCTTCTGGCTTCCGATTCTGAATTTGTTTCTATCCTTATTTTTCTTGACCTCAGTGCTGCTTTTGACACTGTTATCCACATCATCTTACATTCTCGTTTTGAGTGTTTGGAGTTATTGACGCTGGTCTTAAATGGTTCAAGTCTTACCTCACTGATAGTCGTCTCTTTCTCTCTTGGTAGCTTTAGCTCTGAAATTGGATTTGTTAAGTTTGGTGTTCCTCAGGGCTCAAACTGGCCCCCCTTCTTTTCAGCATTTACAGTACACATTCCCACTTGGTAGGTTATTAACATCACATGGTTTAAATGATCATTTCTATGCTGATGATACTCAAATCTACATCCATACCAAACCTCACAAGAATGTGGGCAATTTTTTCTCTCTAATTGCATGGATGACACGGATGTCACGGATGACTCAAAAGTTCCTTCATCTAAACTGCGACAAGTCTGAAGTCATGCTTCTTGGCATGCCCCTTCAATTTTGTTAAATCAGTGCAGTAACCATATCTGTGAATGGTACTGTACTGAGTTTCAGTCAAAATTGAAGAACTTGGGAGTGATATTCGATCCTGGCTTGACGTTTGACCCACATGTGTAACATACTCTCAAAACACAATTCTTCCAATATTAGAAATATTGCCAGACTACATCCTATGTTGTTGCTTACTGTTGCTGAAAAGATAGTTAACACTTTAGCTTTTTCTCATATTGACTACTTTAACACCCTACTCACTGTAATATCTAAATCCACATTGAACAAACTGCCAGAATTTGGCAGCCAGAATCCTCCCAGGTCTAGTACAAGTGATCACATTACTAGTAGCCTACAAGGCTGTGCATGACTTAGCACCTCATTACCTGTCTGAGTTGCTATCATCCTACTCCCCATCTCGCAACCTTCTCTCATCAAATTCTGGTCTCCTGTGTGTTCCTCAAGCCCATCCTCACTCTTTACTGGTCAACCTGCCCTTTTCGTGTTACACCCCAAAACTCTGGAATTCTGTCCCTAAAGCAATCAGAGAATCACCTTCCCTAAACTCTTTAAAAGCTAGACTCAAAACCTCCTTTTTAGAAGGGCTTTTATTTAACTGATTCTGTGTGCCCCTTGGCTTTCCTACTGTATTCTTACCCCCATCTACTATCTCCTAGGTGCTACATAAAAATACAGTTTATAATTATCACAGTATTATTGTGCCAATCATCTGATATGCTTTTGTGTACACGTGCTGCTTTTACACCATGTACAGTGTATTTATCTCAAAATTTCCTCATCTGATAATAAGTTTAACATGTTCTAAGAATGAATGTTCCGCTCATGAGTAGGTATTTTCAATACACAAGGAGTACATTACAAGGTGATAAGATGTCAAAACTGTTTTCACAGCTCAGGAGTTAGATCAGATCTGAGAATGAAGTAGCACGATCTGACACTACAGATAATCATCACCACCTGGTTTCCTCATCTACAACCGAAAACTGAAGGGTTGGGATTCACATCAAGGCTAGGGTGTGTATTTTTAATATTTGTGAAACTATTTAATCTGGCAAGCAAAGTCTGACGGCTAATTTAGAATGTTTTTTTTTCTTGTATAGGGACCGATGGATAGCTTTCCTTCAGCATCAATTTAGAGTGTGGGTTTACCTGTAAAGGTTATAAACAGTGTTGCTTTCTGGAGAAAGATGTATCCACTTCTGAGTGCATTAGGGCTAGTCAATGTAAGTGTTTATGTGTTTCGTGGCTTACTTGCTTGTAATAAATCCTTGTATTTTCAGCTATTGTCTATTTATTTCCCTGTCACAAAAGCCATTACATGTCCTGTGGGATTGTTTTTCACGATTTGCTTCTCATCTCTTGCTTGTGCTGAATCTGGTGTTAGAACTACTATTACTTACCTGTTATCAACTTTTAACACATAAACGTTTCACAACAATCCACAACTTCAGGGTTAACTCGGTTTACTTTAAAAATAAAGTAGTTTTTTATTTTTAAGCATTACAAGCATTTTCCCATTTTTGCAGTATTTATACTATACACACTGGGCACCAAATGAAATATATCACTGTATTTAAAGATTCTTACTTTTAGAAAAAGAAAGTATATATATATTGCTTTAGAATAAACAAAATAATTTTGACATTTTGATTGAGTGATCATTCATGATGGACTACGTTAAACTTGAGTGACTTTGCATAAGTCCTAAATTACCTTCCTAGTAAGAAAATTGAATATTGAAATTCACTAAATTAAAATGCCAGCAGACCTGTTACATAAAATAATGTAATTTTTGCCTAAAAAACTGTGAATTAGTTGCAACAAATGATATTTTTTTTATATTCACTACATTATAACAGACACATTCAATGGAAAATAACGTGAACATTCTTATGAAGACATAGTAATGCAAAATGTTACAAATTTGAAAATTGTTGTGAGTGCGGCAGAGGTTATTTAAACAGAAAGGACTTGTGTACCACCGCTAAGGGATTTAGAAACTGCTTGTGCACAGGGGGAGCTAAAATCTTGTAAGCTATCCCACACCAACCTTAGACACAACGTGCATGCACCTTCTCATTTATTTTACCCACAAGTGCAGGGCTAGGATTATCCTAAAAACAACAGCCAACAAACATACTCACGTCCTGTTTGAATTGTGCAAATGTCTTTCGGATGCCATCGCGTGGGAAGACCACAGCCTCTCGGTCAGGACATCGCTCTGCAGTCTGATCTAGGCACTGTCCCAGGGTGCTGTTGAGCAGGGAGACCTCTGAGGTGCCGTGCACATAGCTTGTAGTGAGTGTAGGTGTGCTTGGCACAGCATCTACATGGAGAGCCCTGTAGAAATGAGAATGTAGATACTCTGTCATTTTTTATGGCATCAGTCAAGTTTTTATTGCCGTGGAATTACCATATTGGCTACATATTATGCAGGAGGCTTTATGAAACTCTGACAGGCATCATAAAATGAGATCGTTCAGGTTACGTCATCTATTGATGTCTCCAGTACAGTAAAAACTCACGGTGTCAAGGATTCAATGGTATAACCTTACTATAGACAATAAACATACATTTCTGCATTAAAGGAATACAAGAGAAGAAACTACTGATTGCTTGAGCAAAAGTTACATTTCATCCAGCAATTTTGAGAGCAGCGCTCTCAAAAGACTCACTTTAGTACAACTCATAATAGTCTAATAAAATTATTTGATTAAATACGGATAGTTTAACTGACTCTCCCAGCCCAGGTGCTGCTAATCTAATGAGATCCAGAAAACCAACAGGAATGCAGCTGGGAACACCTGTTTTAAATGGACTGTTTATTAAAATGAAGAATTCCTTTATCTCACAAATTATCAAGGAGCACCACAGTAAATATTCAAGTATACAGTGGTGTCAGCCATTGTGGTAATTTTTAAAATTACAAGGGAAGTAGAATTGTCTATTTTCTCAGTCTATAGAAGGCAGATCTCTGGAACACATTGTACCTATCTGTGCATAATTTAATCATTGTCTGTATTAAATAGTTGTGTTATTTATTGTTAATAAACATATATCTGCCTACATTTTGGCCTGTATTATTGACTCTATTATCAATATTCTTTTTTACATGTAGGTTTTATTCCTTTATACTTGCAAACCACATTTAATGAATCCTTTGGGTTGTTCTTTGAGCTGTAGATCTTATATACATGTCTTTATTGGTACAAATACACATTCACTGGCATTTTCTCCTGTACTTAAAGGGCGTCCTTTGTTGTATCTGCTGTGATAACATTTAACTAAATTACGTCTGGTTTACTATAACTTCTTCTGCGGAGTGCAAAGTTTAACCACATAGATAATGGATCACAATGCTGTGATTTACACAGTAGCTATAGCAAAATATGGAGGAGGTTCACTGTAGCTATTGCCCAGGACTCACAAATTCATTAAGATTTTTTTTAAGATCACTTTATTGGCCATACTGTATACAAATTCTTGTATTAGGAATTTGTCTTTTCATATACCCCAACTTGCTCTCAATGAGAGACGCAGACAGAGAGAGAGAGAACCTTGGGGTCAGAGCGCAGGGTCAGCCATTTATACAGCGCTCCTGGAGCAGTTGGGGTTAAGGGCCTTTTTCAGGGGCCCCACGGAATAGGATTTCTTTGCAGGCTGCAGGATACGAACCGGCAACCTTCCAGCCACAGGCGCAGATCCTGAGCCACAGAGCCTCAGCACCACACTTAACAAGTTACAAGACTGTGCACTGGACAAAACCAATGAGCCATTTGTACAGTGCATTGCCAAAACACAGCAGAAACATCTTTAATAAGTTATTTAGGTGATATCTTCATACAGATTAACTTTCATGTTTGATCATTGCTCCAGCTGGTATCATCCCAGAACAACATGTAGGAAGTTACCACTTGATCAAGGTTACCACAACAGTGTCTCACACTGGATTTGAACTCATAACCTACTGATTACAAGCCCAAAACGTTAACCTTTACTCCACACTGCTATGCTTCAGTGTACATTGTTAGTACTTCTTTCCCAGTTGTGTGCTGTTGACAAAAATGTTTGCTAGAATACAAAAAGAGACACTATAAAAAGTGCTAAAGACAAACAAATGAATTAAATGTAGATTATCAGGTTTCCTTTCAGGTTATCATGTGTCATAATCTATGCTCTAAAATTCACATATTTCACATATGGAAAACAAAATGTACTGTATTTAATCTTTAATCAAATCAACACTTAGTTCCTAACTAAAAGATGAAACATAAAGATAAATAGTTTCCTGATATGTGCCACAGCAAAGCAATCAAATACAATTGTGCTTCCAACTGTAGTTCAGATACAAACCTCAGTATAGGCACAAATACAAAATTACAAGTCTTATTGTAGCTTGTGCACTAACAGGAATGATGTAGCTACAGCTTTAACAGTAGCTCCTTTAGTACAAAGGTACAAAGTTTAGGGTTTTAAGTTTAATAGTTACAGTTCGGTTGTGTTACAGTTACAGTTACAGTTCACAATGCTGTGATACAGTATGTAGTGTAGATCTTATAACAAAAGTACAGGCAAAACATTGTAAGGGAGATTATTGTAGATCTGTCTTGTAATTGTCCAGTCCTAGTGCAGAACACTGTGCCTGGAGAAAACCACAAACCACTGAGTACAGTGTCGTGGACTATTATCACAATAAAGTTCTTTAAATGGATTAAACAAACAAAACACTTAAAGTGTATATTTAATACTTTTATATAACCATAAAAACATTAATAAAAACAATGAAGAGTGCAGTGAATTTATCAATTTGAAATCTAACTGATATTAACATGTTTTTAAAATTATTCATGTGTTTCATATGAACAGTATTCAACTGGAAAAATATTACTATTTTATATTATTTCTATATTTGTACAGTAGGGATAATCTGGTACTTGCCCTTGCTTCAGAATCTGCAATATAGAGCGTACCAGATAGCTAGCATGAGGACAGCAAGTTATACTCTCCGATGCCTTCAATCAAGATTAAATCAGTTAAAAAAAACATTGGAAAAAAACGTGCTTCAGTCATTTATGTAAATTTCATAGACTGTGAGAATATTTACAAATTGCAAATGACAAATGGCCCTTCAGCTTTTCTAGTTTATATAATATATATAGATATTAGTAGTTAAAAGATCCCTTGATTCCTATGTTTCTTACAAAACTTTCTAAGTAAAACCTTAATAGGCAGAACTACACTCAAATCACATTGGTTTTAACACCTGCAACAGGACATAAACTGATTTGAGAACCACAAATTCTCCTGCTAAAAATGTGTTTGGTTATTTAACTCCAAGCTGTAGAGATACTGTATAATTCTACTACCAATAGGATGAATACATGCAAAAATGGGGTACTTGCTTAAATCAAGATGCTAAACTCTCCATTTATTATTCTTCATTGATAATAAATGTATGTAACATTAACTGCTGCTGTTTAAGAGCCCTTTGGCCAATTAATTCCTAACATGGTTTTAATCTTTCTAGTGAGCATGCCATTTAAATATGACTTGCTGTATTGGCTGAGCACACCAAACTGTACATTTTCACTATTTTGTTTTCATGCATCAAACAATCTGTCTTGGCAACCTTCACACCAGCTGAGCCAGAATCTGCCAGATTTTATTAATTACAGTAGCTCCTTCAGACTGCCATCTCACAAGTTACTGTGACACTTTTCCCCATACACAGTGGGTCATTGATTTAAAGTGCATTAGAGTGCCATTAATGAGACCTGTAGTTCCACTTGAAATCACAAGAGGTAAGCAATAGCCAATAGAGTCAATATCTGCATTACAGTATGATGCTACCTCACAGCTCTCAGGTCTAGGGTTTGATCTGGGGATGGGTCACCTTCTGTGTAGAGTCAGCATGTCATCCTCATGTCCACATGTGTTTTCTCCAAACCAATGAAAATGGGCTTGAAAGGCTGTATCCTGGCTACATGTGGCAAACATGGCAGATTTTTAGAACAATTACGAAAAAGTTCAAATTTATGAATGTACTGTAGGTGCTCCTCATACTCAAAAGGGCTGCAAGTCAGGGAGAATCTTGCTCTACAACCAGTCTCAGTATTGACATCCCGCTGAGGGTAAGTGACTGTTCTCAGACAGACAGAAGATAAGGGAACACCAGAATACAGCCTGACCTCTAGAGACAGAGTTAGAACTTCTGCCAATGTAAGGACAGAGGGGACTAGGGTCAACTTCCCTGAGAGCACATTAAGATGTAGAACCCTTGTGTGAGTGTTGCACATTATCAACTACAACCCACACCACGCACAGACTTGATCTAGCACAATGAGAGCTAGGAAAGCATGAGGTACACAGCTCCCGCCAGTCAGACATGCGACTTTGCATAACACTCCCCTAGACAAAGTACAAGAGAGCAGTATTTCTTGACAGTCACAGATCCTATTCAGACACATTTATTAGATCTGGTCTGATTTTCAACTCAAATAGGTCTCACAAATCAGAGGGGTAGATAGATAGGTGACCACAGGCCCTCTACCTGAACTGGGACTCAACTTAAAAATGAAGGCCATTACACGACTCTGACTCCAGATTTGGTGGTTATCGTTCTAGTGACAACACAATTAACATCTGGGAAAATAGGGATTACTGCATACACCACAGCAGTGGCTCCATCATGCTTTTTTCACTAAATTACACTATCATTGCATTGGTGCTACAGCATCATAAGTGATATCAGCACACTCAGACCTCCTTCAGAACTGACCCTCACGTGCATACTTTATATAACTGCACCAGGTGACTACCTGCTTGTAGAAACATGCCCAGGAACATCAGCTGCTCAGATGGACTGTAGGTTACGGTATTTCATACAGAGGCTACACACATTTCATACATGAATGCAAAGAACAAACACCATTTTATGTGGTCAGCTGTTGATCTGCTTTGCACTTGCTCATGAGACAGTCAGAAAAAAAAATGAACTCTGACCCAACAGCACTGCATCAATGGCCGTGCTACAGAAGGAGCACCATGCTCAAGCACAATGTTTTTTACTAAGTGTATTGTGCTTCAGTTCCATCCAGAACTGAAGTTGTTTAAAAAGATTTCAGACAGTTCATCTTTGAAGCTGATAGTCTCTTGATGTACATGTTTGAGGGTCAGGCACCCAGCTAACAAATTCATATTTACAGCAGGTGTAGAAAGTATAAACCCTCGTTGCATTTTGCCACTTTTTTTGTTACAGCTGGAACATTCGATAGACTTACATATTTTTGTTACATATTCTTCCCTTTCAATGCATACAACAGCCTCTAAAAAATCAAAATGTTTAAAAGACAGAGAGAGAACTTTTGCAAGAAACAGGAATGCAGACAAGAACAAGCTAGGCAGGGGATATAAAAAGGTTTCAAAGGTACTGAGTATCCCACAGTGCACTGTTAAATTAATTAGCAGGTAGTGGAGGACACAAATTGCTCTGGATCTTCAATGACCAAGTTGTCCTCCCAAACTCTGCAGCCAGGTGAGAAGGACATTCGTCAAGAGGCTGAAAACAACCCTCAAAGACCTGCATAACTGACGACTCAAATCTGGGCAGCATGGTAGAGTGGCAAGGAGGAAGCAAGTGGTCAGAGCCAAAAATTGGCTTATTGTCAAGGGTCATCACCCCCCCCCCAATGAAGGCTGGAGGTGCCAGCATAATGTTATAGGGTTGCTTTTCATTGATGGGGATTGGTAGGCTGCTCCTTAGCAACACACAGAACAGTCTGCAAAAGATCTGAAACTGGGATGCGGAGATTCATTCAATTCAACAGGATAAGGACCTTAAACACAAAGCCAAAGCAACCCTTGTGTAGCTTCAAACAAAAAGTGAAAGTTCTTGAGTGTCTCTGTCAAAGCCCAGACTTATTTTTCATAGAAAATGTGTGGCAGTAAGTAAACACACCCGAACCCCCCAGAAACCTGGAACTGCCGTAGTGATTTTGCAAGGAAGTGGGGGTAAAAATTAAACCTGCACGATGTGAAAAGCTGGCAACAGGCAATATTTTATACACCCACTGTAACTTTAAGAATTAATTTGAACTGAATTTAGATATGTTGTCTAATGGGTGTCGGTGAAGGACCTATAGAAATTCAAAATTAATGTGATTGCTTATACAGAAGGTATCGCTAACAGAGTTACTGTTAGTATTACATACACTGTTTCTAAAATGGTTCACGCGTTTAAATTTCCGTTAAGGAAAAGAAATTACTACAACTCTAGATTTACATACTGTATAATGCCTGAAGAATGGATATTTCTGCTACATTCTCACACCCCATTCTAGGTAAATGTTACAAAGATTAGGGGGGACGCTGCCTTTTGAACGCGATTTACAGAACAGTCAATCGTCACTTTTTGGAAAAAATACACCACCATGTCAACAAAAGCAAGGATTGAAGTCATTACAAATGCCTTTCAAATGTATTTCATACTGCACGTTCCATGACAGAATCAGCTAAGGCAAAAAAAAAAACCCAATACATTACATCATCCCCTGAAACCAATGATATAGCGATTTTTTCATAAATATTATAAACACTGAGAAACTTAATAAGGAATGCATGCACTCACCTAGACCAAGAAGTCTGGAGATTTGTGCTCAGGACTTTTTTTGTGCACAAAATTCTGTGATATGCTTGTGTGGTAAAATGTTCGCCGTACTTAAATAATTGTGAAACAATTCTGGCTGTCATCGTAGAATAAACAATTTACGTTCAACTTCAGCGCTGACTTTACTCTTGTCTAGAACTATCCAGTGCAGCCCGGAACGCTCCCAAAGAAAAATGCGCTATCAGAGAAGTGTCTTGAAAATCATAAGAAAAGGGGGTGCTGTCAAACCTTCCTCTTTGAATGATCTGAAGAAATACTTAAGAAAACTGACAGAACGTTCTGCTTCTTAGGTGAGCAAAGCCTGAAGTTGCACTGAGTCGGTGTGAAGTAACAGGAGATAAAATATAAGTTTGTTCAAGGGATACAACTAACTTTCTGAAGGTATTAAAACGAAAACACATTCCACAGATATTTGCTTACACAGGGGTATTCGTGTATATGTATAACCAAATTAATTCCAACTGCAAGAACACACTAGGGAACGATCAAGGCAGTTTGTTTTTATATAGTTCTTTTTGTCTTGTTAGCATTCTTTACTTCCCAGAGTATTTCGAGTTCGCGCTTTCGTTTAAGATGGGTATTTCACATGATCCCTTAACAAGATCTTGGATTCCTAGTATTGACATTAGCGGGAGGGCGCAACAGAAAAAAACATTAGTGCAGTGTCCATAAAGACATTTGATATCGTTCCTTCTCGATCCTCCGAGAGGGGCCAGAGTGGAGCTCACCGCAAAGTATAACAAAAAGGAAAACATTTTAGTGTATTCTCATCCATAGGATAAAACTTTTTCATAATGTGTAGAGGGCAGACTGTATAGGTCGGTTATGTGTAAAGTTGTGTTCATAATGATATTAAATACAGATGTCAGACTACTTTCCATGGTTCAGGGTCAGTCTTTTCTTGGTCCCTGTAAGTTTTTATTCATGTTTACTCCAACCTTTTGAACTATGCTTAATCAAACTTTGCATACCTTTAAACTGGAAAATATTTTGGGTATTTAAATTTCACAATTTTTACATTTTAAATTAAATTAGTAGGCTACAAATTTAATTTCATTAGTTCAGCTTCATAATGCATATTTTTAATGCAAATTTCATTGGTAATTCCATTGAATAGTACAAAAAAAGCTTCTTGGGACAAGAGCGCTTATGACCTCAAGCCATGCTGGTTACGATTTAGCCAACTGGGTGGACTGGAGTATTTCAAGTTCAAGTTCAAATTCAATTTTATTTGTCAATCCAGCCATATACAAGTATACAGAGAAACAAGATATCGTTCTCCAGGTCTACGGTGCGAATACAGACAAAACACTGACAAGACAATGCTATAGACATTGTAGACAGACATTTCTGACAGGGTACAGGGTACATAAAGTGCAATGTGCCTAGTGCAATTTACTTTACATGATTGTGCAAAGAACAAATCAGACAGTATGCCTGACATTAGGCAAAAAAAATAACTATGTTTCCAGATTTGGAGTAGGTGCAGTAGGTACTAAGGTGTTGAGGAGCCTGACAGCCTGTGGAAAAATACTGTTACAGAGTCTATTGGATCTGGCCTGTATACTGCGATACCTTTTACCAGATGGTAGGAGGGCAAAGAGTGCAGGAGGGGTGGGAGGGATCGTCCACAATACTGGAGGCTTTGTGTGTGCAGAATTTGTGGTAGATGTCCTGGATGGACGGAAGGGAGGCTCCAATGATGTTTCCTGCTGTACTGACAATTAATTGCAGGGACTTGCAGTCTGAGACCTTACAATTCCCAAACCAAACAATGATGCAGTTTGTCAAGATGCTCTCGATGGAACCTCTATAGAATGTGGACAGTATGGGGTTGGAAGGTTTGCCCTTCTCAGTCTCCGCAGGAAGTGGAGACATTGTGCTTTATTGTGGAGGAAGTGGAGACGTTGTGCTAGGGAGATGGTGTTGATGGTCCAAGTGAGGCCATCTGTGATATGCACACCAAGAAACTTAGTACTTCTATCTCCACAGGGAGCCGTTGATGTGCAATGGGGAGCTATCATTGTGGGCCCTTCCGAAGTCACTTATCATCTCTTTGTCTTCTCAACATTCAGAGACAGATTGTTGTTTAAGCACCAGTCTGCTAGTTGCTCCACCTCCTCTCTGTACGGTGCCTCATCGTTGTTATTAATGAGGTCCACCACTATCGTGTCATCAGCAAACTTGATGATGTCATTTGCACTGTGCTTAGCAGTGCAGTCATGTTTCATCAGCGTGAACAGGAGTGGGCAATATAGGCGTAAACTTTATTGAACCCCTGGAGGGTTCCGGTGTTCAGTATTGTGGTACTAGAGATGTTGTTTCGGGCCTGTGGAATGCTACTGTAAATCCATTAAGTGGTGGCAGTGGTGACTTGAACCCACAACTCGTTTGTGTTTAATTCTGAATCAACAGACTTAGCTGGTACACTAAACCGCAATCTCTTTTTAAAGTAGTTAGCTGAAAAGTTTCTGAATTTTGCTCAAACCCGCATCAGCTATTCTCCCCTCCAACTATCTTCTGCACTGAACCCCCAAGATCTAAGATCTATTTGCATACAATTTACACTTACAAAAGTTACAAAGTGTGCCAAACTCACTTGGGCAGTTTTTTTTTCTTCTTCTTAGTACTGTACCGACAAAGCTAAACCCTGAATATCATCAAGCTGCCACCCATCAACCAGTTTCAGTTAACTACATTTAAGCCACGTCTAATTTTATTTTTGTCTTTTTACTTTAGAAAAGGCACTTTCTACACACAAGTAATTAATAACAACAATTCACTTCGTCCTCCACTGAAGTGCTGCACAAATAGTTCATGTGTCTTATGTTACAGTTTCCCAACGATCCCGATTGTTTGCTTCCTTAAAACAGTTTGAATAATAGTAACAAAACATGTGCATTTGCTATGGGCCCTCTTTTTTTCTCTAGGACTTCCCTTCTGCTGCACATTGGGAACTACATCTGAGACAGGGATACAGGCCCGTGGAATGCTACTGTAAATCCATTGTGTTTGGACATTTGATCATAAAAGGGCAGAGCAGTGGCTCTGTGGCTAAGGATCTGTGCCTGTGATTGTGGAAGGTTGCTGGTCCAAATCCTGCAGTCGGCAGAGGAATCCTACTCCATTGGGCCCCTGAGCAAGGCCCTTAAACCCAACTGCTCCAGGGGTGCTGTACAATGGCTGACCCTGTGCTCTAACCCCAAGCTTCTCTCCTTGTCTGTGTCTCATGGAGAGGAAGCTAGGGTATGTGAAAAGATTAATTCCTAATGCAAGAAATTGTATAGGGCTAATAAAGCATCATTATCATTATTCTGAGAAAGGTAGCCCTGGTGTGTGTCAGCCAGCCCTGCAATGTACTGCTGTCCCATCTATGGTGTACCCTGCCTAGTGCCTGATGCTTGGTGAGACAGGCACCACCTCCCTCTGTGACCCTGAAGTGGTTAGAAAATGGATGGATAGACATTTGGGAGATCTTTCAAGAGGGAGATAAAGGCGTGTGTTATTATATTGTAGATTTATGTTATAATGAAAAGTTATAGCCCCTAACCTATTATATTGAATAGGTGTTGTTTTGTTGTTGGCGAATAGGAAAATAATTGCATGAAAAATTCCTTTCAATACAGAACGAAGTCTTTGGCAATGAGAAAGTACCTAGTGTTGACGTCATACTTGTGTTAGAACCCAAATAAGGAATCATACTTGAGATAGGGAGTTCAACAGAGTGAGCTTTATTCTCCCTACAGAGCTGGAGATCACACAGTGACAGAGTCCACTGTCACACAAATGGTTCTCGAAATTCAAAAGCAGACCTAGCTATAAAATACCCTTTCAAAAGCTATTCATTTTATTCAAATTTATTCATAATAACAATTTCCCACTGAGCATTATTATATCTCAGAAACCCAGTCAAGGACAACATGTTCCCTACTTCATTGTTTATCATTTGCTCCCTGGTAGTAACTTTTTTTTCTCATTATTGTTAGTGTACTAAGCTTCTGTGAGTTCAAAGTTAGGTGTTTGGTCTGCACAGCTTGATTCTTTCACTTGTTTCAAGTAGGGCTACTTCCACAATAATGACCACCTGACTTTGTAAAGTTAACTTTTCTTTACTTGAACCATGTCTGTGATAAAACTAACAGAAGACAGGTGGAACATGGATAAACACACTCAAGAACGTTATTCCTTCTCAGCACTAATAGGTCCCACGAGGAAAGCAAAACAGTCAAAAAGTTTACGCCTATATTGCTACATGTTTTTATTTGAACTATGAACAGAATTAATCTTTTTTTTAAATAAAAAAACAAGCCTATTTTAAGAACTGTTTTGAAGAAATTAGTTAATGTGTTTTGAGTCTTTACGTAAAGTCTTTGAGATGATCTGGCCTGGGAATAAGTCTTCCATATCTAGAGTGGAGGGCATAAGGTACTGACCCTGCGATCTATCATGCACAAGGACTGTTTTCCATCTACTGGGTCCCTCTTCACCCTTGAAGGGTTAATTCACTGTCCAGTGGCAAGGGTTCTGTTTGTCTTCACTGGGCATAAGGTTGGGTGATTGGAGCTTTTGGAAGGTCTAGCTCTATGTTGTATATTTGTATTAGTGTCTTTTAATTGTATGAGCTCACCAAACCAAATTCCGTGAAAAGGGGTTGATACAGTAGTATAGGATTGAATTTGAATTCTTATCTTTTCTTGGTGGATTTCAAATGTATCCTATTTCTCCTGAGGGTTCATCCCTGGTCTGTCCTCACATCATAAGACATTTTTATCCACCGGCTTGATAATTTCTTTGCTACCAGTTATTCAGTCCCACTGAAGGCTGGTATCTCACATTGTTATTGCAGTGTAGCAGAGTTAAATCATTTGCTGGTGGTATCATAGCATTTGGCCCGTCTACGCTGTTTTCTTTCATAGACTTGTACTGGCTGCTTGCCCTTTCAGATATTAGCAGTGGTTCACTCATCAGCACCAGCATCTTTGTTATTGCTATCTGATCCTGGCATGGTTCTTGTGATTCAGCAAGGCAGGATATGGAATTGATCCAACTTTCTTTACATTGGACATAAGTCTCTTGCTTTTTTGACTGCAGATTCCACCTTCCTATTAGTCTGTGAGTACTCTGGTGATGATGATTTCTGCTTGAAATCCTATGTTTTTTTGAACTCCTTAAACTCTTCTGAGGAGTCAGAGAATACAGTGTCCGGAATGGCATGTCTTACAAAAAATGCCTTGTAATTAACTTTGCCTTTGTGTCAATCTCTCAAAAGTAGGAAAAATATTCCACAGTGTTCAGTCTTGGTCATCAAACACAAACAAGTCTGTCCCTACCTTCTCCCAAGCCCACTTCAGAGTTTCATGGGCTTGCAGGATCTATTTTTGCTGTTTGGTTCCCCAAGCGCTGCAGATGCTGCATTGTTTATGTGTGTTTTCAGTTGTCTGTTCATGCCTGGGCAGTAGATGCATTCACAAGCTCTCCTTAAGCAGCGCTCTATGCCAATGTGTGATGAGTGGATTGTGTGCATTAGATCTCTTCTGAGTAAATCTAGCACAGCAACCCTTGCTCCTCTAAAGACGACTCCATTTTGCCAGTGAGCTCATCTCTGCTGTGAGAATATATTTTGTCACCTCCAGTGTTGTGCGTTCTTTAACCTCAGGCCATCCCTCAAGTGTCACCTTATATTGGACTTGTAGCTCCTTGGACTGTTCAGTGGCTTTCCAGATGGACTTTAAATGCTCTTTAGAGACAGAGAGGTAGTGCATGATGCTGATGGGTTCTAGTTCATCCTCCACAGGTGCTCGGTCACTGTAATGCAACTGTAACGGGGACACTACCCTGTAAAAAAGGCCACCAAAAGGCCTATGGTGACTCTGACAGAGTTACAGTATTTCATGGCAGAGATGAGAGGAACTGTCCATGTGACAACAATAGCCTGGGCACTCTGGGAGGGTGGCAAACAGAAAACCATTCTTGAAGAAAACCCTAGTAACATCTTTCATTGATTTTTTAAGAAGGCATGTGGGAGACAAAGTACAACAAAGTAGAGGAAGACTCTATGGTCTGATGAGACCAAGATTGAACCTTTTGGTCTAAGTGCTAGGTGCTATGTTTGGTGCATCATCCCAAGAACACTAGCCCTACTGTGAAACATGGTGGCAGTATAAATCTACTGGGGTGCTTCTCTGTTTCAGGATGTAGAAAACTTGTCAAAATAAAAGGCAAAATGGATGGAGAAAGGCATAGACAAGATCTGCTGCAGTCTCCAAGAGACCTAGGCCTTGGGAGAAGATTTATAATCAATGACTCAAAGCATAGTGTAAAAGCCACATTGGAGTGGCTTACAAAAGCTGGTCGAGACCTCCCCAAATAGACTTCCAGCTGTAATTGCAACTAAAGATGCTTCTACCAAGTATTAAAACAAGGGGAGTGGAAACTTATTTGTAATTAATTTAAGAAAAAACTTTATAGTTTTTTTTATTTGACATTACAGAATGAACTGTGTTAATCAGTGGAAGAATTCACAAATAAATGAATTGTGATTCAATGGTGTTAGAAAATAAATTTAAGTAGTATTCAACCCCTTTTAGCATTTTTGTGTAGCCACTGTAAATGGTCTGTTGTTTCTTCTTTGGCAACTCTGAAATGTATCAGTCATACCACTGAAGCTCTTTAAATTTGAACTTTAACCTTGTTGACAACATTCTCTCCTTCCTTTAGAACTATTTCACACTACTTTTATTCCCAGGTCTGGTGCTCATGTAGATGATTTATCATACTAAATGGAAGAGAAAGAGTGCAAACCAGGACACAAACTCACCAGAAATCACCTGGAGAGGTAAAGTAGAAGTGTTAAACTACAGTATTGTGAAACAAAACAGAGGTAAACAAGTACACTAAAATTAGGAAAAAGAATACAAATGACTTCAAATTTATTTTTTAAATACAATTCAAAAAGGAGAGAAAGTACACCTACAGCAAGTGTCTTAAATCTTCTTATTCTTGCTGGGGGTCCTGGAGCTATTAAATTGATCAACATGCAACTGTCTTACACAGCAGAGCCACAAAATGAAGAAGGGTGAAAGATAAGTGCCCTGGGCTTCCCCCCTAGATGGCCCAAAACCAATCAGGAAATGCCTATTAATTAACAGTGCATATAAACAAATATAACATTTAAAACATACACAGCACTTAAAAGAAAAAGGTTTCCTTAAACATGGTATAGGACACTTAGAAACCCATTTAAACAATATGGAAACAGTTCTATCAATACAGGCATATTCTAACTGGAGGTTGCAGATATGAAGGAAAACAATGACAATGCTGCACTCTACTGGACATTACACTGTGCACTGAACACATCAGTGTGAAGTGTTATAGAGAAAAGTGCTATTGACAGATTTACAGTGATCCTGTGTTCATCACACTATTTTAGTAGTTCTTGGCCAGAGTCCCTGCTAAATGTATCTACCAATTCCCACTCATCCAGAATGCTGGGGCTGCTCTGTGCGCTTGCTCTTCTTTGCTTTTCTCACGTTGCTTCACTGGTCCCAACCCTCTGCTGGCTCTCTGCTGCATTGTGTCCAATTTGAAGCACCAAATCTCACACTGCTACCGTACCTCAACCATTGTACTCCCACATATCTTCAGTCTCTTTTCTTTATAATCCTCTCCACTTCTCCTCATCTCCTCGTGTGCAAGACCTTCTACAATGTGATGGAACAAGGTGAGGCTTAGTTTCTTTTCCTTAACTGGAGTAAATTGGACACACCTGGCTTGACAGACATTCTTCAGGGGCAGCAGCAGTCAGATGAAGAGGGCAGGGAGACAGTTAGGAGAGGAATGAACTGTAAGGAGTTTAGATGGTATATCCAAATATGCAAATTATTAGTTCAATTAGAGTTGGGCTAGAACAAAAACCAGAAGACAGTGGCATCACTAGGAGCAGAGCAGATCTAATCCTGAGGCAGTGGGATGCCCACAGCAGAGTGTCCCTGGAGGCTCTGGGCTCTCTGCACCTTCTCCACAGTGCAGTAGTCCTGCAGGAAGACGGAAGCCAGATTGCTTAATCTCCGGTTTGTAGACAGGGAGAAGCGCAGCATGCACTCCACCACGGGGGTATCGGTGATCTCCTCGCGGGAGGCAGGAGTCATCAGGTACATCAGAGTGGTGATGGCAGACAGCACTGTCTCCTCATTGGGGCTGGACAGGCACCCAATCACCAGCTTCACACCATCGTTCTGCAGGATGTATTCCTTGTTGGTTTTGTCCAGGCTCAGGTTACACAGACCCCCTGTGAAAACATGGAAATTGCTAAATAAATGTACTAAAGCATCAGGTTAATTGTGATGCATTTTGTTCAGTTTCTCTATTACATTGTTTAGGCTTCAAGGAGTGCCAACCTATAGTGCTGCAATGGCGAACCTATGGCATGCAGGGCCATATATGTAATCACCCCTAATAAACAGCCTGCATTCTGTCTGGAACACTGGAAAGTTAGTCAGTTTTTCACCTGCAAAGATGCCCCTGAAGTACCCAAACAGTACTAACTGTAGTAAATATCCATTCATGGTTGGGTGTTTTGCCGATGAGCTGCTATATTTAGGAGAGAAACAGCAACAGCCTTTCCTACTTTACAGGTGATTTAACTGTTTCAAAATGTCAAAGTCGAGGTGACAAAACTAGGTCAGGATTATATAATAAAGGTATTTTGGGTTTACATCTTTTCTAAAAAACCTTTTGCATGTTATCAGTGTGAAGAGTGCAAGGTCTTTTTGTTGGTGTTACTGTTAATTGAGGATTTTTACACTAAACTTAGGCAAACAAAAAAACTATGAAATATGGAGTTTATTTGTGGATATATATACACTCTTTAAATAGGTTTGTAGAATTTCTTTCTTAATTTAAAAAAATCAACATATTATACAACATGATTTTCAACAATAAGACCACCAAGCACCTTACCTGCACAACCTTCTGAACCACACCTTTTTCTATAACAGAAGTTTCTGTATCACCTGCACATGTGTACCCATTATCATATATATACACATTTCTCCACTGGCCATTTAGAAATCTCTTGCAGAAAATGCCCTAATGTAATAATCTAATAATTGTTTGCAGTTATACTAAGTTATAAGAAGACATATTATTGATTCTGATTTCTAGAACTGTCTTTCTTTTTTCATCATCATTCTTCTTCTTCATTTCTATCTTCTTCTCAAAGTCTTCCTTACCTATTCCGAACTCCACCAGGCTCTCGTTGTCCTCTGTGAGCATGTCCAAAAACAGGTCGATCACCTGAAGCTTGCGAAGGGCCTCATAGTTGCTGGGGTCATAGGAGAAGTTGGCCAAGTTTGCCAATACTTGTGTCTTGGCTTCTAAACGTGAAAATGAAATAAACGTTCACAGATTTTGAATAGACAATAATTCAACCAACACATATTTCCATGTGGACAACATTTTTGTAACCATTGCAGTGCATCTCAAACGCTGTAACCCATATTTTAATCTATTACGTTACTTGAAATCCTGCGAAAACATGGTTTCCACATGATTTTGTTTCATTGACAATGCTTAATAAAAGATCTACAAACACCGCCTGCTGGTCAGTGCCTATAAGGTGCAGAAAAATTAATAACATATTTTAAAAGAAACAGAAGTTCATACCAATGCTGTCAGTATCCTGGAACTCTGTGACCAGAGCCTGCAGATACTCAAATCTGTCCAGTCCCTGGGAGTCACCTTTCTTGGGGAACATCACACTCCTAAAGCAAAAAAAAAAAAACATTTTCAGCATAGACAGCATAATCCTCAGAACTATCTTGATCTTTAAATTAAGGCAGTGTGTCCTATACTGTGAACAGCAGCGTTTTGCCACACTAGAAAGACACCAAAGCAGAGCATGCAAAATAATTTAAACTCAATTTAAAATATATTACTTGAACCAAAGAGATTACATGGAGTTGTACTGAAGTATTTAAAAATCATGAAAGATACTGCTGTATTTCAAACAAATTACTTCTTTACGCTCAAGAATGAATACAGGATACACATTTAAATCAATTTCACATACAGGGAAGGAGGGAGGTACGGAATTCTTTGCACAGATTTTAAGTGTCATATTTTTTTTTCAAACGTTAGAATTTGAACACTGTTGGATCCATATTTTATTATAAATTTACGACCAACCGAAAGCTTTTCCATATTGGTGTCGGATTAGCAGCAAAAGTGTTTATACCACAAATAATGCCCAAACTGAAAAGTAAAAAAAACAAATTACTTACATTTAAAAGCTACGCTAGTCTGTTAGATATTTTGTTGCATTATAAAAAAATATACATTTATTACACTAAACTATTTTATTTACCTATCGACGACCCATTTTTCATCCACCTTTGCCTTCCCCTTCCACACACACCTTATTTTTTATATTTTGTATTTACTTCCGTTCCTGTCCTAGTCGTTCTCCCCCGATCGACAGAAACGCATTGGCTTTTAGATTCCAGTTCCACAAAACTACAAGATCTAATGACAAAATAAACCAGTGAAAACTGTAATTAAATATCTCTTATTAATGGGAGGAGAGGACAAGTTATAAAATTCAAAATGTCTTTGTAGCGGGTGTAAACTGCACAATGATGCGATTGCATATACAAACCGTATATAGCTGCAGATGTGTATAAACGGAAAACTCGGGCTGTACTCTGGTGGACGGAACTTTGTTTCTCTGAGTCATGTGTTCTATGCCGGAGCTTATAGGAGGAGAGCGCAGTTGCGTTTTGTTTTTTAGAAGCGTGAAGCTAGTTGCTCTGTTTTTTTAAGGTAGAAAGTGGCACTCATTTTTGTTTTTGCCTAGGTATTTCTTCGTATAGCAGAGACATGAAACAGATCAAATTGTCTGCCGGCAAGCGGTTTGCCAAGCCGGTCTTGTTTGGGACGATCCTCATTGGGTTGTCCATCGCCTTTGTTAACAGGTGTGTATTAGTGTGGACGAACAGATATATTTTCATAAACGCTTTTTACTTTATGCAACATTGTTCATTTATTGTGATGAATAGCAAATTAAAGAGCTTTGCAAAATACTCAAGGTATTTATATATACCATTTGGGATGTTCCGGGAAGCTTATTATCCTTTTGTAGAAAGTAATAACCTTGGATTCCTATGAGTGGTAGAACAAAGTCATCGCTCTTGCAGAAGTACCAAATCATTGATCTTTGTTGACCGAAATAGTCCGGTGTTTTATTTTTTGCCTTACTTTTGACCTGGGAATGTGCTCACTGAACTCATGGATTTGATCATTTGTATGGTTTATTGACCTTGGCAGAGTTCTTGGTTCTAGTTCAAGTACTGGTTGTGGGACTCTCGCGCAGACTACCAGCTCATTTAGCTAAAGCTCATAACCTGGCTTGTTCCACGAAATGGCAGGATGAGACCCTCGGATCACCGAGCTTCTAGTAGCTGATTGACCTTTATATCAGAAAGCCTCTCATGTCAGCAGCCATATCACACTGCAACTCACAACTGACAACCTGCTGAAGCTAAGCAGGTGTGAGCCTGGTTAGTACCTGGATGGGAGACCTCCTGGGAAAAACTAAGGTTGCTGCTGGAAGAGGTGTTAGTGGGGCCAGCAGGGGGCGCTCATCCTGCGGTCTGTGTGGGTCCTAATGCCCCATTATAGTGACGGGGACACGATACTGTAAACAGGCGCCGTCCTTTGGATGAGACGTAAAACCGAGGACTCTCGGTTTAATGAGTGGTCATTAAAAATCCCAGGGCGTTTCTCCTTACCTTACCTCCTAATAATCCCCACCTATGAATTGGCTTCATTACTCTGCTCTCCTCCCCACTGATAGCTGATGTGTGGTGAGTGTTCTGGTGCACTATGGCTGTCGTCGCATCATCCATGTGGGGCTTCACAGTGGTGGAGGGGAGACCCTATTACCTGTGATGGTAATGAGTGGAGTGTCCAGAAAAGTGCTATACAACTGTAAGCTATTATTATTATTATTGAAGCTGAAGGCTTTCAACAGGAACACCTCAATTCACCTCAATTCACCTAGAAAAGGAATCTCAAATGTTTAAATGGAATTTGGAGAACTCACTAGGTTTGAGATATGTATTTTGGGAAATGCAACTTAACATTTATACTCTGAAATTTACTTAACGTGAATGTATTAGAATACATTTGATACCTTGAAATTACTGGGTTGAACACAAAGTATGGTTTTGTTAAAGTCAGATATATGCATGAAATTTCATATTAATCTGATAATCATAGATTCAAACTGCTTGACTGTAAGACAAAAACAACAGTTATGATTTTACTGTACCATTAATTTTAGGGGGAGCTGTATATATGTATTAAAGTGTGAAAAATGGTGGATCAGGAAACGTAACTAAAGTAGCAGTGTTATAGTAGCAGCATCAAGTATATAATCTCTCTCTATACTCTTAAGAAAATTATCTGCACTCCAATTTTTATTTAATATAACTCAAATAATGGACATGCATACATATATTCATTATTTATTAAATAAAGCATGTTTAATTAATAGAAGCTCAAAGGTTCCTGTGTGCAAAAGTAAGTGAAAGTTAATTCAGTTAGCAGTGGTACACCCTTTAGGAATTGTTTGGTTGCAGTCATAGCTCCTAAAGTTAGTAAAGTCCTTCACATCTGCTTTGAGGAACATTCTTCCAGAAACCTAAAGGATCATCCAGATGGTCTTTTGCAAACTTAAGATGTGCAGCAATGTTCCTTTCTTAGAGCAAAGGTTTTCTTCTGGCTACCATTGCTATTCAGCTTGTGTCATATTGTTGAGGTATAAACATGGACATCAACTGCAGAAAGAGAAGCCTGGAGATGCTTGGATGTGGTCCTAGGGTTCTTTTGGACATCCAGGATGAGTTTTCTTGTTGCTCTGTGGGATAATTTGGAAGGACATCCACGTCTAGGTAGAGTTACCGTGGCCTTAAATTTTCTGCATTTGTAGACTATTTGTCTTCCAGTAAACTGATGAATTCCAAAACCTTTTGCAATGGTTTTATAACCCTCTCTAGACTGGTGAGCAGACAACACTCTTCCTGAGTTCATCTGAGCTTGTCTGGGGTCTCTTTAGATTGTGGGATGGTGCATTACATTACTCTGTATGAACAGCACCAAACTGACTTTGCTCAGGTGATTGGTTCTTTGATTGCTTAACTTGGTACCCAATTATTTTAGCACCTGGTTATACTTACCATGTTGACTGAGCTAATGAAACCTGTGGTTCACTTACTTTAGCACATGTCCTAAATCTTCTTTTCCTATTTCTTTTTATATTGCATGCATAAATTCCTCTGAACAATACATTGAATTTGTGGACATAAACCTTTGTTTTAGGGAGGACTAGTTTTGATTAAACAAAAATTTTATAGTCAAAATGAACCACTCGGAGGTTCACAAACTTTCAAGTAGCACTGTAGCGTTTTTTTTTAGCTATGGCTGGGTCTTTATATTGCTACTGGAGGTTCATTATGTTTGCAGAAATGCAAAACATCATCATCAAAATAATAATTTAAAAGACAATACTAACTATATTTTCAGACACAAGTTTTTCCCTGAAGTGGAAGAGATTCGTGCCAGAGAACAGGCCAAATACGATGAAAAGCTGGCAGAGGTTCTGGAGCGTCGGCAGAAGCAAATGGGAGAGCTGGCAGAGAAGAGACAGGCTTCTCGATGAGCTCAGGGGATGTCCTGTCTGTAGGAAAGGCTGAGCTTCTCACTGCTGTACAGACAACCTGGCAGCCAGCTCCTCAATTCCTGTGGAGTTGCTCAATCTCTCAACAATATTTTGTGCAAACCTGGCAAGTGAAGATTTTCTGTGAATTCCCAGATACTTTTGTGACGAGAATGATGTATAGGAAGGAGTATATCACTAAACTGACTCCTAAGAGTTCAAAGATAAGAAAATATTTTTCCTTGTAATACGCCATTACAAGGTTGAGTAGTGCACTAATGTAAAATGAAAGCCTCAAGGTCAGGAACAACATCTATGAAAAGCTTCAAGTGTTTTCTTTTTTCACTTCTCGGTAAATGGCTTTAAAATTTTTAGTTTTACATTGTAAGATGTAACAAAAAAATATATTTCCTTAACTTTTCAGCAAGAATAATTAGTGTGTGGCCAAAATGTTTTTATTACCTATATGTATTTACACAAACTCCTTTGCAAAATATATACAATTTGTTCATGTCTAAATGTGTGATTTATACTCTCATTTGGGTGTGCTACCATTTGTTGGATACATGCTTAGCCTCACTGTGCACAGATGTGCCTCCTAGTGTTTTCCTTTAGATAAAGCATACAGAGGCCTCAAAGACACTAACTGATCTTTTCTGGTAAACATGAGGATGTTACAGGAGCTAGAAGAAGTTATAATCACATTTTCCACACACTGTGACAGGAAGTCTGCGTGAAGGCATTTGAAGTGTTTTGGTTTGAAAAGCATGTTCTTTTTGATTTAAGCTTAGGGTACAATATGTGATCAGCTTGTACTTTATTTGAATCGGTAGAATCATATGCTTTTAATGTGACTTTTATACACTTGATGAAGTGAATTGCTCTATGAAATGTAACTAAACTTTCCAGAGGACTGAGTGCCAAGCATGAAAAATAAATTCAATGCTGTTTAAAATCACTTGTGTTAAACAAGTTCTGATGGCGTGCTATAAAAAAGATTTATATATTTTTTCACTTATTTTCTTGCAGTACAGAAAAAAAAGACGACACATTTACAAATCAGTCAAATTTAATATGAAGAACAAATAAAGTTTTATATAAATAAACCATTTATATTAAAACTATTTAACCCTTTCCCCACAAAATAAAGACACTACTTAAATACATTACATATATACAGGTATGTAATATCTTGAAATTCAGGATAAAGTATTACATTTAATCTTTTAAGAAGACACAGTACATTCTAAAAAACCTGGCATTCACACAAAGTCTCATAAAACACGTCTTAGAAAAAATACATATTGAGACACAGAGACCGCATTATTTCTTTTGTATGACTACATTGGGATGTCAGTCACATATCTCAATAGTTTTGCTATTTATTCATGATGTACTTAGCTAAATATAATGTAAAAATTGTTAAAGAAACTTGAAAGAGGGTGGTAGGCTCCAGGGAATGGAGTCCTTTGTCTGAACACATTCATCAGACGTTAGAATGAGTTAGTGTAGGTGGGAGAAGACAGTGCAATTGTGCAATTTCAGCAGAGAGGAGTAAGGAGAAGGTAGTGACTGGTGGACCCTCACTGAACTGGAGCCAATGAACTGTGTGAGGCTTTGAGAAAAGACTTGGAAAAAGACTGTGTGAAGTCTGTAAGTAGCTTAGTTGCCTGGTGTGTTGTGAGGGGAACAGACTAAATTAAGTGATTAAAAAAGCTTATTTTTATTTAGTATTTTAGATGATTTTCTCACACTCTAAATAAAGAGCTCTAGTCTTGTACCTTATGGCCGTGTCTGTTTTCCTGAGATCCACATATTTAAAGATCGCTTAGTATTACACTTCAACATCGGAGTGTGTCAAAATCTTACAAGTGTTTTTTTTTCATTTGGCAATACACTGACCTGCTGTGTTTTTTAAACTTCAAACATACACAGATTAGTTCAGTTTAAACTGATCACTGACTTGTCACTCATTCTATAAATGTAGCTGTTCTTAAACCATGTACAGTATACTGTAAGGACATTCACCTGAGAAAAATTACAGCTCTGATAGGTTCCATCAACTTTTCTGATCTGCCTTGTCATTGTATGGATCCATCAATGCCTCCATTCAGACAAAATGTGAGAGCAGTCATAAAAAGTAAAAAAATAATTAATATACATACACTAAAGTCTGATTACTATATAGATAACCCGCTTCTCTGAAAACCTGTTGAGAGACAGATGAGGTGGTCGTCACATAAGATACTTGGCACTTTATTGCTAATCTTTCTGAATGCGGTGTTTGAATCAAAACATTGGTTTGTCCTGTCATTTACAATTAAAACAACTGTAAATGATGCTGGGACTGTTAAGTTCTGGTTCTTAACACCATTCATTTAATTGGTCATAGTGCTGGGTACTCTAAAATGCACTTGAAGCAAGGAACATAGCAAGTTGTACATAATCTGTTCCCTTTTGGCTCTATTTCTTATTGAGCTTTAGCAGCTTCTTGCTTAACTTCAATGAAAAATCTAAAACTTTTAAACATTTTTTAGAGGTACCCTTTTCTACACCACAGACAAATATGCCATTCTTATTTTATTCAAATATAGGTGGCAACCAGATTTCACACCACCAGTTTTACACTATGGTTATTGGTAAAACCTAAGAAATAACAGGTAATTGGTAAGAGCTAACAGAAATTAAGGCCCAAAAGCAAACCATATCACTATCAACATGTCTTCAGAACTCACAGGTAAAATTTGTTCACTTAGAATATAAATTTGTTTCTTTTATTTTTGCTAGGTTACCAGTACATGGCTGCGCAGAAGGGAATGTATTAACTACACAGATCCTTGCACAGGACACAACCTAATTTTAAAGAATTAAAAAAAAATGATGTTTCTGAATCATACAATACATAGAAACTTAGAAGATACAGATTTTGTTTTCATGTTAGGGGCTTTCACAACAGACTGCTCTAATCTTCGTGATTTTAATAACAGCATAATAGACACCCCATTACATTAAAGCTACTCGTGATCACATTGTCAAAATCTGTAACTCCAAAGCTGTTGACTACACAGCTGCAGCACTGAGACAGCAGGACCTGTAACCTGGTGTCAAGAAATATCCATGGAGACCTGACCACCTGCCTTGTCCCTGATCGCTCCATTGTTCATAGTCTTGCCTGGACCTGTGTGATATGCCAGGAAGCATGAGATCAGTTCATTAAGGCTTTGGTTTAACAGAGTCAGGATTTGACCCCTGGACTCCTAAAGATGAAACCGACTCAGCAAATACAATAAATGAACTCATTCATCACATTTTGCTTGGCAAGACAGCATGCAGCAACTAATGGCAATCAATAATTACAAATTAATCATCAAAAACTTTGGTCTTGTAGATGCATCCCCCAACAGTGTATCTGAGTCCTTGGACATACAGAAATTCATTAATAAACTGAAGACCTCACAAGCAATAACAAGTAAAGGGGGATTTAGTCTGCACTGTTTAATGAGCTGATCATGATGGTGAGTCCTCAATCTGGTGGGCTGAGGAATCCCAGGGCTGGAGATGCTCAACTGATCAGGTAATCCTCAGCTTGGATAACAACAGCGATCTCTATGGTTTACTGGCAGTGCTGCAAGTGTGAGTAAGAGAAGCTGACTCTGATAGTGTACTCCCTATATAAGACCTGAAGAGGTACATTTAACTCATGTGCTGGTGAATGGTTCATAGCAGTAAGCTGAGTTGAAACACAGCAAATTGAGGGAGAGCTATAAAAAAAGCAAACTATGGGTGCCTTGCAAAAGTATTCAGACCCTTCCCTATTGTATCCTATTTTATTATATCAATTTCATTTTCTAGCTTCTTCATCAAGTACAGGGTTGCAGGGGAGCCAGAGCCTATTCCGGCAAGCAATGGGCACAAGGCAGCATACACCCTGAAAGAAATGCCAGGCCATCATAGGACACACACACACAGACAAACGCAGATGTGCACACACTCACACCAGGGCCAAGTATGCAAGAAGCCAACAGCCTACCAGTACTGTATGTTTTTGGACTGCGAGAGGAAACTGGAGAAACCCCATGCGAACGTGGGGAGAACATGCAAACTCCACACAGTTCAAACGCAGGTCTGGAATGAAAGCCAGGGCCCAGTGCTGCAAGGCAGCAATGCTAAGCACTGCACCACCCTATGGTGCCCCTATGGTGTCCCATTCAGTGAAAATACAAAATGATGCACACATTTTTTTAAATTAATTATTGAATTGAATCCTCAAACTGAAGACTTCAAAGTGTAAGATAAAATACAATAAATGCCAGCCAAAACTACAGAGAAAACTTTGAAATATGTTGAAGTATTCAGAACTGTGATTTCAACATTTGGTGGCTTTGGCAGCGATTACAGCCATGATTCATTTTGGGTAAATCTCTACCAACTTCCATGCTGCTTGAGGATCATTCATAGACAGCAGTTTTCAAGTCTCTCCATAGATCCTAAATAGGATTTAAGTAAGGAATGTGACTGGGCCATTCAAGGACATTCACCTTCTTATTTTTAAGATATTCCAGCATAGCTGTGTGCTTTGGATCAGTTTCCTGCTGAGATCTGAATTTCCATTACTGTTTTTGGTTTAAAGCAGGTTTTTAATCAAAGATTTGCCAGTACATTGATCCATTTATGTTCTCTTCAGTCTTCATAAGCTTCCCAGTCCCTGCAGATACATAATGCTGCCACCGCCTTGCTTGAGAGCAGGAATGGTGTTGACTGAGTGATTTACTGTGTTGGGTTTGCATGAAATTTTGCATTTAGACCAAAAGGGACCAATTTTGTCTTATCTAACCAGAGAACTTTTTGCCACATGTCTGCATTATCACTTATAGTAGGTGCTTTGTTACATACCCCTTGAGGAATCTGAAATGTTTTTTTTACCGTTCCATACAAGTTCCCTTTGTGGAGTGACTGGGATATTGCTGATCTGTAGACATTTTCCATATCAGCCACTGGACTGTGGAATTCTTTCAAAGTTGTAGTTCGCCTCACTGTTGCATCCCTACTCAGTTTCCTCCGTGCTTGGCTGCTCAATTTGGAGGGTCATCTTGATCTAGGTAGTCTGGGTGCCTTTCAGTGCTTAATGATAAACCTCAATATGTTCAAAGAGAAATAAAGGGTCTTTGAAACATTTTTATATTCTTTCCCGATTTGTGTCTTTATAAAGCTTATACATACCTTATATATACCTGAGCTATTTTTAAAGTTCCTTGGTCTTCATGGTTGAATCTTTGTTTGAAATTCACTACCTCACTGAGGGCCCTATCAAATATAAGTGTATTCAATCTATAATGACATGAATTATTGCTGCACGCAGGCAGAGGACACTCAACTGTGGAGCTTGTTAAGGTTATGTTTTGCATATAAACGTAGGTTGAGAACTGTGCAAGGGTCTGAATGCTTTAGCAGGGCTCTGAATCTCAAGCATTTTCATCTCACTGTATCTTGAAATACACTTCAAGACAACTGCATGTGTAAATGAAATTTGGATTAAACATTGTAATAGTTGTGTGCTCAAATATTATAGAAGGCTTATAGGTATATCTGAAATGAAGTACCATATGAAAAAACAATAGCTTCAACAAGGCAACAGTAGTAGCAATTTGCTTGCCTCATTGCTTTGAAGGATTTTAATACAGAAATAAAAATATCTAGAAAAATGTTCTCAAGAGGCACTTTTATCCCAGGTCATGTACCTACAACAAGGGGATCCTTCTAAATAGCAAACGGAGAGACCTCTCAAACACTGGTGATGTATACCATCTCTGTGCTGTTCTGCTTGCAGGACGTGCGTCGCTCCATACCAGTGTATCTACAATCTGAAGAAAGTGGGTCAGAGCATTTCTCATGGTCTTTCGCCCTCCCTTCCTCCCGATCCAGCAGCCAAGCAGAGACCCAGAGGAACAGTCCAGCTGACACCACTGCAGCACTGGATGCGTAGAACACATAGGTGTACTTCTGGGTCCTGTCCACCAGGTAGCCTATGAAAAGCAAACAGTGTATTTAGTCTGGAGTAAACAATGAGCTTGAAGATGCTATTTTTAAAAAAAACATGCTGGCACTATGTATAATGTTATACATACACTATGGTTTATATACAGTATATATAGTTGGGATATATAATGTGGGATTGGGGAAGCAATAAATCAAACAATGTAGGGATATATAATTATATGTAAAAGTTTAATATAAATCAAGGAATGCAATGCACTTGTAACATCTCACTTAAGTTACTAAGTCCAATTTTTGTTACTTCACCAAAACTATATTGCTGCTCTAGATTCAGTTAGAAAAGAGTGACAAAATTAATTCTAAAGCTTGAAGGAATGCCCCAATACAAAACATTACTTAAATCACTTAAGGATATCCAGAAAGGAAATGGTTATAAGCTCACATGAGTATTATCTAAATGAATGACTAAATTACGTTTTTACATTCATTCTTTATTTATTCATCCAATATCAAAAAATATGTTTACTTCTAGCAAGGAATGTATCCTGGAAGCTTAGAGGCAGAAGGCCAGCATGGGCAGTGCACCAGGACTACCTACTGACCCCAATTAAACTTGCCAGTATATTATTTCAGGGTGGGAGGAAATTGGGGTATCTTGAGAAACCCTACTCAAACACAGGAAGAACATGGAAAACCAATACAGAAGAAACCCGATTCCAAGACCAGATCTAGTACTCAAGAGCTGTGAGGTAGCAACACTAATTGTCACACCATCATGCCACTCAATTCCTACTTTACTAGAAAAATAATCTGACGGGTTTCTTATCTATAAAAATGCCAGTATGAGTGATTACATTGGCCGCATTGTCATTTTCATTCCCACGGCTCCATGGTCTGACCAGCCATGCCTAACATGTTCCTTAAACCTCCAAGTTTCTTTATGTACTGTATATATAAGAAGGCACAGACTGTACGTTCTGTATTTGTGAAGGGGAGAAAATACTTTTGAGATGCCCTTTATAGTTACATGTTTCCTCGTCAAAACTGATACTGTTGAATAAAAAATGAAATGTTGCTCATGAGAGAGCATATCAGCTTTAGGACTGAAAATGTCAAATACATCTTTTTTTGAGAGGAGCTCTTCTAAATTACTCTGTGGCTTTTATGATTATCTTCAGAGAGTCGTTAGGATAGTTTTAACATTCTAGTTTTATTGAGATGCCTTAAAATACTGACCCTGCACGAAACTTAGTCTTCAAAGTGATAATTAGGACCTGCAGTGCTGTCCTTCACTACACATTAAACCTATTTTTATGTCCAAGCCAAATCATAATTAAACACAATGAAAACACATGAGACATCAATCAATTCTTGTAAATGGGCATAAGATTGCCTTCATTAGGATGCAAATGATTGGGTGCAAACTCAAGTTTAATCTCTACTTCTAAAATATCACCATGTCATTATGTTTTGGCAAAAAGATTTTTTACCTCACTAGGGGTAATAAGATTGTTCAGAATTTCAAATACTGCTAAATGTCTAAATACAGTATATGTATATAGATCCAGAATAATTGATAACAAACTAATGAAATTCCTTATTTTTTTATTTCACTTCTTCATTCTATTGTTATGCTTTTGGCATTCATCGCACGTTAGAACAGTTAAAAAATATTAATTAAATTAAACTGCAGTAAATAACAGGATTTCAGAAATATTAAAGAGACTGTGACTAAAGGTGCTGAAAAACAGCCCGGTTTCGGACTCCTGGTGTTACCTGCCAGGGGTGGCCCAATGAGGAGGGTCACACTTTCCATGATGGTGAGAAGTCCTAGGGCACTGGGGAAGCGCCTCATCTCCACTATATCCATCAGCACAGTGAAAAGAATGGATCCGATGATGCTCATGGACAGGCCATACACTACGCAGTAGGCCACCAGCACTAAGAAGTCAGCTGAAATGCAGCAGATGCAGTTGCTCAGGCCGTTGACCACTACTGCTGCAGTGAATATGTAGATGTGTTTTCCAGAGAAGTAGCTCAGGCCAAAGATGAGGCCAGCCAGAGGGCGCATGAAAATGTTGATGAAGCCCAGGATCGCCAGCAGGAGGGCAGCCTTGCTCTGCTCCATTCCCTCGCTGGTGGCATAAGGAACCACATAGATGAGAGGAACAATGAAGCCCAGCATCATCCAGGTGATGCCGATGGTGTATGTTTGGTAGCGCTTGTTGGCACAGAAGAGGTCAAAGGCCATGTGTTTCTGCAAAGCAGATAGGAAGACCTTGAATTTCCTGTTTAAAATCTGGTTTAGATCCATTTTTTTTTCACTCGTGTCCTTTTGCCCAGGCATGTCCCTTGGCGATTGGTCCAGTCTTCTGCCCTTCTGCTCCTGTCTGGGGCTGACCGGCCTCATCACAGCCCCACACACACAGCAGTTCAGCAAGACTCCTCCCAGAATGAGGAAGCTACCCCGCCAGCCCATATGGCTCAGCAGGACCTGTACAAACAGAGGCCATACAGACAGGCCAATGGCAGTGCCAGTGGAGGACATGGCGTTGGCAAAAGCTCTCCGCCGTACAAAGTAGTGGCCCAGGATAGTGACAGCTGGCTGAAAGCTGAGACAGAAGCCCATACCTGAAACAACAAGAGATGGATATGTGTAAACACTTAAAACAGATCTTTCTAATTCTTCTGTCTGCATTTAACATCCAAAGACATCTGAAATTTGTGTTTTATCAATCACTTAACTTAACCTATGAAGATTTGTGGCAAAAAAACCTTCTTATTCGAGGTTCTGATTTGACTCATTACTATCCTGTACTCCTGTACAGAACATTTGTAATACTTTTGTAGTTCAATCCAAAGTGAATATAAAGCTGAAGCAACCAATGAACCAATCGACCAACCAATCAATCATCTATATTTGCTCTAGTGCCATTTGCAACATTTTCTCACAGAGCACTTTACAGAATTATACAGCAGTTGACAATAGTGTACAGCAACAGTTGACCAGATGGTACAAAGGAGAGGAAAATGAAAACCTCTGTTGGTACCAGGCCCATTTGTTGTTGCTCACCCCAGACCTCTAGACCATGGGTATGTAGTATGTTACTTGTGCTAGATTACGGACAATTGTAAATTATGGACAATGTATTATGTATTTACTGTACATCACCCACATAAGTGTTTCTACAGGTTCACCTTCTTCAGCGATATGGATTGTGTTAATTGTGCACTTGAATAATTTTGGCATGCAAATTAGCAAACTATTTGCAAGAATTAATCTGTAATAACCTTCATTAAATATTTCAAGCAGGTAGCAGCATCAGCATGTGTAGGCTGATAAGGAACAAGTAAAGGTTTATTCCATGCTGAAAATAGAGGAAAGGAAACTTTGTGTTCAGCATGGAATAAACCTTTACTTGTTCATTAAATATTGTCTAATTAAAATTAATTATTACAACAGTATGTACTGTATATCTTTATCAAACCATGTTACAAGCATTAGAAAAACAATACATTGTCAAATCCTATCATTAAAACAGAAGAGACTTAGTGATGGCTTTCTGTGTGACAAATTGCCAATTGTAAAAGCTGTGTTGGATTCACAGCCTGCATTCTGGGCACTCCTGAATTGTAAAACGGGTCCAACTAAATTGTTTGCACTGTAAAGTTGTTTTTCCAAGGTAGCATCACTATTATCTAGTCAAATACCTGGTTATCTGGACTGTTGATTTCTACACAAATGACTTATTAATTTGTACGAGTGATTAAAAGACTATAGTTGTCAAGGCTATACATAATGCAGGCTATATGAGGAAGCACATTAGGAAATCTTATTGCTATCAAGTACTTGAAGTACTTGATAAGATATTAACCTACACAAGGTTTAAATTACACATACTATATATTGAAGAGATTCATGAATCATTTGTTGTTAAAGAACATTAAAATACAAGACTGGGAACATACATTCAGGTTTGTTATTAAATAAATAAATTCCTGCAGTTGTGTAGCTCATTTCACTCCAAAGTATTACACCTAAGGGGAACCACTTCAATCTGTACATCTCTGTTGTGTGTACCTGCCTAACACACACTCATTCTGCACCAGCCCCACTACAAAGGTCAGGTGGAAAAGTGAGAAATTGCGTCATTAATTGAATCAAGAGGGTAATTTAGGAAGGGCAGATAATGCAAGGTCAAAGTGAAATTTCGTCAACATGTTGAACATCACACTCCCACCCTTATGAATGGTGGATGAAATAATTTATGACAAAGCAGTCATGATCTTGATTTAATGCAGTCGTATTCACTCATAGTCCTGTAGGGACTCTGTGTTTTCTGTTTTTCATTCTACCTTAGACTCTTCTTGATTTGAAACAAATTTCACTTAACTCATTTGGTTTATTTTACTATTCTTTTCAGGTTTTCACTAATTTGTCCTATGAGTGAAGAGTTTTGTGTAATGCCAAGCTCTTTGGAATAAAACTGCATAGCCAAGTACTGCAGCTGAAATTCTGGAAGCAGAATGCTAGCTGCAGTTCATTGGCCAAACCACACAAGATACAACTCTATGTTCGTGGCTGTGCAGAAAATTGTCATACTGAAAGAAGAAGAGAGAGGGGCAACAGGAATGTGTGTGCAGCCTTCAAAATTAAAATGCATGTAACATTTTTTTGCTGTGTACATTTCTTTGCAAACGATTATAATATTATTATGTATTTAATAACTTTAAAGTCTAAATACAGCTTGGATGACATCTTTGTCCACTGAGAAATATTTAGATATTGTGTGTATAAATTTAAAATGGCAGCTGATTTGTTTATAAGTTGTTAAATGATGCCTTATGTGCAGATGGACAAAATTTGATTTACGATAAACATTCCATATAGCAGTTCATATAGCTTTCTGCCTCTGAAAGCTTATTGCTAATGGCATTCAATGATTTTAATGCAATTATTTTAGTTTCTTAATATTCTTAATGTTCTTCTTGTCATATTTGTTTAACATCAACCTTGTATACATCTTTTTATTAAGGATGTAAACTGTCTATTTCATAGTACAGCTCTGGATTGAACCAGGCAGCTGCTGAAACTGAAGACATGCGGTCTTCTTAATGTATATTTAAGAAAGTGCCAAACAGTTTGAAGACTATTTGGCCTGTTGACGTCCTTTCCTACAATCAAGGAGGTGTACAGCAGGGTCAACATTCCTATGCCTGCGTCAGCTGCCTGTTAGAGGCCCTTCAGTGTTACTGGAATCTTACTGAGTCCAAGGAGAGCAAGGCAGGATACTTTTAAAAACCAGCTGCTACTGAAGTTGAACAAGCAGGTTCAAAAGTAACTGTAATAAAAATGATGCATGCTTCAGTGTGTGAAAAACAAAGACGTCAAAGATGTAATTTGACTCATTGTTTATTATAGTTTACTCTGGCTCAAATGTGAAGGTTGCATTTAGTGTTTCAGATGACTAATGGGAATTTACTAGCAATTTCAAAGCAGGATTTATTGTTTTTAACTTTTGATTTAATTGATTCATTTATTTTGATTAATTGGTTTATTTATGGATAAATACTGTGGCTATCATTTAAATTCTTGATTTGAGATTCAAATGTAAGCATAGTTGTTTGTAATATAATAATTCCACTGACAAAAGTAACTGAAAAGTTAAGCTCAGGGTAACAGAAGATTTCCATGGGTTGAGGTTTGTCTTCTGATACTGGAGTACTGTTAACAGATGGTACAGATTGTACTTTCACTCACGGAGTTTATAAGATGGAAACGTTTACTTAATTGCATATTTTTTAAAGTAAACGTTCTTTAACTCACATTTACATGAAGTACTTGCATAACTGTATTAATACCAGGTTACAAACGTAGTATGGTTTTAACGGGTCAGGGCTGGTTTCTATAGTGTTAAGTGGACAAGTGGACACTCCCCCCCACAATGGGACACCAGTCCATCACAGGGATTTCAATCCAATAATGTTGGTTCCCACTTTTACAGCAGATAGACAAGATCCAGTACAGTAAAGTAGGTTAGAAAAAGCAGTGGGGATTTTAACCCACAACCTGTCAGTTATGAGTCGCAAGGCTAACCCACTATCCTACACCTCCCCCTGTTTAACACAACTAAATAGTAAAATCTGGAGTTCCTTGAGGAGATGTGCTCCTGAGACAGCCTGCCTACTAACCTGTGATGATCCCAGCTGTGATGTAGAGCTGGCCAATGGACTGTGTGAAGCAGCTGGCCGCCATGCCAAAGCCACTCAGAATCCCACCAATCATAACCGTCACACGACATCCATAGTGCTCAACCAGAACACTACAGAGTGGACCTGGAAATAGACAAAATACAACATGAAGATACATGGTGAAAATATACCATGAAGACAATGCACTCATGAAGAGCAAAAACCACATCACTCTCATTTTTCAAGTTTTCCAGATGGTAATGGTACTAGCCACAGGTACTTTTACAAGGTTACAAAGTTATATAATGGACAATCTTGTTTGAAATCATTCACTTTAATATGTTTGGCCAGAAACAGAAGATGTCTGAAGAAAAAGCAAATGGTTGCTGTAGATACTGTTAACAGATAAGTAGGTGGCACTCTTCCTTTGGACCACACTTTGCAAACTTAGGCCCTCAGTATAGTGACCAGGGAAACTGGGTAGTAGGCATTGTCATCCTACAGCATTAAACCAAGGTCAAATCAACTGAGTTGTTTAAGGTCCCATGGTACTGTTCGTAAGAATAAGGATGTTAATCCTTCTGTCCTGGTTAAATTCTACTCTGGGCTTACACTTCTTCCAAGTGGATGCATCTCAGTTTCACCTTCCTTTTTACAGTATACACTGATTTAACATACTGTGTAAAGAGTATTTCTGAACACTGGGCCAGCAGGGGGCGCTCACCCTGCGGTCCATGTGGGTCCTTATGCCCCAGTATAGTGATGGGGACACTATACTGTAAACTGGCGCCGTCCTTCGGATGAGACGTAAAACCGAGTTCCTGACTCTCTGTGGTCATTAAAAATCCCAGGACATTTCTCTAAAAGAGAAGGCGTGTTACCCCGGCGTCCTGGCCAAATTTCCCATTGTCCCTTACCAATCATCGCCTCCTAATAATCCCCCTCTATGAATTGGCGTCATTACTCTGCTCTCCTCCCCACTGATAGCTGATGTGTGGTGAGCGTTCTGGCGCACAATGGCTGCCGTCGCATCATCCAGGTGGATGCTGCACATTGGTGGTGGTGGAGGGGAATCCCCATTACCTGTAAAGCGCTTTGAGTGGAGGGGCCAGAAAAGCGCTATATAAGTGTAAGCAATTATTATTATTATTATTATTATTAACATTTTCAGTTTTTAAAAACACAAGCTGGCACAACAGTGACAGAGGGAGACAGATTCTGGTAGAATCATGCCACGCAGAGATTAACAAAGTTACCAGTCACATAGTCTAACAAACGTCAATATCCTAGAGCTGAACTAAAGCCGAACAGAGCACAGTTGAGGAGCAGACGTTTGCTTGTGATTGGCTGGGTTCAATAAAAACACGCAAGAAAAAACAGATCACAGTTTGACTGGCTTAACACCAGCCCCACTATCAAGATAGATGTCTGGTAGCCTTCTCATTTAATCTCTTCTAAAATACCCATCCATGAATAACATTACGTTTGTATATCCTTTCAGTAAGAACACACAATTTTCCCATGTCTCCTACATCAATTAAGAGTTTCTCAAAACATGACAAACAATCTACTGATCCAGAAAGAACTGAAGAACAAAGCAACATAAACATTAGGCTTTGTAATGAATTCTGAACCCCTGTCATTTTCTCAGCCAGTTCCACTCTAACTTTTCTTCACAACAAACGTTTCATCACATTTAAGGATTATGGAAATATCCACATCACCTTCCTAATGACAACTGTGAGGCGATGTGAGTGGTGCTGTTTAAAGTCCCTGAACAATGAAAATTTCACTGCACAGTAAAATAAACAAAATGACACAGAGACACTCCCAGCTATTTCTTTTTTATGCCTTATCAAATTTAAAGGTGCAGCATTTACAAGCTGTGCAAACACTACACTTATGTTATCACTTCAGACTTCAAGTAAGAGTTACTGTGTAAAAGGACACATTGCACATACTGTAGTCAAGCACAGTCATCTCTTAAATGAGATTTTAATATTGCATCCTGTAATACACAATAAAGTTAAGCCTATCTTCTCCTTAAGGTGAACTACTTTATTTAGATTTACTTTCATTGGTGTCACACAGGAACTAGAATCTGCAGAAGACATGCTTAAGAAGTGTTAATTCTATTAAGTTTCTCAAACCCATCTTACACATCCTCTACTGTATATTGCCACATTGACTTCACCACTGCCACAGTGTTCAAAATGGCAACAGAAAGACTATTTTATAAAAATCTTGGAGACAGCACCTTTCAGCTACAAAGTGTTTTGATCATGGCTGGTACTGAATCAATGTGGATTTACACTTCATAGCCACATGATTGTGCAGCACAGTGATAAGCACTGCTGCCTTGCAGTGCTGGGGCTGCGCTGCTGTGTGCCCTGCAATAGACTGGCACCCTGTCCAATATGTGTCCCACCTTACGCCCACTGTTTCCTAGGATAGGCTCTTGGCCACCATGACCCTGAACTAAATAGGAATTCTCAATTGCACGCCAAACGACATTTCTCTAATCAGAATGACTATGCTACATTAGAGTTTCCCTGTTGCCAAGGCAAACTAGAACATCTGACACGGTGAGCCAAGTCTTCTGACGGAGAAAAGATAATCGTGTATCATGTTCCACCCAGAGTGGACGCCACAGTTTACAGTAGGGTCTGTTTCAACTTATCTAAATATATTGAGTAATCCTATTTCCTACCTACGTGGGAGGATAGCAAAGCAGAACAATATAGCCATGTTTTCTCAATATTCTCCATGAATAAATGTATAAATGGAAAAAAAAAACATAAGAGATAAACATAACAGACTGTTATTAACTCTAACCAAAGAGAGTCTAGCACTCCTAGCAAAATAGTAATTAAAGAATAGATGTTATGAACTGGTTTTCTCACACATTCCAAAGATATACAGATGGGTTAATTGGTTTCTGGGAAAATGAGCCCTGATCTGTGTGTGCCTGCCCTGTCCCGTACATAGTGTCTCTTGCCTTGAGCCTCTTGCTGGTCAGACTCTGGTTCCCCCGCGACCCTGGACTGGATAAAGCAGTTAGAACATGATGGATAGACCAGGTCCGCTTGCTGTGATCTCTGTTCATGACTAAAAAATGTCAGTTTTTTTCAGCCTATCGGTAGGATTCCTTTAAGCCTCTGTGTGTATTTTATTTTACTTCTCCATCGAAACAAAAGCATGAAATGTTTAGTTAAGGTTTATGGCATTTATTTTCTATCTGTACACCTTTAAATATTCTCTCTGTTCTAATAAGGAAAAAAAAATCAGTGGTGCCTGGGTTTTGATATGCATACAAATATTTTATGCTGACGCATCATGTCTCCAGATATCTTGTACAGCTTTTAGAAAAAAACAATATAAATTTTGGGTTATAGCATGTACACAGAATAATTAAAAGCTGGTTAAATGGCTTTACAATGAAGATTATTATCACTATGTCTATAGAACCTATTCACAATATCTCATTATAATAAAATAATTGTGACATGCTTGGTTTTGAAAGTGAAATTCAAGCCAGTTAGCCTGCTAATTAAAAAGTGTTTGAAGGAGCAAGAGAACCCTCCTTAGTCATTGATGAAATGAGGGCAAACCAAGTTCTTATTGGAAAACAACATCTTCACAAACTGACTGCAAATAATAATAATGCAAATAATTGCAATAATAGTAATAACTGCAAATAATAATTAAGGGAGCTGATAAAACAAGGTTTCCACATATTTCATGATGTCTTGCCTCAGAACAATAATAAAAAACACATCAAATCCAAAATCAACACAGGAAAAATGTCAAACTTGTAAGGTAAAAGACATCTTCTTGTATTTAGAATAAAAGGGAATAACTTCTAATTTCTGAAAGTAACAGGTACATTGAGTCACACAAAACAGTAATATTTACCATTTGTCAAAGTTGCTGTGGGCTTCCACCTCACTTGAGTACTTGACAGCAGCACACCAGAACAAGAACAATAGTGACAAGAAAACTCCATATTCTCCCAGCAGCTACGAGACTGAAGGGTAGAGTCAAACAAAGGTTTCCTGAATTATTGTCTTATCTGATCTGATTATATAAGGAACTGATACAAGTATTTAAAATCCTGAAAAGTGCTCACAAAGTCAACACAGAGGACTATATTAGGACCAACAGTGAAACAAGGACCGCATAATGAAAGTAAACTAAGAGATTGGAGAGGGTGCATTTGGGATGGAAATCAGGAATCACTTCTTCACACAAAGGGTCATAAGCCACTATAAACCACTAGAAATCACATGATCAAGGTGGGATACTCTCTTCTCATTTGTAACCTTCTTTAATTCTAAATTAAATTTACTTTACTGTCTTAATAGTCACTGGTTTTCTCAACCTTTTTCAGTTATGAGCCAAATACCATAAAGATCAAATAACAAGACTCCAAAAAATGTGACATATTGTGGTAACTAAAAATAAATACGTCTCTCCTCTTTATTACCAACCATCTCAAGTAAACAAAGAGCCATGTAAGATCTACCAGTTTTTATTGTGGTGATAGTGCACACAGCTGTTGCCACCTTGTAGCAACCTGTGGCAGTTTCCAGGTAATCTCATTCACGAATGCAAGCTAACTCCTTGAAACTTACTGCAATGGATTTCTTGATTTTAAAACCAACCAGGATGTGAACAACAGAAAGGAAGAAAAACCCAGACACATTATTTCAAGAAATTGTAGGACCACATGATTACATTCAATGCAGCAATATTTCATAACATCATTAATTGTAAGTACATTGGAGGGCTCATGGCCCTTCTTCAAGTCCTTAGAAAGAGAAACCCAGTGACCTACATTCTCACTGACCACCTACCTCCTGCATGCAGCACGGCTGTCATTATGGAAGGCACCCATGAGGTCTCGCTGTTGGTGGCCTCAAACTCAGTCTGCAGGTCAGTGTAAAAGATCCCAATGCAGGAAGGGAAAGCGAGGGTCAATGCCAGAACCAGAATTGTGGCAACGAGCACCACCCAGCCCCAACCCCCATCTGGAGCAGCTGGCTGTCTCTCCACAACAGGGTCACTCTGTTCTCTTGCTGTGAAGATCTGACACTCTGACTCAGAACTGCACTCATTAGCTTTAGAAGTCCTGTCCGGCTGCAGGGCATGCGGGGTGGGTGTCCGACTGCGGATAGCTCCATTCTGACCCTCATCAGGTGAGCCAGCCCCTGCAGGGGCTAAGTGCTCTTCGGTCATTTCCGGGTCCTGTCTGTCCAGTGCTCCACTTTCCGTCAGTCCCCTGGTTTGTCTAAAGAAAAGGAGACATTACTGTTACAACAAACCTGCTTCTGAATCCACATGACAGACGCCTTAAATAAACAATGCTATCTACCGTTTCCTGAAAGCCATGTTCTATATGCATTTTCTGCACCAAGCAGCACAATCAAGATTATAATGGATAAAATGTTCTCATAAATACAGCTAAACACTTTATATTCCAGTGTATATTAATTTGTTCGTTGATGTTTTGATGTTTTAGATTGAGTATTTTTCTTCAACCCCATAACCACCACTTTACACTTAAGGGGGCTCAAATTTATCTTTGACTGTTTCTCCTGTGCCACAACAGACAGATTATGGGTTTAACCTTTTGTGAAAGAGCATACTTGATACTCTTAAGCAACATTAAATAGGTGCCAAAACCCTAATCAGTAAAATGCTTCAGTCACCTCAAATGGAAGCATCTGTAGATTGTCTGTCAGCAGTACCTTTACACATGGCTTGACAGAACCTATAAAAGAAAGAAAACAACCCACAAATCAAACAGCTGGTTTCCTGAACATTTAAGTGCATGTTTACAAAACAATCATCTTGTTTACCAAACACAGTAAACAGAACCAGAGTCTTCTTTCACACAGAAACTGGTCTACAGCTTTTCCTTCTATAAATTTAGTTCTTAATGTAATAAACACCACATGAGAAGAAACAAAGGACGTTTTATAGAATTAATCCTACAGGATCGGTCAAACAGGTAGAAACATTTAGCAATTTAATGAGTCATTTGTTCTAAATTTAGTAATGCAAAGTATTATTACAGTACATTTATTTTATCGCCGACTAAATACCATGAATCTATTCACACCAACCCAATGCCGATTTCTAAACTTTTATATAGCAGTTTAGAAATCAGTTACAAATTAAACATGCTAACATTGTAATGAAGGTAGTCTTTTCAGTAACTATGAGCATCTGTTTTCTATTCAATCATAACTTATTTGAAATTGATGTATACAGTAGCTTTTAAAGACGTTGCTGATAAAGCACTGTTTGGGTTAAACTGTTATCTCACCGAATCCCCTCTGCCTTTTCAGCCTTCTTTATGACAATCTTTTTTCGCTCTTGTGCCACTAATACGGGGTTGGCATTGCGTCATCCTCCGGTGACTCAGCACCAATGAAGGACAGGCAGATCAGAGGAAGCGGGTCTCCGGCCATTCTGAAACCCTGCAGCTGTTGTCAGTTTTCACCTAAAGCGCTGCCTGCCTTCATCGCGGTATGAAGGATGGAAGTCTCTCTGAAACATGCTCCCAAGTAACCATGCCATCTTTAAAGAACCCTGCTTAGTGAACAATTTGCATTCTTCTGAGTATAGCCGCACACGCCTTTGTAAATCAAATCCCCTTATAACCGTTTTGCTAATTTCACCCGAGTTCCAATTTGTGCAACAGTGCAAGCTGCGTTTAATTTTGATAGATAATATGCATTGCTCTTACAAGTGTCAACACTCTTTCATCCGATTTATCACTCTTGGTTGGCAAAAAATAAAAAAAAATGTAACCCAAATTAATAGCATCTTAGAATGTACTAGAAATTCAACATAACTGGCTAATTAATGCTGTATGTTTTCTTTTATCCATCAATTTTCTGGTCCAGTTAGAGATCGTGCTAGTTTGTAAAACGTCACATCAACTTTTTACCTTCTGGTACGTACTGTATACTTGATAAAGACAGATCATATTCCAGCATGCGAACAGTCTCTTGTACTAGAAAAACACCTTTCAAAAGATGGAGGAAAACTAATTTTCGATTGACACTACAGGTTGATTTCGGCAGAACAAACGTAAAAGTTGATTTTACCCACGCACATTTTGAACCACGCGTACTCAATTCAAAGAATTAAAAATACCGTAGTCTTAATTTTCTCAACGTGTACATATTTTTTATTATAATTAAAAGAAGTGATATACAGTATAGTATTACGAAAATAGCAGGTGCCTTCACAATTAGTTCCGTTTTGTTAAAACAATCATACTGTATTTTGATTACAAGAAAAAGCAATACATTTAACCACATTTCTTTATGCTGTCTTTTCTGACTGCGAAAAAATAACCACTACTATACCATATTGAAATATGTCCCTCTTGAAAAGGGAACACATTGTACCAAAATCTAAAATTCAAAAAATAAACTTACCACAACTATCTGCAAATGTAAGTATAATGTAGTTTCTTTTAATTGTATGAGATAATGACGAATTATGTTTCCCTTTTCTCACCAATCTTTCTCTTTTGTCTCCGGTTTCCGTGGAAACGATTTTACTGCACTGTACCTGTGGGCTGTCGCCAGTGGACGTGTAGCGAATTGTTTTAAACAATTTAGTTATAAACAAACCCCCCCCAACAATAATTAATTATACGGAAAAAATAACAGTAAAATACTGTGGACGTCAGTCTTACTCATTTTAAGCACCAGTACCTCTTGGTGTGTTATGCAACGCCTAGTACCATAGCTGACTGCGCGCACTCCGCTAATTCAAGGATAGACAGCTGTATTTGACAAACATCACATCGGTCAATTTTCACTTCAACAGAAAAAATCCACTCAGCATTCATTTTGAGAAAGTGGAATGGGACGCCTTTGTCTGACTTCTAGCAATGCTGTGAAAACTGACTATATGCCATCTACTGTATACTGTAGATCCACAGACTCCTCTGGCCCTTCGAAGTGTCTGCAGTGGTCCGAGTATCCTTATTGGAAGCTGAAGTTTTACTTATTCTTTACTTCCTTACTCTTTGGATGTGCTGTCTCATTTGGGAATCACTTTTGAGCTTGGACATCCATACAAGACGTTCTGTAGCTTGGCACAAGTGGGCACCAATCCCTGCCTCATCTGATATCGCACCTGCATATAATCTGTGTGGAATGTTACATTTCGAAGGTTGTGCCTCCTCACTGTGGGCATCATTTTACAGCTTCAGGTTAAAAAAAAAAAGGAGACTGCCACAAAAGACAAATGCAGTCTACAATGCAAAACTCCTCCCCTGTCCATTCACTTGCCTGTGCATTAAAATTCAATAGGTTTAGATCACATGAATAGACTGGGCAGGTAACTCGGCAGTTTTATGGTGCAACACCTGAAGTCTCCTTCACATCACAAGCCAGTAGCCATAACACCCTGATTCAAACTGCTGTGGGTCAAGTTAGAGAAACGTGTCTCAGTCAGCAAAATAATACATAACACACAGCACAGAATTCCAGAAAGCACTGCCAACTGCCAGGTGCAGGCAGTCCCCGCTACAGTGTGTAACAGGGTTGTTTCAGCAACCTTCTCTTCCCTTTCAGAAACGCACTGAGTGAAAAAGCCTCAAGGTCTGAGCTGCAGGAAATGGTTTGGGGAAGGAGTCCAGCCAAACTAGGAAGCGTACAGTATATTAAGAACAAGTGTAATACAAACCTAAGCAAATATGTGCTGGTAAAAGCTATGGGACGCATAGGATGTAAGTAGAATATGGTAAGGGCACCAAAGCTTTATTCTGTTTTCAGTTTGTAACTAAACCTGGAAACACAGAGTACAAGGCTGGAATGATAGGGCCTAAGGGCACTGCAGGGGACACATACTGTACACAAGAACCATTCATAACGATCACTTCACCTTGCCAGGGGTCCTTGTAACGTGGGAGGGTTTTGGAGGAAAAATACAGAAAAACACAAGAATGTACAAACCCCAAGCAGAACGCATCCCCGTTCAGAATCAACCTCAGGACTCAAAAACTGTCAGGCAACAATACTTAGTGTCACACCACTGTGCCCCATGTTTTCAGTTCATTTGTGTCTAAAATGTTTAATAAATTAAAAGATAATTGTGAGCTGACTGGATATTCTGGATTTGCAGCCTAATAGACAAGAAGATTAACAACAATGCAGTTTCTCACAAGGTCTAGGAGTCACCAGGGTTGTCATCTGGCAGAATAATGCTTTATTAAACTGCTGTTTTAATGTGTTTCTGCTGAAATGGTTTAGAGCTGTTTATGGAACAAACAAAGCATAGCAATGTTTACTGGGCAGTACTGACAAAAGGAGGACCGTCCCACCCTGACTCTGAAGTCCTCAATGTGTTTAGCTATGCCAGTACAGCCCTTAGTTACTTTATTAGATTTATGATTTGCCAGGGGTTGATTTTGTGGGTCAGGTATCTGTCTTTGTGCAATCTGCTTATTCTCCCCGTGTTCATGTGGTTTTTCCTCAATTTTCTCAATATCCCAAAGGCACGTGGCTGGGTTTGACTGGCTACTCTTACTTGACCATTTCTATACCTCTCCACATGTGAATGACTACATACAGTACCTGTCCAGGGGCAGAGCTGTTCTGTGCTTTTACTTTTGCTCTGAGCTTCTTTCTAGGGAATAGGAATATCTAACAATGCTAGCTCCAACTGTTCAAGATTAATGGCCGTCATTTCTATTTGTTTCAGAAAAAGGACAGCTTATGAAAGTTTTGAGAAAATGGCGTGGAAATATCTCCAGAAAGAATAGCATGGCGTTCTGCTATAGCTCTCTCCTTATAAAGGCTTACTGTGATATATTAATGGTAAATCCAAAGTTACATTCAGTAAACCAGTGGTAAAAATAGTCAAAGCAAAGCACATTGCGGTAGGATTTGACATGATATTAAATGGATTAACCTTGTTGACGGGTACAATAAAAAAAAGCAAAAACAGGCTGATAATTAAGAATCCTCCGTTTATTAGCTAGTTACGTCTTACAAAGTATCGCTGTGCACCCTTTTGACATTATAAGTGCCAGTGTACTTGAAGCGGATGTACGTGGCGCTCCTGAATTAAACCCCACTGCTTTAGCTGAAGCTCGTGCAGTGTGGTGGGATCTCTGGCACAACTTTGAAAATGCAGATCAGCAACAAACAAGAAATTGTTAATTTTGAGATTTATATAATGATTGATACATAATTATATAATATAATGCTACTATTTGGGAATACAAACGGCCAATACTACTCATGTAATTATTACGTGAATACGTATATTTAGAAAATAAATCATCCCTACAAATAGCCTTTTATTTAAGCTGATTAACAGGCTAACATTGCAACTATTCTTACTTTGCACTGCTTAGTTCTAGTCTCTGCTGAGTCCCATTTACAAAACACTGTGATGTATTTTGTATACTGTTTCACTATGACAGTATGTTTAAACAATATTTTAAAATCCGTTCTCTCAGAGCCCTTTTTTAATTTGAAAACTTAAAAAACTTAAAAGGTTTGAATGCAAGTATGGATGATGCATTCTTGCGAGCGAGTTCCAGTTTCAGTAACCAAATAAACGAAGTGAAATCACACTTGATTTTAAAATACATAAAAAGGGGTTTTAAGAGTCAGTCGACCTGTGCATAGTAAATGACAGCAGTCTCGCACTCAATAATAACTAATAACTAAAAAGACTAATAAGCCACCTCATTCTGCAATTACACTAAAAAAGTATACAGGAGAAAGTGCTTACCTTCATCTATCTGGGTAGGTTTGCAAACATCCATTAACACAACTCCGGCAAACAGAAACGCAGAAGCACTTAAGCAGTCTTACACAGTTCCTTAGGGGAGGAGACAGGATGTGAGCAAACAGACGTACTGTAGATTAACTAGGCTTGGTTTTGGAAACTTTTTTAAAAAATAGCAGTTAAATAGCACAAGTTGATAAAGTACCTTCACAAAAAGAGAAAGTGTTGGGTATATTTTAGTAACAACAAATTACGGCGCCCTCCACATTTATGTATACCCTCAGTGAAATAGGATCACAAACAAGATAGAACGATTTATAAATTGGATAACGTTTAATCTTAATCGAATTGCACAAGGCTGAAGCATATTTGTCATAACTAATTTAACAAACACAATGTTCACGTTTAGTTACACCTCCAAGTCTTCCTTGACATAAAACCTTACAAAATCAAATCAATTGATAACATTCCGCTATTTCGGATTATTACATTTTTAGAATTCACTGGACAGTGAATAATTTAGGAAGCCACTCCACATATTCAATTGTTTCGTAACCGCGAAAGCTCCACATCAAAACATGAATATGCTTTGAGTAGCAGAACAAAACCAGCCTTAGTAGGTTTGACGGAATAAAGTTGCAAGTCGGTCAAGAACAAAAGATGGAAATACGAATTTGCTGACCTGCAGATTCTAAGCATATAATAAAAATAATAAAAGTTGAAAAAATGCCAATAGATTATAACTATTGCACACAGATGGATTAAATGAATGTGAACCAGCTATAGTTCCACAGACCTTGATCCTGTTATAAATCCAAAACTGTTGTCAGACACTGGATCTCAGACCTGCTCTCACAAAGGTCTATTGTTTCAATGAACAATTTAAATTTAAACGAATTAAATAAAGTACCTTGCAGTACTAAGAGTCCTGTGGCACACTGCCATTTACAACTGTTTGTAGACCATTATTTTAATCAAACTAAGTCAAACTACAGACTGATTGTACCTCTGTTCTCTACTGTACAATTCACATAGAGCAACAGGTTCTGGACTTAGGACATCAGTTCAAACTGCAGCATTACAAACTTGCAGGCAGAATCCATCAGATATTATTTTTTTATCACTTTATTAGCCCTATACAATTTCTTGTATTAGGAATTTGTCTTTTCGGATACTCTCTCTCCATGAGACATAGACAGGGAGAGAGAAGCTTGGGGTCAGAGCTCAGGGTCAGCCATTGTACAGTGCCCCTGGAGCAGTTGGGGTTAAGGGCCTTGCTCAGGGGCCCAAAGGAGCAAGATTCCTCTGCTGGCTGTGGGATTTGAACCGGCAACATTCCAGCCACAGGCGCAGATCCTTAGCCACAGAGCCACCGCTCCGCCCCCCATCAAATATTATAAATTATTAATGTAGCCATAGCACTCTAAGGGCCAGAATTGGGCCATACCAAGTATGGCGACTTGAGATTCTGACCGAGGTCCTGAATACATGGTAATCAATGATGCCATGGCAGTGTTCTTAAATTTAGAGGTATTAGCTCCAGTGTTTTGGCTGAACTTTGCCTTGGACTTCAACCAAATGGCCTCTCTAAAGTTAAACTAATAAATAATCCTCAGAAGATAAAAAGACCTGTCAAGTGGATAGTTTACTTGTTAAGGTGACCTGTAAGCAAAGGTTAAAATAAAATAAAATATTGACAAAAAATAAGCACTTTGCACACAAAATTAGGTGTAAGTCATGGTTCCTTTTTTGGGGTGCCATCTGACACACCGTGAGCACGTAGTGTCTGGATTTATCCTGAGAGCAATGTGGTTCTTCCCGACAATGCTGCAAGGAATCACACATTCAGGAAGTTTTAGGGTTCTCTGCTCTGTGTCAGAACCACGATACCATGGCTGACTCAAGCCCTACCCCAGCGGTACGCAGTCGAGTGTGTAAACAGATTTCAACGTATCAAGTTATACTAAAACTGTATATTATACATCAATACAATGCACTGGTGCAACCACACATACAGTAGAATAGGTTGCATATTTCCAATTCTCATAATGTAATACAGATATGGAGGCTTTATACAGCAAGGTGCAGAGGGTGTGCTGAAAGAGCTCAATATACATACTGTAGTTTCTAGAAAGAAGAATCAGAAGTAAAACACAACTAGAAACCTAACCTAGGACAGGGGTGTGGAGGTGGTCTTGGAGGGTTGGGGTCTCTGCAGGTTTTCTTGGTCTCGCTAAGACAGCAGCATCTGATGAGCTGGGAGAAGCTGTTAAACAGTTCAGTTAAGAGAGTAACCAGATGGTCAGACTCATTGAAAGTTGAGTTGGAATGAAAAGCTGCAGATATACCATCTCTCCAGGATTAAGACTAGACACCTGGACCCTGAACTAAGAGAATAAACTAACATTCAACTTGCATTCAACCAGAGACTGACAAATTCTAAGCTGAATGAAGAAATATTTTTTTAAAGGCATGGATCCTGAAAAAAACCTTAGCATAAATGATTCTTTTATCACTGACAGATCTGTGGCTTATTTCTTGCTGTCTACTTTTCTGAGTAGAAATACTTCAAAATGAATCAGCAAATGTAATCTTCTGGATCTTCTGATGACCAAATGACCCCTACGATAACTTTTCTTCAGAATAATATATTGGTACAACAGTACTTACCATTCATTACAAAATCATCCAAGGACGTGTTCTAATTTTGATAGTCAAACCTGCCAATCAATTCTGTACTCACAGGACCGGACACAAAAGTTCACCCTGTACTGACTGAGCTCTTTATACTTCAGAGCCTGAGTTTTATCACATCTCAAACTCCAGTATTTTTAAGACTCAGCCTTTCTTAGTGGCCAGTTGAAACACACTACTTGCCTTATTCTAAGCTATTGATTATGACAGTTTATCTCAGATATACAAAATGGTGACCTCTATGGTACAGTAGGTTTGCTATTTTCTGGGAAACCTCCAGGTCTAAAGCTCAATGTTAATTAATTTCACAGTCAATCATACTGACACTCTAGATCTGGAAATACAGGAAAATAGGAGTATGAATACATCTTTCTTCCAGTAGACACCGCAGTGCTTCCAATAATACTTTATACTACAAAAAACTGCATTTCCCCAGGTGCCGAATGAAAAAAAAACTGTTAAAAGTCTTACAAATACTTGTATTGATTAGGGCTCTTTAGTAGAAATTAGATTATTTAAGGGACATTAAAAACTGATGTGAGCTCATCATATATCCCCTAATAGGGTGTGTTATGTACATTTTATCAATTGCTTTATTGAAACTGGAGGCAGGATGTTTTTCCTAAACTTTTCTAACTTCTATTACCACTAACATCTCATTTGTTCTGGAAAATAATTTATATACCATACCCGGACATTTTTCTTTTGTTAACAGAAAACAGAACAAATGGTTAGCACAGCATCACATTTTTAATAAAAAATCTTGACTTTTTTTTAAATCAGTACATGTAACATATTACAAAAAAGAAAACATTGTGTCAGTAGACAAATTGAAAATAAAAATTAAAAACATAAAATCAGTTCCAGAATTTACAGAGAAATCTCCAGACAAAATCTACTCCTTTGACATAACACTGGGAATAAATAAATAACACACTCAAACATTTTTAAACCATGTTAGAGTTTTAGCATTTTTTTTATAGAAAAAGAACTAAAAGCATGCAGGTGTTCTCCTTGCAAAGCTAGACAGGGGTGCACTGAGACCAACTTATCCGAGTTCAAGGATCGTCTGAATTTCAGAGCTGTGCCACAAGGCAACACAGAGGGCAAAAGTAGTGACTGTGCCCAAGTGCAAGTGTTAAGATCTCAGATTTATAAAATCTAACAGTTAAGGGAGCACACAGAACTGAGAAATAATGTATTCGGAGGCTGAGATGCTTTAAATTGACTGAATAGGCATTTTCAGGACTTCTAGCACAGTGGAAAAAATAAACCAGTCAAATGTAACTATTTAGAAATATTCTGCTGAGGAATTATTTAGTTCAATGTATGGGGTGTAATAAATGCAATGTTTTGCAGTGTGCTGCTAGTCTGTATTAGGGTTTTCCTGTCATGAAGTCATAGATGAGCCCCATCAGGAGAGTGAAGTAATCAAGAATGAGAGTGCTTTTTGATTTAAGCACCGCAAAAAGACACACAGTTTTACATCACTGTTAAAGAGGAATCTAGAAAACTGCCAGTTTGAAAGGAGTTTCTAATAGTACTTTATAATTAAACCAAATATGTATTTTTTTCCTTTCTGCCTTACACAAGACTGATATTTTATTGCAGAACCCATGAAGAGGACAATGCTAGTCTGTAATAAGATATGAAATTGAGGGGATACTTTTTCCTTCAAATATGTTGGAAATATGTTGGCACTTTTTTTCTGTAAGAAATACACTAGAAAATGAACTTAAACAGGAGCACAGCAGCACAGCAGCACTGCACTGTCAGGACCAGACAGGTTCTGAGCAAAATGGCAAATTTTCAATAAACAGGGAATACAAAAAGATAGGACTGAGTTAAAAGAAACCAAAAATTAACTCAGTAACATCTTTTTACAAATGAATTAAATGGCACTCAAGGTCTAACCAGTGCAATTAGTAACTGTGCTTTTCTTTCCATTTTGAAATACATGCATGACTTTATTATATACCCCCAAACGACTTTTCCATCTATCTTAAATTATTTTTGTACAATGTGAAATAGAACCAATAAGCCTCCAAGTTTCCCCTAATTTTTCTTTTGTTCTTTAAAACACTTGTAGATACAGTCTTCTCTGGAAACTTCTGAAGACATGAAAGACCAACTTAAAGTGCTTGACACTCAATATTCAAAACATGAAGAATGAAAGAAAATATATAAAAAATACATTTTATTATACTGGTGTGAGTCATTTTTTCCCACCAGTGATACTGTGTTTTGTCTGAGTTGCTTGCAAATGATTCTACAACTCATTAATTGTAATTTCATTGTGCTAGGTTGTAGCATCTAAATAAACTTGAAGAAAAAAAACAAAAAAGGCTAAATCAACACACTCCACAAATTTAAGAAAAAGAGAACAATTTAAAAAAAACAAAAGAAAAAGGATCTCATAGTGCCGCGGTCTGAACAAACTGTATACAGGACAAAGTCATGAGCAAGAACAGTTAAAAGCACAGAAACCATGAAAAAGCACATCCCCATAACAGAGAAACATCACAATTCAAACCCAGATGAAAGACGCCCACCCTTAGCACCCTTACCAGGGTTCAAGGTAAACCAACACTGCATTCCTGTACAGCCACTTCCAATGCTTACCACATGTAAGGATGTGCAAGACAATTTCTATTACTACAGACTTGGAAAGTGCATGTTAGTTTTAGCACTTCAGAACTGAATTAGAAGGGGTAGAATGCTTTCATCGTCCCATTTCCAAAAAATAAAAATGCTACAGCCAAACAATCGCTGAAGTTATGAGCTGAAGCAAAGTCATATTTTCTGAGAAGCGGCATGCCTTAGTCACAGCCATGTTTCTTATACCACTTAAGATTTTGGGAAACATTTTTACCGTCAGATTATCAAAAGCTTGCGAGTGGTGTCTTAGGCCTGCATCAACCACTTGTGAAACTTTTAGAATTTGCACACAACTGAAAACAGCATTAAAACAGGAAATTAGACATACCTCAAAAGAGTCTTCCAATTTTTTTTTATTTTATGTTTTGAAAATGGGATATATCAGTAATACACTCTACCGCACCTCTCACCTTTCACTCTCACCTTAATTTTGCTATAGATTCTCCTGAATGCAAAACCTTTTTGTTCCTGATGTGGGGCATCCTGTATATACAGTATGCATACTATTTAAATACTGCTGCAATCGCTTGTAGCTTACGTGATGCTAACCAATATTCAATGTTGAAGTTTAAATATCTCCATTAAAGACCATTTCTTGCTGCATGCACATTAGTAAAACAGAGAATGAGCACCCTCACATCCAAATGGGATCCAAGACCACAACAATGATCCCAGCTCACACTTTGCTGAGTTTAGACCATCAGAAAAATGTGTTTCGAGCATCCATGACAAAAACACAGAGGGGAAACAAAGGCAACAGGGTACTTGCAAAAGGCAAAGGGCTTCTAGCAAGAACAAAATCAGGCCACAGATCAATCCACAGAGGCCAAGAGGAACTGATAACGTAACAGGATAAATGTGAGGAGGGAACATCAAAAAGTAATATTGTAATCATGCAACAAAGAAACAAAAAAGGCTTTTTTCTTGACTTTCAAGGCAGGTACATAGCAGATAGGCACAGGACAAGACCCAGAATTGAAGGCAGGTCAAACAGAAGCCCCTCAGCGCGGGGATCATCACAGGGAGCACAAGGAGGTAAGGCAGACAGATCACAGGCACACCGAGCACATAGCACGAGTCAGCCAAGACTGGAGACTAAGGCCCTGTATTGCACACAAGACCAGCAACATAAAGAGCAACAAAATCCTTGCCCACTGAAAGCTGGCCTAGCTGGAGCTAAGTAGAGGATCAATAGGCAGATTAAATATTTATTCTTTCCAAATCAGCCAGCTGCCCACTTTTGATCAAACAAGCCGCAGGGGCTGAAAGGGACATTCTCTTGTTTTCTCTTCAAATGAAGCTGCCAGATAAAACTGCCATTTTAACCTGAATTTGGGGAGAGAGAGTGCAAGGCTGAATGAAAAAGGCGAATGCGTTTTGAGAGCAATGCAGTTGTATTGACATGTTACACACTGCTGGAACAACTTGTTTAGCTAGTTAAGGCTGCTCCTAAAATTGGGGTAATGTCACATTTGAGTTAGGGATCTGAACACAGGATTTTCCAGACTGTTCAGTGTAGTTCTATCGTTTAGTACAGCTGCCCCAGTTTCTCCAAATTAACCTCAATGAATAAACAAATACTTCCTGTTTTTGGTGGGGGGTTTAAAGTGTGATGAATGAGCCTTCTTTGTAAGGGGTCTCAGGGTCTCGGTTAAATTCACACTGAATAAACAGGTAAGCTTTCGATCTTATGAGGATTAAGAAGGGCCTTAATCAACCAGAAATGTAACTACACAGTGCTGTACAGTAAAATAACACCCAACTAGAAATTAAATGAAACAGGAGTAAGATGAATACTTAAGGTTGATTAATATGACATTAAAGACCAAGAATCAACAAAACTATAAAATGCACCAAAAAACAAGCCTTGGCATTCACTCCTTGATGGTTCTCAGCTAAATTCAAATGAGTGAATTCTCAATAAGTAGTGGATTAACTGAAATTATAAAGACCCAGTTTACGAGTCATTTTTAACATGAGTGCAAAAAAAAAGAAAGATGGGCAGTTGCCACGGTCTCTTAGCTTTGTGCAGCAGTACTTTCGATCTCACTTCAACAGTATTAAAATATTTGGGAAGACAAACCAAGTCATTATAAAAAAGCGCCAACACCATTTGCCATTGTTACTTCAGCCGAGATGAATTTCAACATCAAACTCTTTCATACATAACAGCAAGGAAAATGGGCTCTCTGTGCCACTCTAACAAGCCACTCCTGTCCCCCACCCCACAGCTGGAAGCTGGCTGTATTCAGGACAAATCTCAGCAACGGAATGCAGTGTTGCTGACCGTTTGACATACAGGTAGTCAGAAAAAGTGATCAAGTAACATGTGCAATACAAGCGACATGACTATCGAAGGCGTTGTCATTCTGCAATGAGCTAAGGCCTCTGAATAGTCAGTTTGAGCTGTTCTGTTCTCCTTTTACAGCTGCCCAATCAGATTTCAGCCAGTTTCACATTGTTCTCTGTTACTTTATTCATCCAGTAATGGCCGATGAAATGCTCCTTTGATTAGTTTGCATTTTCTTACCTAATGGAATATGTTAGAAGCAACCAACTGGAAAGAAACTGAGTAATAGCTACAGGTTTCTCAAATAATTTTAATTGTAGTCAATTATGGACACAACTATGACCTCTTCCTCTCCCACATCAGCTTTAGCTCTTTGGTCAGAGTGCTGATAACTCCATACCAATTCACAAAGCTGCACTTTAAGTGTTAATCACCCCAGGCACTGCCATTCTAAATAGCAACTCAACAATCAAATAATCATTTACTTCAATTGTATTCAACTTTTTAAATGTCTAAAAGTGGCTAAGAATTTCTTTATGAAACACTACTATTGGGGTAAAAGCCCAACAGTAAACGCATCAGACATGTACAACATTTTTTGCCATTTAAATACAAAAAAGGTGACCTACATCAGCCCTCACAACGTCATATAATGCAGATTACTTATCACATTTAAAAACACTTGGAAATCATCAGAGCAGCCTCTTAAAATAATCATAGGACTGTATGCAGAGCTACTGAGAGACACTACAGCACAGTTTTGCTCTGTTAGACTCTAGTACAGACAGCGGTAATGGAAGAACACTGTCACAGCCCTTTTGAAATATTAAGTACTCCATGTCCAGAATAGAAAACTAAACGGCGAGTAAAATGCTCTCACAGAAATCTGGGGCATAAAGGCAAAGAATGAACTAACCTTTCCTGTGCAGGGCTGTCTATCATATCTAGTTTTGTTAGAAAGAAAAATTCAATCTAATGAAAATCATCCTTTTCTTTCTACATTCCTGGTTTACAAACAAGTTAAGTAAATACTGGATCGGTAAGACCTGATTCAACAGGATAGAAAATTGTGTAACAGCATGTGGAACACTATAAACAGTTCCTTGATTAAAACACCAGACGTTAGGTTGGTGAAAAGGTGGATTTTTTCCTGTAAACGTTCAGCTTGCTCCATACCCTGAATGCTCACTGATGGGAGGATATAAAAGTAGAATGTTTCTGAAATGAAAGGTTCTGGGCTCCAAACCCAGGATCTAAGATGCCATATTACAGAAGTGATCCCAGGCCTCTGCTCCATATAGATATATTGGAATTATCAATATGTAGAGGGATATAGAGGTACAACTCAAAAATATGAATATACCAAATACACTGTCCACTGCAATTCAAATATACAAGTCTGACAAACACTTCACATATAACTGTCTAACGAAGCTAAGAGAACTGCTCAGGATGCTCTTCCTAGGGAGCAATTGCAAACACTTCCAACACTACTCATCAGGTCACAGCTCTTCTTATGTCAATAGTAAATGTCCATGCAAAATAAAGAAGAATTTACAGATGTTACCAACAACTATCCGTAGACAAAAAGTAACAGTTTTAAAAAGTTGCCTTTATGCCCCTTTGAAACTAAACACCATTGTACAACAGCTACCTGTGGGCCAAAGGGTGGTGATGTGAATACAAGCTCCGAGCACAGGCTGATCCACATTGGGACCCATTAGCTAAGACACCCCACACTGCTGATGCTCTGCCTCAGCTTCACAAGAGCCCCTTCCACCACCCTCTCACTCTTCCTACACAGACCAAAATGTAAAAATCAGCAACGTACACAGACACAACGGCAGCCACAATCCTGGAGACTACTGGTAGTCTGGTAGTACTGCTGAAGCCCTTTTAGGACAGGAAATGAAAGGAAAACTCTACACAATCCATTCGTTTTCCGAGATGCAACTCTTTATCATCACATGAGATTCTCCAAGTTGTCTTTTTCCCCATCTCCTTTGAATTGGGGCTAATTTTGAAAATGGCAACCAGTTTCTCCATCATAAGCCAAGCATGCCCAGAATGTGGCAATTTATGTCACTGTGGGTCAGCTAATGAGGAATACAATCATGATCAAATATTAACTTTTCAAATGGATTTTCTCTTATGTAAGCCAAAGAATAGTTTTCCTTTCATTCTTTCCCTGTTCAGGGTTCAGTTATTGTTCCATTATTGTACATGCCAGTTTGTTATGTAATACACACACATAAGACATTAAACAGATCAGTACCAGGGTCTACTTTCTTATAACCAATACTTTCCAGTCATATTCATATTTTATACTCATGCTATAATATTTATATGGATCACAGTAAAAAAGCTTGAAAACAGTGCAAACTGAGGCAGGTGTAGCTCTCATTACAATTTGTTCAATATCAAGTGAATGAAATCTACAGAACAATTTCATGATTGCTCCTTGAATGAAAAACACCTATGAAAAACACCTCAGAAACTGAATGTGATTGGTTTAGATCTTCAAGTCATCACACACGGATGACTTCTGCAGACTGATGGGTTTCTCTTTGGATGTTTAAAATTCATCAATATTTGCATTTGTACCAAGGAAATGAAGAACTTTTCCAGAATAAAATTAATAAAGGATAAAAAAAATTTCTCCACATTTTGTAACAGGTATATCTAATGTTATTATTGTTGACAAATGTAATGCTGCCAATAAACCTCCTTTTTATAATCAATCAAAATGTAATTAAGCTTTAACATTTTCATCCTTTTTTTAAAATACAAGCCAGTGGAGCACATTAAATGAAGGAGTGGCAAAAGTACATTATATGTTCTAATGAGACAACTGGACAGAATGCCCAGGAAAGGATGAATTGGAGTAAAACCTGTGACAGAACTGTAGAAAAACATTTAAAGCATGGGATACTAATTACTAATCAAATAATATAAGATGCAACACATTGTGTCGAACACCTTAAACAGCAATATTAGATCCAGTTAATGTAACAGACTTAACCATCCTATTTATTTTTAAACTGTCTCCCGAAAGTGGGATTCAGCTCTGAGCGTGCAGGTCCCAATGGCCCATGACATCAGCACCTGGGATGCTGGAACCAAGAGGACAGATCAGGAAACTGTAGCTACTTCACACGAATAAACCCTGAAGACAGAGGACCTCCCATTAGAAGTTTTGTTCCTCTCTTCTTTGCCCACATGGTCGACTATTCCTATAATTAACTGCTATACTGCTGTGTTTAATTTTTCAGAACCATACCAAACAGAATTAATATGAGAACAAGCAAGTGGTTTGAGGACTATGAACCAATGGCAATAAAGCTCAATTAAAAAAAAATATTTTACAGTCTCAAAAAAGAACATTAATCTTGTTTCTTATTAATAGCATATTCTTTGCACAAACGCATGAGTAAGAAATCGTTAATAATGTAAAATCAGTTTCAGATGTCTTGGCTTAAAATCAAGAAGATGATCACCAAAACAACTCTGAAACTATGCAATCTCTTGACAAAAGTATTCAGATACCCCCACAAATGCAGTAAGTCATCTTGTAGCTGCTCATGAGGACAGTGGAGGATGGGTGTGAGATGAGCACAGGCCAAGCCTGACCAGGAGTACCTTGTATATGGAGAAGGGGGTATCTCACACTTGTGTACCACTACAGCTGCCTGAAGAGTATGATTTTGGGGGGAACCAATCATTAGGGCCAGTGAAATGTTCATGGCATTTCTATCATCTTGACTGACACATCATCAAGGGAGGATTGCACTCAAGTTCCATATTTTTATGCTGGACAACTGCTTAAATTAAACATCATGTAAAACTTTTGCTTTCTTAGTATTATGTTCTACTTTTTCTCCAGGTTTTACTTGTGCATCTACTTAGAAATCAGCAATACACCAACAGCAATTATTCTATGCATCATGTCTTTTGCTTGTTCTAATCAAAGTCTTAAAACCATCCTCAATTTGCACAGCTTATGTAGGTTTCTGTACATTTTAGGAACTAGGAACACAAACCAAACCATGTGGGGACATGCTCACAAGCATTCACAGGAGCCACCCATCTAAAAAAAAGAGCACAGTATCTTCTGACCGTGGTCACAGAGTCATGCCAGCAGTTTAACCAGCATGATTAGGGAAGAAAAACGTGACTTGAGAGCAATAGAAATTTCGAGGATTTTTACAGGACAGAAAAACGCTATAACCAGCACAGACTAAACAGTTAAAATCTTGGACTTTCCTGTTATTTCGCTCCATTCTTTTTGCAAATCCTATAACACAATACAGCGCGTATTCAAGTGATTTTGTTGTGGATTCTATCTATACTGTTATTTGCAAACATACTGTACCACTCTCTCAAAAACAGCTTCTAAAGAGACTGCTATAAGCATATAAGCAGGTTTCCAGAGGACGTAAAAGACCACTGCACAGTGCTCTGAAACTCATTAGCAAGTCACGAGGCACTGAAGCCTTTGGCACATTGTCACAGTTACCCCCAACTGTGTGTACTCTCATTCAGCTTTGAGAAGGCTTTTCAGAAGCTGTTGCTTTACATTACACCATTCGTTTAGCATAAGATACATACAATATAAAATACATAAGATGAAGCTGATAAACTGGTTGAAAGTGCAGAACCACAATTCACCAAAACTCTGATGCATTTTATATTACTGCCCTGAGGCCCATAAGTGAAACATGGTTTTCATCTTAGATGGACAAACTCTTCAAAAGCGACTTCCATTGCTTCAACTCTAACATCTCCTCATCAGCATTTGGTCAGTTACCCGGTTTAGATTTCCAGTTCGGTAAGGAGCAGGACCAGCAACTTCACTTCAGTTCCATCCTATCTTGCCTGTGCCTGGCAGTGCTGGGACACACACTGCTTCTCCACAGCCGGCCTTTCCTGAAGCACCACAGGTACCGCAAGGGCTTAATGGGAGCAGATGTCATGACCAACAGTTCCCTGCCATCGGAAACACAAAGCATCCAAGACAAGGAGGACACAAAAACATTTCAGGCTTAAATGAATTTCAGCTGCAAGAAGCTGCCTGTCGTACCAGCTTTTGCTGAGCTTCCTGAAAAGGTGGAGTAACTTGCCCTTCCTTTCCTGGAGCAGACCAGATGATGTGCGGGAGATGACTGACTCGGGTAACCTGTAAGATGTGGTGATGAGAGGATTCGCAGTTTTGCAGCATCTGTGCTTGGTTGTGTTGGGAATGTGCTGCTGTGAGAATTCTGGGGGTTGGGGTAGATCTCTGCTCTGCAGTGCTTTAAGAGCACTTTCATCTGCCACAACCCCCTGACCAGCACCCCAAATTCTCTTAATAGTCCCACTCTTAATGCCATGAGCTTCCCTCATAAACAACATTTAACTGATCACTCTTTTAAAATCAAATCTATTTTTTTCCCCATGAACAACGACAGAGAAGGTTTCAAATCATTTTTTTGAGCTCCGATATTAGCTTTATTAACATTGATATTAAGGGTTTCTTTTTCAATTCCTCAATAAAGATATTTATCATCTTTAGGTTATGGCACCTATTGGTAAATTATTAAGGCTGTTCCTGATGGAAGATTCTTAAAAAAATACCTTGGATGCTCATATAACTGTCATTCAATTCAAAGATCTGGAAAAACATCCCCTGAACAAGTTTAAAGATGAAGCCTTCTTTGCCAATGAAGAAACACACCACTGCCCTAGACAAGACTGATGAACAAAATGCTAAGACGCTTATGCATTTAAATAACGTCTGCTGAGCAGTGCATGTGTCTCTGGTCATTCTCAACATCACTAAAAGAAATAGGACAACATTTACCAAGGGCTCACACAATTTTTCTGATAGAAAAGCAGCCATAAAATACAACCAGTAGGAAACTGCTTACAACATTAAAGTTCCAATTTGAAATAATAACTGTCTGATTTTAAAACAATATGTAGCCTTTATGGTTGTAAACAAGCACTTGATTTGTAATTTCCAAGTGCTAAAGAACCCTGGGTAACATGCAGTGGTCAATCATATCCAGATCATTAAAGCAGTCCAGGAGGTTGAATCTCCATGTGTTCTGCACTGAGTCAGGAAAACACAAAATCTGTTTATATTCTAAAAGGACTGAGCTTTGAAATGGTGGAATGAAACTACATATGCATTAATTAACATTGCTGTTAGTGTCAGCCAATAAAGGTGAGCTCTATATGTGGGTGGTAGTTTCACTTAAATTGAAGTGACTGTCCTTCTGTGTCTATAGGAAAGCTCATGACAGTGATCATCCCCAAGTTGAAGGGAGGGCAGCGGTGACTGGAACCCCACATCTGAGCAGAGACCCCCTTCTCCAGCACCCTCACCTCCACCCCTCCACGCAGGGAGTGTGTGGGATATCCTGCAGAGCTCAGTGAGACTTAGACAGGTTGAAAGGACATCTCTGACATCTTTGTCGGCGTCTTTTTTCTTAGTATGTCTTCAAAGGAACTCACATTCTGGATCCTCGTTCCTGAAGTATCTTAAAAAAAAGATGACACCCTTTAGTAAAGAAATAGAGAGGCAAGGACATAAGAAAAGGATGCACGGTCTTGGTGGACTGTGACTGCAGATTATCAATGGGTTTGACAAAGGCCTGTAATTTATTATTTTCTGGGGGTTTTCCTACCAACTTTGAAGCGAGGGAGGGCAAGCACATAAAAGCACTTGCTCAGCATGAAGACTGTCTCCTATTGCTGATGCTGTCAGTTCAAGCCCAGGCTAGGTTATTAGGAAGGCTGTGACCGATACCCCAGGTAGCAGAACACCACTGGCCAAGTGCTGTCTGGACACCACAACCATGCAGTCAGTTCAGTGATAGGTGCAGTACTCCTCCTTACTCCTCAGTACTCAGAGGTAAAGGACAGTGGGGATCATGGGCTGCCAAGTGATGAGCAGCCACTCATCACTAGTTGCATTAGACCAGGGTCTGCACCTTCCTTGTTCAACCTGTGCCAGTGCAGGAATTTGGCTAAATCTTAAGAAAAATTGCTACTAACTGGTAATCACTGGGTCCCCTCCAACATGTAAAGTACTATGGGGTCCTTTGAGATGAAAAACACTATATTAAAGCTAACTATAGCACTATATACATGATCTTAGCAAAGACAGAATCATCAATCTGTCTAAAAGACTGTAACATTCAGGCACTGTGCCTTTTTAAGGGACACATTGAAGGTGGCAAAATAACTTACCTTGGCTTTCTCGCTGGGCTCAATGACAATGCCATTGGTGGAGTTATTGAGCTCTCGAGAGACTACACACAGGAACTCTGCCTGGTCCTCATTACCATAGTTATAGGAAGATCCAATACTAATGAGCTGGAGGGAAAGAGAATCAGTGGAAATGTACCCAGTGAGCTACTAAAAGCAGAAAAGGTGATAACTAAGACATGATGCGATTCAGTTACGCAGGAAAAAAATATTTCATACCACCAAAATTGAAAACGTTTCATGAGTAAGCTGTACAAAAGCCATGGCAAAAGAGCAAACCTAATATTCTGCAGGTTAGACAAGATTGCTGAAGCACCCTCATTTATTGATCAAAGAGTTTTATTGCTTCAATTCTGAGCCGTCACTGAGGTTTTTAATGTGCTGCTGCTGGTTGACTGCGTTTGAAGTTACTGCTGGAACCAGTTCCGTTGGTTCTTTTCAACAACTCACTCAAGATCTTCGCAACAGCTCTCCCAGCCTTTCACACTCTTTAGAAATGCAAGATGCCTGTTACAGTTGGGTACTTATAAGGGAATACAGCATTCTAGAATCACGGCACTTTAAGGGGCTCCCTGTACACCCTTCTTATGATACTCCAATGAAGCCTGGGGCTTACTGATATACATATGTAAATCTCATTTAACTATTTACAATTCTTAAACAAACTAGTAAATGGCTCCTGAATGTGTGGAGAATTTCCACCTAAACCAGTAAACCCTTTCTTAAGTTCATGATCTAGTTCAAGGAACAGAGAGCCACGTGCGTGCCTGGTTTTAATTAGAGCTCAACTTTTATTTGCTTGATTTAACTATTTGCTGCTGTAGAAGATTAAATGAATCTGCATTCTACAGGTCTTATATGTCTGCCGTAATAGTTCTAAATCCTACAGCAATAAGACTCAAAAGAGATTAAGTACATGCTGGAATTAGATTATTACATCATGGACACCTCACAATTTAGAAGGCTAAATACAAATACAGTAAGGTATGAAATCATTACATTACAGCACAGAGAATGTCAAGCCAATGAATATATAAAGCCTTAACTTCCATCAGGTTTGTTGCAAGTTCACAATTATCTTTCTACAATTCCACCTCACTGTTACCTGCTCAAACTTCCACCCGTCAGACATGGTGGAGACCATTTGAGTGAGTTCCTCTTCCTGGCACTGCAGCACCCGATACACATGCTTCACTGGACCCTGGAGAATGTACAGACACAAGGTATGTCACCTATCACTCATTATGTATCTCATTAAAACACAGCAGTCATATCACCCTACAACTCACAACTGGCAGACCACTGAAGCTAAGCAGGTATGAGCTTGGCTAGTACCTTGAATGGGAGACCTCCTGGGAAAAACTAAGGTGACTGCTGGAAGAGGTATGAGATGGGCCAGTATGGGTTGTCAACCCTGTGGTTTGTGTGGGTCCCAATTCCCCCCTGTATTGTGACGGGGACACTATACTATAAAAAGGTGCCCTCCTTCGGATGAGATGTAACACTGAGGTCCCGACTCTCTGTGGTCATTAAAAATCCCAGGTGTTACCCTGGCATCCTGGCCAAATTTCCCATTGGCCTTTACCAATCATACCATGGTGTTCCCATTTATTTTGTCTACCTGTGTATCCTGAGTTTTCAGTTTATGCTTTTAGACGGCTTGTGTGTCTGTGGTCCAGGCTGTATACAGGTATATGTATCTTTAAAATTGCTGCCTATTAATTTCAATGAAATCACACTGTGCCGAGAACAAACAAACCAGGTGACCACATTTTCTGAGTCAGATGAGTGTTTTAACTTAAACATATTTTCTTGCTAGTCAAGCTGGTGTCAGCTGGTGACTAGCTCTCCATTTCTAACAACAGAATCAACAAAACGTACTAATACTATATTCTCTTCTGCAAATTGCAAGGGACCAAACTATATAAGTTGCTTATATTTGAATTGCAGAGTGTCATAATCATTAAAGTTAAGACTACAGTTACTATTACTCAATCCCCTATCCCCCGTGAAGGAGTCTCTCTCCAGCCACATCCTCACCTGTGATGTGCGGTTCTCGTTGTCTCGTATTCTCTCCTTGACCAGTCGCACCAGTGAAGCAATGTTATAGAACTCAGCTTCCTCTAAGACCCCTGTGGAAGAGAGAGAGCTCATATCTCCAGAGTATCACTGGCAGTCTGAATGTACCCATGCAATCTGGATAACCACGCAGACAACCAGAAATGATGGCTGTAGCAGTAGCCAATTCATATCTCAGCAGTGTCAAGCCGCAGATTTTATGATCACACAAACCTGCTTTTTTTGGGGACATACTGTTAACAGGCGTCGTCCTTCGGATGAGATATAAAACCGAGGTCCTGACTCTCTGTGCTCATTAAGAATCCCAGGGCGTTTCTCAAAAAGAGTAGATGTGTAACCCCGCCGTCCTGGCCAAATTTCCCACTGGCCCTTTACCAATCACGGCCTCCTAATAATCCCCATCTTAAATTGGCTTCATTACTCTGCTCTCCTCCCCACTGACAGCTGATGTGTGGTGAGCGTTCTGGCATACTATGGCTACAGTCGCATCATCCAGGTGGATGCTGCACATTGGTGGTGGTGGAGGGGAGTTACCATTACCTATAAAGCGCTTTGAGTGGAGTGTCCAGAAAAGCGCTATATAAGTGTAAGCAGTTATTAAAATGTTTCACCTTTTAAAAATAACCTAATATTTAATGTTTTCAAGAAAGATCAACTTGAAAAGAGCACTTTAGTCTGAATACTTTATTCCTTTAGAAAAATACCTGCATCACCTAACGCAGTGACAAGTTCAGCTTCCTGTCTTTGTTTTTTATTGTTCTGTGCGTGTTGCAACAGGATTTTTTACTTTACTTCTACTGCTGAAATTACACATGCAGATGTGAAGCAAAATATTTTTGTTCTAAAATCTCTCAACTTCAACAACGTCTAAGCATGGTCTTTCTGCTATGCTTGTAAGTGCAGGGTCAGCCTGAATTTCATATGCTTGCACACGCTGAGACAGAACTGGAGAACCCCACCTTCTTCTGCCAGGTCTTTGTTGATGATCAGCTTGCCATGCCGCAGGTAATTCAGGATTGGTCCAAAATAGGTGGGGTCTCTGTCGATCAGATAGGCACCTGTCTCATCCTGAAGGAAAATTAAGTCAGAGTTAACAGCCAAGTTGACTGAAATTATGAAACAAATGACAAAATACCAATGTTACCCTTTTTATATATTTTTTCCACTGATGAAATACAAAGTGCATTTGGTTTTGACTCGCAGGTCAAAATAACAAAGGTTATGTAAGCTGCAACAACAAAATTTGCACTTCTGATATAAATATCAGCATATTACCAGATGATAGTGAATATGAACAAACAAAAGATGGAAATCGGTGATAATGATCAACTTAATTATTTTTCTATACCTTTGTATTATCATTATTAAGAGGCACACAGACCAATCATTTCTAATAACTTGCACATTTGTACAGCCAAAGCTGTAAGTCAGGAAACCAAAATGACAGCATACTCCCACAAATGTAAAAAATTCAATTTTCATAAATGATACATATCTCAGTAGCTTCATCGGATTCACCAGTACGATGTTGTTTTTTGCATTCAGCAATAAATCAGAAGATTAAAACTCTGAATTTCAGGAATACAAACATATACACCCTTTCCAAAGTAACACATTTTGTTGCCTAACAGCCTAAAATCAGTACTCATTATAACAGAACTTATTTAACTTTTATTAACACACTGTAAACACAACCTCCAAGTGAAAAATCCTTAAACATTGTGAAAAGTAATTACAGGTGATAAAATGCATTAGGTTACCACAAATGTGTTTCTTTTCAATACACACCGTGTTTCACATTCTGTTAAAGTTTTTCAACCAACAGTTATATATAATATTATAATATATACATAGAATATTAGAAACTGTTTGAGCAACTGACAACCCAGAATGTAGAGTCACTACCCTGGCACCTTCAGCCCTACCGGTGGCAGTGTGTTCCCTCTCACACTACATTTCAGCTGGTACAAAGACAGAGCAAGAGCGAGCTTTGTCATCTTACTGCGACGTCTGGAAATGGCAATGAAGGAATTTAATACTCTGTGCATAGGCCTTAATCTCAATTCAGATATTGCAGTACCAAAGAAACACTAAAGAGTTGCAATCTGTCCTAGAATTCATTTCTATAGAGGCCTTTTAGCAGATCACTCTTGGAGTGGTCATGGAGAGCTCTGAAGCACTCTGGAAACCCAATTTAAAACAAAGCCTTGGACCAATGGAATTCCAAATTGCCCAACGTGTATACTTAAGCATATATTAGACATATTACTTTGATGCCACAGTTTATGCTTGATGTAAAAATCTGAAGCTGCAGCACCTGCAAGAGCACTGATTTTCTGTTTTTATAATACAAAATAGGAACCAATATCATACTTTGTGGACGGCACTATGGTTAATATTGCTGCCCCATAGTGATGGGGCACTGGGGGCGATCTATGAGGAATTTGTATGTTTTCCCAATGTTCCAAATGTTCATGTGAGTTTCCTCTGGGTACTCCAGTTTCCTCTTACAGTCCAAGGGCATATTGGTAGGTTAATTGCCTTCTGGGATAATTGGCCTTGATGCGAGTATGCGTGTCTGTCTATGTGTGGACTGCAACAGATTGGAGTCCCATCCAGAGTGTATCTGACTCGTGCCTGTTGCTCTCCAGGATAGGCTCCAGCTCCTGCGTAATCCACTATTCGATAAAGCTGTTGAAAACTGGATGGATGGATGGATCTTGCTTGGCTGAGAGAATCCTGACAAGAGCACCTTGCGAAATGTCTGGGAACATTTGTGTCTACAGCTTTGGAAACATGGGACCTGGCCAAGTGATACACAAGCACTCCGGGAAATTAAAAAAAGAGCAGTTTCACTGACACAGTTCTGTCAAGAGTTCAAGTGCCAGATGTAGTCAGTCTCGTTTTGGTTGTACATTTTCAGTTCAGTTAACATCACAGGAAAAGTCTTTACTGAAAAAAGCAAAAGTTGAATAGGAACAATTAACCTGTGGTCAAGATTATCTAAAACAATACCACCACTGGTTTTAAATGTTAGTGTTCAACGGAGAGAGTTTACCAGAGGAATATACTTTTTGTCCGACTACCGGTTTAGGTTGTTTGTTACTGGCCCACTGTGTCCCAAACTTTTCTCATCTGTATGGCGACTTAAGACCTGCGTGACAAGATACTTTGGCTGTGCCCAAATTTCGCGGGCATAAAAGCGGAATTATTTTGAAAAGGAATGTTTGCATATTAGCACAATGTCGCCAGTTGCATAAACTTTTGAAAACCACTAAAATTAAATAATTAGGCTGTTTATTGTCTTCTGAATTAGGGTCATAATGATTTTCCTGGCGTCCCAGTCATTTTGATCGCCAGCATGTTTACTAATAAAATAATTTATAAACCGTCTTTCAAGAAACACAAAGCAGTTGAAATATTATTTCAAATGTATTAATAAACAATGCATTTATCATTTTTCCAATGTTCTATCCGTGAAACGCTTTCTATATTCAATGCTGTAGAGTATAGATAAATCACTAAAATAAACTCTAGTAAATCAAGAAAATTTTGTAAACTATGATATTTTCTGTTAATTCGGTGAGTCAAATGTAAAACGAGAAAACATTTAGGTGAACAACATGTCAAGTTTATTCTGTGTCCATGGTAGGTGAATTACATTTTTATCTCATGAGCAATAATGTATAAGGGGGTCTGACCCTGCTCTTTACTGTCTGGGGACACGAACGACACTCGACGGTACCACATCGCAGACTGGACACAAAAGTTGTCCGAGACGAATTTGATTCAACACCAGACACTAGACCTCAAGTTAACAACTCCCACCTTGTCAGAGTCGAGATCTGGGTCCTCCTGGCACAAGCGGGAAAGAAACGATTTGGGCTCTCTGCATAAAGTCTGTTTGGTGGTGACGAAGTAGGTGCCGCCAACGTTTAGACGAACCCACTTGGACCCGGGCTTTTCGGGAGAGCTCGGGTTGCTTTTGAATGGAAAGCCGAAACTGGACCGGGTCGAAACTCCTGGACTTGACAGACCGCTCCGTGCGGGGATCATGAGAGTCGGGGAAGAAAGTCGGACGGTGTTGCGGATCTCTCTCGGTTCCGTGTGCTCTATAGTACCAGTTCCAGACTCCACAATGTGCAGTTCTGCCATGTTTTTCTCGTACACACCAGGATATCAATTTATTTCCCAGGTAAACCTACAACCCCTATATCAGGATCTTCCCTCATGCAATTACGCGACAGCCAACGAATTTGCTTAACTGTACGCATCAAGAGTTGTTTTTTTGACGAATCGATAAAAGGCGAAATGCACTAATCTCTCATTGCTTTCTTGGCTTTAACCAGGATCTGCCTTTATTTAATAATACCAAAAATATAGAGGGAAGGCAGGACTTCCGGGTCATATATTTCTGTGAATGTTGCTAAACATGATTTATATTTATGCTAAACTATATTAGACGTGTCCAAATTATAATACGAATATCGCCTTATTCATTACTGAAATAGAAACAATGGTAGACCATTCATGATTTAAATCAACGTATAATTATGGCTTTAAAATAGTATTTACTTCCGTGTCAATTTTATTTTCATTTTACATTGATTAATAGTTAACAAAACAGGGGATAATTATATTGTTGTGTTTTTATAGTTTCTTGGTTTAAAATAAAACATTTATCTAATCGTGTTTAATAAACAGTTTTTTTTCGTGAATGTGGACTTTCTTTTCGCCATCTTTGTTGTGGGCCTTACAACACAGCAAACCGTCGCATAACCGAGTTGCGCTGAGCAGGGGGTCTGCACTTGGACCCTGTGCGGTTACCGGGATATGAGGCTGTTTGCTTCTCAGAAAACCTGTATATTAACGCGCCGTTGCACTGTAGAATGTAAAGTGTCCTTCAATAGCTGTGCTCATAAAAAGTCAGCCTGTAATTTTGTTAATATTGTAGTAGCTCAGGTGGGTAGCTGCTTTAAAAAAGAAGGAAGAGAACACAACGTTTCGGCCGTGGAGCCTTCTTCAGTCACACCTGAAGAAGGCTTCACGGCCGAAACGTTGTGTTCTCTTTCTTCTTTTTTTTCAGTATGGAATAAACCTACAGTATTGTTCATTTTATTAAGATTGTGTGAAACGAATTGAAACCTGAAATTTGCCAAAACTTTGTTGTAGCTCCAATGCTACGAAGAGCTACGAAGATGGATTAGCCTACCCTTAGATGGAAACACTGAAACGACTACAGTATTGTATTACGTTTCCCCTTTAAGTATATTACTGCTGACAGTATATTTGGAAAATGTATCACAATAATAACCATTCTAGGTATTGTAGCCAGGTTTGCCATCTGGCGATTTTAAAAGTACTAGGACCCTTCTCCCCACACACTTTGTTCAATCCCCAGATCCACTAGTTAACCCACAACCCAGCACTGGTAGATTCAGTACCACCAAGTCAAATTGTGTCACTTTATGAAGATTGCCCTCACGTATTTTTCATTCTGTTTTTTGCACAAAGGTGGTACGAAGATGTGACGTGGCACAAAAGAGAAAGAGAACGCTAAAAGGCACCATACCTAACTAAACACACTGGCTGTTATAATGCAACACTCAATGAACAGAGTCTTCTCACTATGGGGAGCAACCAGTTTTGCATTCTGTTGGTTTTCAGAAAACATCTGCGGTACGAAGCACAAAGAACGATTCTCTACGCAGCGTCTGTGCAGTTTCGCAGTGAACTGCGCCGCTATTGAAACCGGTGAATGACGTAGCATCCGTCTCCGGTCTGCCATTATCTAGCGGCTGTTTCTTGGGAAGGTGAGTGTTGTTTGTGGATACATTTTTCCAGATTAATTCCGACTGTTGCGATTTGCGAAGATTATTTAAATAAGTGTAGCTACGAGGGAAACGTGTACGCTTTTTAAATGTCCGGTTTGGTCCTCAGCGGGTGAGATGTAGTTTAAGTTCGCATTATAGCGCGCTGACCTTGTGCAGAAGCGGAATGACAGAGCAGCCTTCAGCAAATCTTGTAGTAGCTCACGGTGTTATTACTCGTCTTCCGTCTTGTCACGGTTTTAAGTAATCCTATGTGATTGTGTTTTTCGAAAAACAATGGAATGGGATTAAGTCATTCTCGAGATAACAGCACCACGTCAACGGTGTTTGTCACTGGGCATTATTCATTGCTGCTGACTGACGGAAACACTTGAAACATTAATTTCTTGATTAAAAAAACCAATCTGCCTTTAAAATCCACCCCCCACGTTGAAGAAATCAGTGCAAATTTGGGCTCAAATTTGAGTATTCCCACTAAGTCTCAAGTCTGCTTGGCTGAGAGGAAGTCCGAGTGGGGGTGTGCTTTTCTCTGGGGGTACTCCTGTAGGGTGCATGAATCCGATGAGGTAGCCAGTGGATTGGTCTGAAGCTTCTTCATCTTTGGGAAAAACCTTAGTCCTTTAAAAAACGTTCGATGTCTTACTGTTCTGTTAGTGACTTTATGCTCTCGCTTGATTCTTATGCAGGCAGAGCACTTGGGAGCACTAACGGGGTCAGTTCAACAGCTTTAGAGGCCCGGAAATATGAATGTTGCAGTGCGTTTCCTTTGCTGTGTTGGCAGTGACATTCCTACATGTAACCTGCTGTGTTTAACTTGCTGTTGCGTTGTGGGTGTGCTTTTGCTCTGCCTTCAGTTCTTGAATTCAGTTGTTTCTGCAGCACAAAATT